TAAATGCGTAAGTAACACAATAGAATTATTGTGATTGATACTGCAAAATCAGTCAATCGCACATAACATGTAAGTACAAATGTAATTAATTAAATGTTGAATCTTTTTACTTTTCTTAAGATCTTAACGCATATTTCTAAAGATTGAATTTCTTGAAATATCTTGGCTCATCCGGAGGCGTGCAGCTTTAAAGTGGATAGGTCTACAATTAATAGGCACATTTTCCATAATCAATTCCAAAGTGATACAGAATAATGAATGATAATATTTTGTTCAAGAACACTTAATTATCTGCAATATAAATATATAAGAAAAATCGTATCATGTATCTCAAACTTGTGGTTTGTTGTTATGTCCAAAACTAAATACTATCCGAGTATTTATTCATTGTATTTCAGACTTTTCAATGCAGACCAATTCACTTTAAACATGCATTTTTAACAGTTATAATTACAGGTCGTTTGTTTCACTGCATGATAATGGTTAATATAAATAATGTAATAAATCAAAGCGCTGCGAGCTCTGTTTTGCAATCTAAATCGTACTGTATATCTGTATGTATTTTTCTGTATAAGTTTATTTTGAAAATATTAAAATTCATAACTTGCCAGGCACCCGAGTTGCAAGCGACTGTTTGGTTAGATTTTTTTGCGCTATACCATGTGTCTTTTTAAGTTTAATAATATTCTTATTGAATAATATTTTGGTATCATGATAATTACACCAATGCTAACACATATAATCTTCAGAGGCATACGAATAAAATGTACAATAGCAGAAAGGGTCAAGGGACCAAAGTTATACCAAACATTATGCTAACGTTCCTCTAAACACGTTCTATACTAATAACTGTTTAAGTGTTGATGCACTACAGAATGTATTGCATGACCAGAGTGCTGATCCTTCAGAGCATATGTTTGTCTTATTTATAAAATGATTCTATAAATAATAAATATAATATTTATAAATAAACTACATGTATCTCTATATGGCATGTTAAATCACAACAACAAAATTACTTATAGTACAATAAATAATTCTGTAACCAGATACGCATCGAATATTTAGGTCGACTAAAACATGGAATTTCCATCATGTTACTATGTATAGAATTTTTTCATCATAAATATTGTAAGAAGTAGTCCCTCATATTTTCAGTTTAAACTTAAATAGATCCACCGTAATGTACTTTGTATTTTGATTATATAATATAATTATAATAGATTATATAATAAGATATATGTACAGGGGTCAGGTAAATCTCTATGTATGTGCAATGTAAAAAGTACAAAAACGTTCCAAATTCCAGCTATAGCTATGGGTTGTAATTTGCTAATTCATTATTTTTTTAATTTTATTTATTTATTTATTTGTTATAGTACAAGCACAGTTAGTAGCTTTACTGGTGCAGGAAGACCTTACGTGCCCCTCTGTGTATATGATTTCACGCATTAGCGAGCTTGCTAGAGAGATTCCTCACATGAAAGCGGTACAAGGACATGTGGTATGAATCACGGAATTAGGAGCTGATATAAGAGTCGTATAAATAAAAATTAAAAGAAGTAAATGATATAGATATTTTTATATAATGACATTGATTGAAAATCATCCAAAATGGGGATATGATTATCGCTAAAAAGATGATTTAGTTTTCTTTTCAACTGATTTTTCTGTGGCTTTGCAACACAGATATAAATATATGCAGAAGCTCAAATATATCCTTATTGTTGGTGAAATAAGTGAATAACTCACGCGTTTAAAATAACAAGCCCCTTATGTCCTAAGCCCCTTATGCCCTAAGCCCTTATGTCCTAAGCCCCTTTTGCATAAGCCCCTTATGTCCTAAGGCCCTTATGCCATAAGCCCCTATGCCTAAGCCCCTTATGTCCGCTAAGCCCTTATGCCCAAAGCCCCTTGTGTCCTAAGCCCCTTTTATGCCCTAAGCCCCTTATGTCCTAAGCCCCTTATGTCCTAAGCCCCTTATGTCCTAAGCCCCTTATGCCCTAAGCCCCTTATGTCCTAAGCCCCTTATGTCCTAAGCCCCTTATGTCCTAAGCCCCTTATGTCCTAAGCCTCTTATGTCCTAAATGCTTTAATTATAATTTCTCAAAAGCCTTTTAGGTAGATGTCCTAAATATTGTCAGAGTATTTATTCAATGTATTACAGACTTTCCATTGAAGGCCAATACTTGCAAGACTTTATTTTTTATAACAGTCAAATGCCGCTTAAATTATTTGTTTCACTGTCTTACAACTAAATTTAAATTGCTAGGGGTATATACATGTATATAAATGATGATAAATGATGTATACCCGTATAAAAACAACGGACACGATATTTTATTCAATAATTTATTAGATCTAAATAAAAATACGATAAAATTTCTTTGCTACGCAAGTTACTATTGTACGCAAACAAATTAAAAAATTATTGCATTCAAAGACTGCAGAGATTTTTATTGTATGGCACAATATTCTGCTTTTAGAAAACAATAATTAATTCATCAAATTAGTCATTACTCTGTAAAAAAATGAGTATTTGAAAATACCATGGCTGCATTTTGATTGGTAATGAAAATATAATGTATAAATACAAGAAAATATAATACATGTGAACATAAACGGTGAAAAAGCTGCCGTGATCGATATGTGACAAAAATACAAATAAATAAATGATTCTATAATAAATATAATATTAACAATTAATTTAACCAAATCACTAGTATAATTAATAATAATTTATTATGTAACTAATAAATACATGCAATGGGCGTCGAAAGTTATATTTAGGCCGATTAAAAATAAATGGTTTTTCCATCATGTTACTATTTTTAGAATTCTTTTCAGTATCCCTCATACTGTAATTTAAATTACATTGTATTTTGCTAACAATAAAGAATCCTTTAAATATAAAACAGTACGGTCACGCTGAATTTAAATTGTTTTAAAATAATCAATCCTTCATATATTAATTTACCAAATTCCAGCTACGAGTTGTAATTGACTATTTCATCAGCTGGGGTTGCTTTTTTCTCTGTTGTGCGACTTTCTAGCTTCGTTTGTTAAGGATGACCTAATGTTTCCTTCTGTGCATTATATCAGGCACAACAAGGCATTACATGCTGAATAGGTTCCTCACATGAAAGAATCCAAAGTCCCTGTCGGAATTTGAACCTACAGTGGTGAGAGGCAAGTGGTATGAAGTCAACAACCTTGACCACTCGGCCATGAAACTTGTATATATTATCTAGAGACGTATAAATAAGGTAGCTAATAGCATTGATAGTTTTTGATATATATATCAATTGAAAATCATCCACAATGGGAGATATTAATATAGATAAAAAGATGATTTTTTCACGCAATTATAAAATATGATTGTTCTGTGGAATTGCAACACAGATAAAAATATATTCAAAAGCTCAAACATCTTCTTATATTGTTCTTGAAAAAATTAAAGTCAATAACCCCCGGGTTTAAAACAGCAATGTCATATTATGAAGCCCATTATGCCCTAGAAATCCTTTAATTTTAATTTTTCAAAAGCTTTTTATTTTGATGCCCTTTTATTCCAAACGCAATGGTCAACTACCTGAACCAACATTCGTTTATTTTGCTACTTTGGCAATTAGTGTCAGTTAAAACTGATTGTGTAAGGAAAATATAATGTATACAAGAAAATATAATACATATGTACAAGAAAATATAATACATGTCAACATAAACGGTGAAAAAGCTGCCGTAAAAATACAAATAAATAAATAATTCTATAAATAAATATAATATTATAATAAAATGGAATTCCCATCGTGTTACTATGTATAGAATTCTTTTAATAATTATTGACATATTTGTCATAAATATTGTATGAAATAGTCCAACATATTTTCAATTTTAACCGTTATGTAAATTGAATTTTGTTTATACTGAAAAGTCCTAAAATATATACATGCAAATAAATATAAATAAACTTGTAAACAATACACAACACTAAGTAAAACGGTTTCCAAAATAATCGATTATATAGAGATATGTACCTGTACATCAGCTGGTAAATCTCTATTTATGTTCAATGTATTAAAAAGTACATTTCTAGGTACAAAAACTTTCATATAATAACCCACCAAATTCCAGCTATGAGTTGTGATTGACTATTTCATCACCCAAAGATTTGTATGTTGTTTTTCTTTTTTTCTTTTTCTTTTTTTTTGGGGGGGGGGGAGAGGGGGAGTTTTATAGCACCAACACAGTTGTAGCTTTACTTGTGGAGAAAGACCTTACGTGACTCTGTGTATATTATTTCACGTATGAGCGGGCATAAGCTTGTAAACTTGCTGGATAGATTCCACACATGAAAGAATCCAAAGTCCTAGTGGTGCAAGGACAAGTGATCTTAGACTTGACCACAGAATTAGGAGCTATCGCAAGAGTCGTATAAATAAAAATAAAATGTCGATAGCATTGGAAGTTTTTGATATATTGATTGAAAATGTTTCACAATGGGCGATATGAATTCGGCTAACAAGATGATAAAGCTTTTTTCACATGATTGTTCTGTGGCTTTGCAACACAGATAAAAATGTCCAGAAGATCAAATATCTTCTTATTGTTGCTGATATAAGTGAATAACACACGTGTTTAAAATAGCAAGCCACTTATGCCCTAAATGCTTTATTTCTAATTTCTCAAAAGCTTTTAAGTTAGATGACCGAAATACTTTTAAAGTATTTATTCAATGTTTTGCAGACTTTCCATTATAGACCAGTTCACTTTACACCTGCAAGACAATTAAATGCCGGAAAAGGGAAAAGACTTCAATAAGCATTATGTTGCTTCCAGTCTAATCCTTTTATTGTATTGATTATAAATATCATGTATGTAAATATGCTTATGAGACGAAGAAAATAAGTTTAAACCAATTAAATGCCGGTTAATTTGTTTCACAGTCTAACAACTAAATTTAAATTGTAAAGGGGTATATATAAATGATGTATATAAGAACAACTGACACGAAATTTTATTCAATAATTTATTAAATAAAACTACTATAAAACTTCTTTGCTACGCAAATTACAACTGTCCAAAAACGAACAAATTAAAAAAAAATAATGCATTCAAAGACTGAAGAGATTTTAATTGTATGACACAATATTTCGCTTTCAGAAAACAATAATCACTTCATCAAATTAGTCATTACTCTGTAAAAAATGAGTATTTCTCAATTTTGATTGGTTGATAAAATAAAATGAATACAAGATGTGAACAAGCTGCCTTCCTTGATATGTGACTAAACTTCAAATAAATAATCCTATAAATAAATATAATATCACAACGTATAATTATGTAACCAGATGCACGCAATGCGCGTCGAGTTATATTTAGGCCGACTAAAAATAAATGGTTTTTCCATCATGTTACTATTTATAGAATTCTTTTCAGTATCCCTCATACCATTCAATGTACATTGTATTTTGCTTACAATGAAGAATCCTTTTAAATATAAAATAATACAGCCACGCTGAATCTAATTTGTTTTATAATAATCAATCTTTCATATTCTTCCATGTATATATATTAATACACCAAATTCCAGTTACGACTATTTCATTAGCGTTTTTTCTTTGTTGTGCGACTTTCCAGCTTTACCTAATGTTCCCCTTTGTGTATTATTTCAGGCACGAGCAGTTTTTGAAAAATATCAATTGAAAATCATCCACAATGGGGGATATAAATATAGCTAAAAAGATTATTTTTTGTTCACACAGTTATAAAATATTATTGTTCTGTGGAATTGCAATACAGATGAAAATATTCAAAAGCTCAGATATCTTATTATTGTTCTTGAAAAAAATAAATTGAATAACCCCCGGGTTTAAAACAGCAATGTCATATTATGAAGCCCATTATGCCCTAGAAATGCTTTAGTTTTAATTTTTCAAAAGCTTTTTATTTTGATGCCCTTTTATTCCAAACTCAATGGTCAACTACCTGAACCAGCATTCGTTTATGTTGCTATTTTGGCAATTGGTCATTTAAAACTGATTGTGTTAAGAAAATATAATGTACTAGTAAACAAGAAAATATTATACATATGTACACGAAAATAATAATCCATATGAACATAAACGGTGAAAAAGCTGCCATGATCGATATATGACAAAAATACAATCATATAGAATAAATCATTCTATAAATAATAATAATAATAATAACAATTAAATAAACATCATAAATCACAACAAAAAAAACTTATAGTATAATTGAATTGTTTTTCATGGTTCCAAGTCAAAATACTACTTTGTTTACATTTTGCTACTTTTATGACAAATATCTTTTTTACATTCACACAAATATTTTCTTTTATATATACCACTTCTTTCTTTAGATAATATACATCTAACATGCCCTCAAACCATAATTTCATTATAAAACTCATATTTGCCCTTACTAAAGAAAAAAATGTACTCGTTTCTAAGGCATACTATCCCTTTACATGTTTTTCAATTTTACTTGTTTGTTTGTTTGTTTGTTTCATTTTACGCCTTTCCCAACAGTATTTCAGTCATATATAGGCGGTTAGTTTCCTAACCATCGTTCCTGGAGTGTTACACCAGTACTAGACTACCTTCCTCCGCGCTAAACTACCAAAGCATCTCCCGGGGATCGAACCCACGCAGAGAGGTAACTGGATTAGAAGTCAATTTTACTAAGACTGTTCAGATGTAAGTGAAATGATCGTAAATTTGTGGAAACAACATAGTTTCACAGATTTTGAAATTCATATAAGCATATAAGCTTTACACCCTCTAATGCTTTATACCCTTTTATATAATAATAATATATAATTATATGTGCTGCATGTATGGAAGAGTATTGCAAATTCAATTAATTAATTATTGTTGAATAAATATGGTCTGTTCTGTTCTAATGACAGACTACAAGACTTCTACTTCCGTATAAGGCGGGTCTCGACTTTACAACATTGACCACGTAGTCTTGAATTTCATGTTTTTCCGTGACGACTTTCCTTATGTTTTCCTCTACTTTTGCCCGATCGTTTTCTGTTTTAACTTCAATATGAACATTAAGTCTGCTGTAAATAGTGCCGCATCCATAGACACCGTCCACTCTGAAATGTATACAAACAGCCTTAATTGTTTTTGTCTTTGCATTGATTAAGATAGAAAATAATATTCAACTTCAAATACAAAACCTTACTTCTATTGCACAACAAAGCAAAGTCCACTTGAACAATTGTGAATACATATCATTTGTTTCAGTTCTATTTTGATTTTCATTAAGACAGGAAATACGTTACTGACTAATCGTATCTAATCTAATTTAATCTCTAATCTTATTTGTTAAACTTTGAACCAATTAAAAACAAACATAGAAACGGATCACAAATTAAATTGAAATCAAAATTGTTTCTAAATCAGTTAAATGTACATACATGGTTATTTCCATTATTATTTTTTAACAAAAATGTCTCTTTTAACCATTAATCAATTTATCATTTTTAAAACTTATGCGTTTTTATATCGGTTCTATGTTAGTGATACATTAAGTATAGTTTTGCACAATTGAGACAGAACAGCGTTAAGTCATCATTTAGTGTCACGATATCTGACATTAAATATTCAAGATAATTGTATTACAATCATTAAAAATGTTCTTGTTATATCAAATATTTACCTAAGCAGATCTTGCGTCACACGTGGAGGTAGTCTTGTCTGCTCAATCTCACTCTTCATTTTCACCCCCTTCTTTGTTATGCTTTGACCTAAAAGACCCTCTATTTCATAGATAAGCTTGTCTAGGGTAGTGACGTTTTCGACTTTGGCATTGGAGTCTCGTCTATCCCTTACCGCTTTCAGTAATTTAATTATTCGTTCAATGATGTCAGCAAGGTAGGTCTCTAGTTGTAATGAAACAGCGCTCTTTAAAGCTTCACTATCCAACTTGTCTATGTTTTCAAAGGAGATCGGACCAGGTTGAATTGTGCATGGGACATTTCCATCGTCATGTTCTTTCCTGGTTTTCCTTGTTACTCTATGGCATTCCTCTGAATCTTCCACGTCCATCGGTTCTTGATTGATGGGCATATGATGTCTGGATGGTGAAACATCGCACATACGAGTGCTTACTGATGACGTAACAGGTGACGATGATGTACAGGATGATGGTAAAGTTGCAAGATATTTTTTAGCGGGAACATAGAGTAATTTATCCGTTGACGAAGAACTTTCGTCTGTTTTCTGCTTTTTAGATTTAGACTTTTGTCTGATATTGTGTTTTGGTGAGGGCGATGAAGATTCTGGCGTATCCGAGTCGGAATGGGAACTTTGTGATAAACTTCTTTGCCTTGTTTTACTACGATAATTACTTGGCGAAATTCTTCTACGTCTTGGGGATATTGATCTTGACCTTGGTGGCGACTTTGTACTTTCTTTCGATTCCCTCCAATCCGAGAAAGAATAAAATTTTGACGATGCGGATTGATCTGATTTTAATACTTGCTCACCTTGTAACTTTCTTGATTTGCGAGCATTTGGGGTAGGTGTTGTAGGATCGCCTCTGTTAGCAAAATTTAGTTTCACGACGACTTTCTGGTCTGATGGCAGTTTAATTCCTTCTAAGAGACTGTTCAGTTCTGGACGGATATTCGCATCTTCGACAAATACAGCCAGAACAATGTGATCTGAATAAATGGCATTTGCCATATGTCTAGCTGTCTCTTCAAGATCCTAAAATAATAAATAAAGAAAGTCAGTTTATCGTGAATTAATTTAACATTTTTAATATTTTTTATGAAAGGTTTAATTTGTTTTTTTACACTCTTAGCGTATTAACATTAAGTATTGCATTACTGGTATTCTTAAACAGCTATATTTGAATACAATAATGTTCTTCCCTGTCATAGACAAATTTTGCTAAAATTCTTTGCTATAGATGTTATAGATAGTAATAGTATAGTAAATATAGTACCTTTTCAGTTGTCACTATTAGGGATGCGATACTTTTCGAAAGTTCACCATGTTTTTGCTGTGCTCCCTTTTGAAGATACTCTGGTTTTATAGCAATGGATTGTTCTGTTATTGCATTCAGTAGAGCATTATCTATAGATCTACATTCAACTGATATGCCCTGGTTTATCAGTTCATTAATGGTATCTCTTTCTGTGTCATCACTACGCATTTTCTTCAAGCCTCGACCCGGGAAAGTAAATTCAAAATCTGAATAAGAAGGATATTTAGGATAATTTTTTTTTGCAGTTACAATAATAAAAAAAATTAAGGAGAAGAAAATCGTAAATAAATAAAAACAAAAAACTTCCAGGCCACAAAACACTCTTTCGAATAACTTTATTAGTTATTATGTTTTATGAACTTTCGTGTTAGGCCCTTAATGGCTCTTTTTTGTATTTCTTTTACGCACGAAAAGAAGGAAAATTTATTTAAAAATCAAAGTGATTTTCTTAAACGTGTATGATTAAAACTCAACACCGTACATTTTGAGTTATCTTCCTCTGAAGTTAATGTGTTTTCTCCTTGTTAAGATCACTTTCAAGGGTAGATAACTCAAAATTGTGACAAGCAACTCCTCGTTTGGTTTTGAATTTGCGTTTGTAAGTTTATTCCATGTCATAGACAAATTTTGATGAAATTCTTTTTTGACGAATTTTATTCTATAGTTGCTTGTACGAAAAGATATCAATTTACTCAATGAAACAAAGCAAATAGCATTTTGGATAGAATTGTTTTAAACTTAGCATAATAACTGAACATGACAAGAACAAATTAAAGACATGTATATACAATGTAATATGGCACATTATTTCTATAATCTCTCAACTTTTCCAACAAAATAACAATGTATGATTTAAACTGATAGATTTTAATTGATGTAAAATGGATAATCAAAACCGGAGCAAATCCACACTCTGTCGAAGATGTAAATACAATTAACTCATTGGCAGTTAAAACTGTTTGAAACATGGGTAATCGTTTGTCCTTTGAACATATATAACAGTTTGAATTTATAGTAAGTGATACATCGTGTACCAAAATTAAATTATTTGAAATAAAGCCTCAGTATGCTACTAGAAAGTGGCTTAAAGTTGAAAAAAAAACACCATCACTCTCAGATAACTCAAAAAGAAATACGGTGACCCCCCCCCCCCTTTTTTTCTCATCAATTGTTTCAGTCTTGATTCCCTTATATTCGGGAAAGTTTAGGGAAAATCCCCGCGCTAGTCTGTGCTTTTGTAAAATATACTAGAATTTCCGATTAATTAATTACCGTCTAAGAAAATGTGTCTTAAAATCTATTAGACTCCTGTGAAAGAACAAAAATACCGGTTTGAAATAAATAAAAAAAATCATTTCCTCTATGGGCCTTTATTGCAGTATTTTTTTTCATAGACTCAATGGTTTGAGGGCATTTTAAAAATAAATAAATAAAATAAAATTTTAAAAAAAGTTGCATACCTAATACATTCTTCATTCTCGGATAAAATCGTATCAGTCGTGTTTTGAAATAGTTAATCCGAGGAAAACAGTGTTCATCAAATACTAAAAATTTAGATTCCATTTTCAACAAACCTTGATTCGTGCAATTCTTTATGCATTAAAATGCTCATTAAAAAGCTTTCTTTTATATAGGCACGCTGTGGGATAAAAATTGGATTTCCTGTTACGTTTCTAATTGGGTTTCTAATTTTATCTCAAAAGTTCACGGTTTCGTGGTTTTTTGCGTAGCGGAAATCCAAAATCTAGCTATAAATAAATAAAATCTAAAAATAGCCTATTGGAATTTCGGGAATTTCAGCTAACACGACAAATAACGCGACAAATAATTAAAAAAGGATGGATTAAAATTTGTGTATTAATTAACTGTAACATAACACGTGCATTGCTTATGAATGATCTATTTTTAAACGTTTTTTTTTCTCCAAAGACGTGAAGAATTATTAAAGCGCAATGATCAGTGCTATATATGAACACCTAGCTAAACGCCGGCTGTTTTCCCGTACCTTTTTTTTTGCCTATTTGCCTATAATTAAATGTCGAGTAATAGAGATAATAATATTAGTATGATTTTAGTAAATCTTTTTATCAGAATGAAACAAAATAATTATTTCCTCATTACGAAATGATTACATATCATCGTACAAATAATTCCGCTTAGAAATATTATAAATACACAAGTGTAACAGGACGGAAAAACGAACGCACAGTGATCACAATTAACGTCCTAGTTATTTACCAAGGTTCATTAATTAAAGATAAAATTGAAAATTCAAATAAGAAGAACATAGGCTTTTCAGAGTTAAACAGTTTTATTGCAAAATAGAGTTTAGATAAGTTGTTTCTATGCTAAAATATCAAAGTGATTTCTTAAAATACCAAGAAATGAAAATATATTTTTCAAAAAAAAAACAAAAAAAAAACATCATAAGGAAAATAGAGAGAAATAACCAAGTCAGGTGATAATAGGTATACGCTACCTTTGGTATCTGTAGACAAGGCCATAAAATCACCGAAACAACTGGCTTATATAGCCCCTTCTCTCTGCACTTGTCCGATTGGAAAGGTGCATATATATGTATTGACAGAAAATAAAGAAATTTTTGTAAACAAGCATTTACTCGTTGAGATACAATGTATAATGAGGAATAACATATTTGCCATTTGGTTACTAAACCCAAATATACTGTGTTCTGTCGAATGCTATCATATATACATATAGTTAGGCTACTGAATTTGTGTGGGAACATTGATTTTGAACAACAAACGTACATGTATATAGCTCTATACTGAATAGTTCTTACTTCACATGGCTAGGAAAAAATATGTCACAACATTTTGAACTGAACAAAACATACGGAAACAATATCTACCATACTTAATTATCATAACATGATCGAATTTAACTCATGTCCTTCAACAATTATATCATGCAATGTTCATGTCCAACGCTAGATCTTTTTATGTAGGGATTATTATTATAATGAGTAGTAGAAGATTATGTCGTCCATAGGTTATATATACATAAAAACCGATACAAAAACGATTTTTTTAGAGAAAATGTACCTCATCAAACAATAGAAGTAAGAAAGAGAAATATAAACATAAAAACGGCCAGCCGAGATTAATTCCATTTCTCTATGAAACGGCTAAGGTTGGCTTTTATACAATGCAAAGAGCAGGTAACTCGTGCATCTCCACAGTGATCTCCCCTTAATTCTCCGGCGTACAATTCTGCCAAGGGAGGTAATCACTGTGAGGAGTCTGAGACTGGTGAAGAATTTTAATTTATTTTCAAACTGAAAGAAACGTGAAATGACCACACCCAAAATTTCTTGAAATCAAGAAAAAGTTTACAGATTTAAAAGGTATCAAAATGTCATTATTTCTGTAGCGTATCGATCAAAATAATAGTAAAATGTTATAGTTTTCGGATATTGCATGGCCGGATGGGGATTTTCCCCAAGACCACTGTTTTTTTTACTTCAAATTTATTTTCTGTATAAATTCTGCGTGTCAATAAAATTGAATTTGGGTGTATCCATGTCATACATGCCTATTTCTAGTGTATTATAAATTATAAGGTGGGGGGGGGAATCCCAGGATCGCCTAGAAAAGCCGGGACCCGGGATCGTATGAAACAGTTAAACATAATTACATATAGTAATCCCGGGAATTGACCACCTATTCTCGGTGTATTATTATATAAGAAGATATTTTTCAGATAAGCCGGGATCGTATTAAAACATAGGGATCCCGGGAATTGACCAGATAAAGAAAGAATATAGTTTTCAGAATAGCCGGGATCGTATTAAAACATATAGGGATCCCGGACATTGGCCAGTTAAAGAATATAGTTTTCAGAAAAGCAGGGATCGTATTAAAATATATAGAGATCCCAGGAATTGGCCAGTTCAAGGATATAGTTTTCAGAAAAGCTGGGATCGTATTAAAACATATAGGGATCCCGGGATTTGACCAATTCAAGAACATAGTCTTTAATTTTCCAATTAGGCATATAATTATAAGTATTGTGATTTCTGCATTTTAAATTTGTTAATAAATAGCTCTAAATATATTTATATCCTAAGTTAAATTAATTTAACGTTCATTGTACATACAATAAAAACTTAACGTTTAATCGCCTTTCATTACGACAATAATCAACACAAATATAGTTTATTAGTTTTCCCTCTATATCTAATACGATCCCGGACGCCACCGGATCCCCCCCCCTACTTTCTCTCTTCAGGGCCGGCCCAATCAATTGTCCGTATTACCCGTAGTGAAAATTTTCAAGGATTAACTATATAAATTTCATATGGACAAGTTAAAAAATGCTTCACATGAAAACGGACAAGTAGATTAAAATCAGATTTTGCTTGCCCTGCTCTTGATAAAATATATATCTCTGCCATGTATGGCATGACTTAAAGGATAAGGCTAGATGTACCATATGGCTTCTTTCCAGCTTTACTGGTGGAGGAAGACCTTGGTTGCACCTTTGTGCATTATTTCAGGCACAGCTGGATACCCCAGTAGAAAACACTACTGTCTTTAAGATAACTTCAGAGCTACAGAAAAGCTTTTGAGTTAATTGGGTATTTACCCCTGGACTTGAAACACAATTGGGTAACACAGAAACAAAATTGGGTATCATTGAAAAATTTATTTTTTTGTGTAGATTAACCTTAATTAGATAATGATGTAAGCTTGTTTTAAGCTAAAAAGAATTTCTCACAACATCCTTTAATAAATAACTAAATAAAAAATGTTCTGCAAGACTGCACTGAAATATTAGATTTTTTCGTCCATTTCCTCGAAATTGTCCTCAGTCTGGGCCACAATTTAATTATCTCTTCATAGTATAAGCTTTTCCGTTAAAAAAGTATTGATATTTATATAATCAGTCTACTCAGCAGCTTCCGGTCAACAAATGGAAAATGAAAGTACAGAAAGGGAAACAGGCTATGTTTTCAGATTTGTTTGGCTGTTTTCGTCAGGTGAATTAGGGTCCGAGATATTGGAATCCAAACAAATTGGGTACTGAGCCTTTCATTTGCTTTTTTATAACTCAAAGATTTTATTTTAATTGGGTAAAGTGGTCAAAATAATTGGGTAATTACGCAGATACCCTGCTTATCTGTAGCTCTGTAACTTAACATTGTGGCACCTTCACTACCAAGAATCCAGGGGTTTTTTCCCAGGATTTTGGGAACATGACCAATACCCATTGAATTGGGAATTTCAGTGATGTTTGGTTAAAAACTGGGCAAAAATGCATGACTTAAATTTTTCAGTGATTAAATGAATACAAAGAATAACTGTCTAGGATGGCATCTGCAAAGATTTAACCTTTTACGTCATATAGACGTGTTTTAATGATGGCTTTTCGCCCCCCCCCCCTTTTTGAGGCCTCAAAGTCAAACAGTGAAAAAATGCCCTATTTAGGCCCCAGACACAGTTATTCTTTAAGAAATAAAAGTGACCACTTTTTTGGCGCCCCCCCATAGAAGGGGAATATGCCCCCTTCCATTTCCGGGGTTTGAAGGGGGCTTCCCCCCATCTCATCTCCAAGAAAATTTTGGACATTTGACAGGCTAAAAATGGCCTCAGTTGGATCATAAGGTAACATGAAGCCAACACTTGAAAAGTCTTTTACTCTATCTCAATTCATTGAAAAGTTGCAGCACTTTGAAATCAGTTTTGATGGAAAAAAGAATGCAACATAGTGATTTTTTGCAATTTTGAGACATCCCCCTGTTTCCATGGTAACAGTAAATTTAAGATTGAGCATGCTGTTACAGAGGCTTTGGTCCAGTCTACATTTGTGCCAAGTTTCATCAGTATTGAAGCATTTTTCATAGTTTCATAGCAGTTTGAACTTGTAGCAGGAGGCTTTTCAATGAAAACGGCCATTTTTTTACAATAATTTATGCTCATGTGCTAAATGGTTAAACACCGTAACAGTGAAGAAGCCCTTATTTTGAAAAATTTTTGAATTTGTTATTCAATATTTTTTTATTTTGTAACTTTTCAATTGGGAATTTTTTCCTGTGGATTGGGAAAATAATATACTATTTTCAATTGGGAATATGACTGAATATTGGCTGTAAAATAAGCCAAAAATCCCTGGAATCCAAAGTACTTGACAGAGTTCAATCCCTACAGCAAAGTGTAGTATGTAACATAAGGTCAGTTAACCAATTGGTCTTTTGTCAGTTTTGTTCTTTCTTCATAATCGTAGCAAATGAAATGTAGAAAAAGACAGAATAATTGTCTTTTCATTCATATTTTAATGAGGCGCATTGTTTCCCGGAAAGGGTTTTATTTCTCAAATCCTTACTTTTCAAGAAGTTACTTATTTACCATTTACCTGAAACATCTGCTTTTGTTGTGTTTTTGTAATTTAGTATTTTGTATGGAAGTGAAAATACTGTTTTATTTTCATTTAGCTACTTTTATGACACATTATTTCACATTCAGCAATACTTTCTTCAGGTCATAAACACCTTACATGCTCTAAAATCAATATTTATAACTCATATTATTAAGAATTCATTATTTGTTACTGAGGCATAATGTGCCTTTTAATAAAGAAGAAAATAAGCCCGGAACTTTTTCATCTTCACAGATAAAGAGATGCTGGAATGTCTGGTGCAATTTACCCAGCTCTAGAAGTGATTGAAGAGTTTGACTCGACTAAATGGAACCCACTTCACTGTAATGTGTGTAATGAACAATATAAGGAGCCATGTATATTGCAGGTAATATCCAAGTTAACTGCCCTTTTATTATGAAACCAAGCAGCATTTGTTTTAGTCATGTACATCATTAGCTACATTGAATATGACTTATGAGGTAAATTTCTTATTGGGCACATTTTGGATTGCATACTTTTATTAGAATTGATAAAACAATGTATCTGCTGCCAAAAATATTGTATTAGTTTTTTTAAAAAATTGATATGACAGTACATTGCTATAAAAGATAATGTCTCATGGTGTACAAAAATCACTGCTAAAATCTATGGTTTAAGATTTTTGAGAGGAAGACACTCATTTACTACCCTTAGAGTTTGCTTCTTGTAACAGACTTGCACAAATAAGATCTGATGATGTTGTAGCTCCAGTAGGTCTCAATTGCCTCAAGATCTCTGGATTAAAAAGCAAGCACAATGCCACTGTTTAAATGTTTTGAAATATATGTTGAAAGGCAGCAATACAAACTAAGGAAGATTAATGTTTTGTAATATCCTAACATTTCAAAAATCATGGGACACATTAAACAAATGGAAAGAGATATAGCTAGAGTAATACAAGGGACTTTTACATCCAAAGTACACTTGTACAGCATGTTCATTTTATTATTTCGTAAAAAGTGGTTTAATATTTTAACAGACGAACATTAACATGGTATGCGATGCTCTTATTGTTTTGTCAGGTCACTCTAAGTTAACCTGATTTACTATTTGTTATTTTGTTGCACAAAGATATATTACAGACTGTTCATTTTCAATCTCTTCACTCTAGTGCTACCACAGTTTCTGTACACAGTGTATACAAGGCAGGGTTGAAGAAGGAAAAGTAGTGTGTCCATTATGTGGGTAAGTCAAAATACAGTGTAACCTTTGTAGAGTGACCATCTGTGGAGTAAGGACCACTTTACTACAATAGTATCAGTTATTTTCATGGTAACACTTTATAATAAATCTAACCTCTCCATAGAAACACCTCTCAAGATCAAACTATGTCTCTGTCACCCAAAGGATGTTGCTTATGCAGAGGTTGTACTAAATGTGTGTGAATTACTTTGAAAATAATAGATACATGAAATTTGTCTCTAATACTGAATAATACTGTTAGACAAAAATACCAAGGCTGTTCTATTCACATGTACATCTGCTCTAGGGTAATATTGCGGTTGTTTTTTTTGCAGATATTAAGCATCACAGTGTTTAGTTTTTATGTTGAAATTGGTATCTCAGAACTACTGGAGTAAATGGGTTGAAACTTTACACTCTTATTTTACAGCATAATAGGAGTTAACTGTCCAAGGCCAATAACTATAACAATCATGCATTTTGACTAAATTATGGCCCTTCTTGAACTAAGAAAATTCTACATTATCTAGGCCCTTGTTATACTATGAATCACTGAGAATAGCCGAGCATGCTGTCCTACCTTGTTATGAATTATTTTCATGAATGTGTTGCAATTCTATTTACATGTAAGATCATTTTAAGTTTACTTATACATTATCATTTATATATTTATCATTTCAGGCGTATAACTCTGATAAAAGAAGGGAACACTGTCCCACCGCCAGACCCCATACTGAAGTTCTTGGTGGAGTCCTCGACGGGGGAGACAGTGACATGTGCCAACTGTGATCAGGTATGTTGCTTTGTGATATACCAAATAATAAAATTTATTTACTGAAAGTCTCCTCGAGAAACCCATATAGGCCAATCACTATAGGCTGAGAGTGAAGTTATTTTTTGGAGTGACGAAGGTATCAAGCTAGCTTACAAAATGTTGGTGGTTCTACTCAAGTGCCTGTTTGAGCCTGAAATAATGCACAGAGGGGTCTTCCCACACCAGTGAAGCTGGAAAGTTGCCATATGAGGTCTTCTATGTTGGTTCAATGTAAAGCCCAACTAAAAAAAACAAACTTTCAATCCATTTGAAATTTAATAAATGAGTGTAAACTATATTATTTCTTTTATCCTCTGAATTACTAAAGACTTTCAACTCTTCACCTTTCTTTTATGAATAAATAAATATTTTCACATTTCTTTTATGAATAAATAAAGATTCATATTTCTGTTATGAATAAATAAAGGCTTATGAATAAATAAAGTTTTTCTCATTTCTTTTAAGAATAAATAAAGACTCACATTTCTTTTATGAATGAATAAAGACTTTCACATTTCTTTTATGAATAAATAAAGACTCACATTCCTTTTATGAATAAATACAGATTTTCACATTTCTTTTATGAATAAATAAAGATTTTCACCTTTCTTTTACGAATAAATAAAAACTTTCTCATTTCGTTTATGAATAACTAAAGACCTGCTCATTTCTCTTATGAATAAATAAAGACTTTCACATTTCTTTTAGGAATAATGAAAACTTTCACGTAACTCAAGACCATTACATTTCAGACAAACTTGGAAATGTTCCACTGTAAGACGTGTAACCAGCCACTGTGTGTAACATGTAGGGAGGATACTCACCGCGCTAAAATGTTCTCCAAACACGATGTCGTTCTCCACACCAAACATACAAGAGATATACAGAAAGACTGTAGTAAGAATATCTTTACTTTTCACTATCAGGCCTTTCTTTCCCAGGATTTTTGCCAGGCACAGGGGCAAGTTTTCCCGGAAATGGGGGTGGGTGTGGGAGGGGGCAGGAATGTTTAAACTAAATTGAATGATATATTTTCATTTTTTACATAATTTCATTTTATTTGCAGTAAGATTATTTAATTAGCCTCTAGTGTCAAGGTCAAACAAATCGGAACAATAGATGTGAACTAGTGTATCCCAACATACTGTTTTGTTTTAAAATATTCTCTGAAATAAATTTTTACATTGTACATGATTTTAAATCCTGTGGAACGTTTCTTTTGTTAGCTCACCTGTCACAAAGTGACAGGGTGAGCTTTTGTGATCGCTTTTCGTCCGGCGTCCGTCCGGCGTCCGTCGTCCATCCGTCCGGCGTCCGTCCGTAAACTTTTGCTTTAAATGACATCTCCTCATAAACCACTGAGCCAATTTCATCCAAACTTCACAGGAATGTTCCTTTGGTGGTCACCTTTAAAAATTGTTCAAAGAATTTAATTCCATGCAGAACTCTGGTTGCCATGGCAACCAAAAGAAAAATCTTTAAATATCTTCTTTTAAAAAACCATTAGAGCTAGAGCTTAGATATTTGGCATGAAACATCTTCTAGTGAGTGTCTACCAAGTTTGTTCAAATAAAAGCCCTGGGGTCAAAATTGGCCCCGCCCCAGGGGGTCATTGATTTTCCCTATATGCATATAGTAAAAACTTAAAAAATCTTCTTTTAAAGAACCCAAAGAGCTAGAGCTAAGATATTGGGCATGAAACATCTTCTAGTGAGTGTCTACCAAGTTTGTTCAAATAAAAGCCCTGGGGTCAAAATTGGCCCCGCCCCAGGGGGTCATTGATTTTCCCTATATGCATATAGTAAAAACTTAAAAAATCTTCTTTTAAAGTACCGTAAGAGCTAGAGCTTAGATATTTGGCATGAAACATCTTCTAGTGAATGTCTACCAAGTTTGTTCAAATAAAAGCCCTGGGGTCAAAATTGGCCCCGCCCCAGGGGGTCATTGATTTTCCCTATATGCATATAGTAAAAACTTAAAAAATCTTCTTTTAAAGAACCCAAAGAGCTAGAGCTAAGATATTGGGCATGAAACATCTTCTAGTGAGTGTCTACCAAGTTTGTTCAAATTAAAGCCCTAGGGTCAAAATTGGCCCCGCCCCGGGGGTCATTGATTTTCCCTATATGCATATAGTAAAAACTTAAAAAATCTTCTTTAAAAGAACCATAAGAGCTAGAGCTTAGATATTTGGCATGAAACATCTTCTAGTGAATGTCTACCAAGTTTGTTCAAATAAAAGCCCCGGGGTCAAAATTGACCCCGCCCCAGGGGGTCATTGATTTTCCCTATATGCATATAGTAAAAACTTAAAAAATCTTCTTTTAAAGAACCCAAAGAGCTAGAGCTTAGATATTTGGCATGAAACATCTTCTAATGAGTGTCTACCAAGTTTGTTCAAATAAAAGCCCTGGGGTCAAAACTGGCCCCGCCCCAGGGGGTCATTGATTTTCCCTATATGCATATAGTAAAAACTTAAAAAATCTTCTTTTAAAGAACTCAAAGAGCTAGAGCTAAGATATTTAGCATGAAACATGTTCTAATGGGTGTCTACCAAGTATGTTCAAATAAAAGCCCTGGGGTCAAAACTGGCCCGCCCGGGGGGGTCAGGCCTAAAAAAAAAATTGATGTGTTTCTGGTGGCGAGACGAAAAAAAGTAGGGTCGGTAGGTCGGACTTTTTTTTTTTTTTTTTTTAGTCAATCAACGATTGTAGATATGTCAGATACGGATTATATGTACTTTAAATTATATTCTATAGCATATAAAAGTACTTAAAATGTTAGACTACCAAACCTAGTCTTCAATATTTTGAAATAAATTTTACCAATGGCATGACTCGACTTTCGTTTTCATTTTTTTTATTCTTACCGAACAACTGGCTTCAATTTTAATATTATCACTCTTAACATGACCATGCACGTCCGAAAAATGTTTTGAGCTGTTTTGCTGTGGTCTATTAATTTGATTTTCTGTTTTGCCAAACTATGATCGTATTTTTTAAAGAAAAAATCGCCAGCAGTGACACTTCGGCTGCTTGTTGTGCCGCCATATAAGCCGGTGCGCGTTAATACGTAATTGGAACCCGAATCGTCTGTGCCTCACATCGTTGTCGACTCGCAATACTAAAACCCGTCTTCAGTACGGTCGGTACGGGCGCCATTTTTTTTTTTTTACATTGATAAAAAACTTTGGGTCGGCGCTAAAAAATAGGGTCGGTCGGGCCACTGGAAACACAACATTTTTTTTTTTAGGCCTCATTGATTTTCCTTATATGTGTATAGCAAAAACTTAAAAATCTTCTTTGGAAAAACCCAAATAGCTAGAGTTTAGATATTAAGCATGAAACATCTTTAAGTAAATATCTACAAAGTTTGTTAAAATAAACGTCCGGGGGTCAAAACTGGCCCTGCCCCAGGGGTGTCATTGTTTTTAACTATATGTGTATAGTAAAAACTTTAAAAATCTTCTTTTAAAAAAGCCAATGAGCTAGAACTTAGATGTTTAGCATGAAACATCTTCTTATGGGTGTCTACCAAGTCTGTTCAAATAAACAAATAAAAGCCCTTGGGTAAAAATTGGCCCGGGGGTGGGGGGAACTATATACAGGTGAGCGACCTCAGGGCCATCATGGCCCTCTTGTTTTATTGTTTTAATTACTTTAATATTTTGGTAATCTTGTTTTGTAATTTATCCTTGCAGAGATCCATGGGGAGCCATTTATTCTGTTCTCTACAGAGAAGAAAGTTATGTTGTGTATAAACTGCTTCAGAGATATGAAAGTGTAAGTTGATCATCTGACTTGCTAGCTTGTAGCATTCAATGAAGTCTGTTTTTCTCTCTACAATTTCACTAGTAAATTTAACAAAACTGTGCTGTGCATATATTTTGATGTAACGTCATTTGTGTTCTACAGACATAGTGTGGAGACATGCTAATTGTTAAGTGTGTCATTGAATTTTTAGCTCGACTATTCGCAGAATAATCGAGCTAATGCAGTCACCCATTTGTATGTAAGCTGGTATCTCTATAACTACTGAAGGGAATGGATTGAAACTTCACACACTTGTTCTCTGTGATTATCTAAGATGATTGGCACAAGTCCCATAACTCTGATTTGCTTTTTTTCATAATTATGCCCCTTTTTCGACTTAGAAATTCTTGGTTAAGTTTTTGTATGTAAGCTGGTATCTCCTTAACTACTAAAGGGAATGGATTGAAACTTCACACACTTGTTCTCTGTGATTATCTAAGATGATTGGCACAAGTCCCATAACTCTGATTTGTTTTTTTTTTATAATTATGCCCCTTTTTCGACTTAGAAATTCTTGGTTAAGTTTTTGCGTGTAAGCTGGTATCTCCATAACTACTGAAGGGAATGGATTGAAACTTCACACACTTGTTCTCTGTGATTATCTAAGATGATTGGCACAAGTCCCGTAACTCTAATTTGCTTTTTAACATAATTATGCCCCTTTTTCGACTTAGAAATTCTTGGTTAAGTTTTTGCATGTAAGCTGGTATCTCCATTACTTCTAGAGGGAATGGATTGAAACTTCACACACTTGGTCTCTGTGATTATCTAAGATGATTGATACAAGTCCCATTACTCTGATTTGCTTTTTTGCATAATTATGCCCCTTTTTCGACTCATGAATACTTGGTTAAGTTTTTGCATGTAAGCTTGTATCTCCATAAATACTGAAGGGAATGTATTGAAACTTGAAGAGTTTGTACCTTTTCGGACAATTTTATGTATTCATATAGGTAAGCATTATTATACTCAATGAAACACCCTTGTGACAAATTTTCGAATAGTCGAGCGTTACTGTCCTCCGACAGTTCTTGTTGTTTTTTTTTTGCACTTTGATATGTGATAAAATAAACTAATAAATTCATGTAGGTTCATGATTGAATTTATTCAACATGTATTCGGTTCAGTATTGATCATACACTCATTCAAAATCCTCTACATAGTAAGTGGCATACGCTAGCAGATTACCTGTTACAGTTTTCAAAAAGTTACTCATTGGTCATATTGCTCCGCAAATTTCTGCTTCTTTTGTATTTAGGCAATTAGTACATTTATAGTGAATTATAGTGTGCTCATTGCGGATTTTGCAAAACCCACACAAGACCCCATAGATTTGACTGACAATATGGAAGTCAAAATACCACTTTGTTTACATTTTTGTTATTTTCTATCACAAATTATTTCACATATAGTACTCAATTCTTCAGGTGAAAAACATCTTACATTGACTAAATCCCTTATCCCTTAACAACATCTGCAACGCATGTTTGCCCTGTCTATGCAAAGAAAAATTAATTCATGTCTAAGGCTTAATCTGTCTTTAAAGGAACAAGTCTTAAATGTTAAAGACAAGTTTTAGATTTAATTGCACTAATTCCCTAGCATTTAATGAATTTCAGCAAAAAGGTATCTTTTTTAAACTGTTCATATTGCTTCAAATATATCATAAGTGATAGTTTAACATATTTATTGTTACATTAAACAGGGAGAGTCGGTCACATTGTGTTGATCTAGAAACTGCCTACAAACAAGGCTGTCAGAAGATTGATGATACAATGCAGGTATGTCTGTTAATGTAGGTACAATTAGAATTAAATTTACACAAAAAAGTATTTTCCGCAGGTTTCACATTATTCTGAACCGATATCCCAGTAACCTGAACATATGTAGTACCACCTTTGAACATAAATGAGCCGCGTCACGACAAAACCAATGTAGTGCGTTTGGGACCAGCATGGATCCAGACCAGCGTGCGGGTACGCGCAATCTGAACAGGATCCATGCTGTTCGCTTACCAACTCTTTTACAAGTAGAGAAACTGATAGCAAACAGCATGGATCCTAATCAGACTGCGCGGCTGGTCTGGATCCATGCTGGTCGCAAACCCATTATGTTGGTTTTGTCGTGAAGCGGCTCAAATATTATTGCATTTAATCATTGATTTTATTTTGATAAGTATGTGTACTTTTAAATTAAGATGCAACAACCGAAGTATCAAACATTTTTTATCAACCTGTCCTGTCATTATTTCAGTCAATACGAGATCTACAGAGCTCGGTCAGAGATGGGATATTTTTAGTATCAAAAAGTTTGTATCAATCTGTCCTATCATTATTTCAGTCTATCAGAGATCTACAGAGCTCGGTTAGAGATGGGATATTGTTGTTACGAGCTTTACTAGAGGAGATACAGATCAATGCTGATAATGAGAAACAAGATATCAATGATCTATATAACACGATGCAGGAGAAAATCATAGAAACTAAAGAAGCCTTACTGCAGGAAATTGACAAGTAGTTTATGATTTTATCCTTTCTAAGAAATTAGATAGAACATACATGGGGCATCCGTGGCTGAGTGGTTAAGGTCGTTGACTTTAAATCATTTGCCCCTTACGGCTGTGGGTTCGAATCCTGACAGGGACTATGGATTCTTTCATGTGATAGAGCTATCCAGCTAGCTTACGGAACGTCGGTGGTTCTACTCGGGTGCCCGTTCGTGCCTGAAATAATGCATGGAAGGGCACCTGAGGTCTTCCTCCACCAGTAAAGCTGGGACGTTGCGACATGACCTATACAGTGTTGATGTGACGTAAAACCCAATCAAACAAACAAACAAAAGAACATACTTATTCATGAAGTCGTTCAATCCTTCTGTCACAATAACTGACGATTTCATATAGCTCCCACATTTATTTGTTGATATCTAATTATATTTTGTACATTAATGTACTAACCATGTCCAGATATGAATAAATACAACTCTGTATGGTATGGAGGGAGATGTCTTCAACCCCACCATATTATGTTGGATTTCACGTCACATCAAAACAGTATAGGTCATCTGGCACTTTTCCAGCTTAACTGGTGGTGTAAGACCTCTGTACATTATTTCAGGCACAAACAGGTAGCTAAGCTCAACCGCAACTCTTGGATGAGAAAAATAAAGATATGATTTTATATGAAAATCAATTGTCAATATTGCCCTGGTTGCCCATTTAACCTGTACAGACAAGTGGAAATTTTAAACACTTTACTTATATATAGATAATATACAGACAAATTATGAAATGCTTTATACAAAAATGAATAAGTAAGTCAAAATCAGATTTTGCCAGCCTTGCTGTTGTTTATAACTTCTAGAATTATTATGTTTACAGACAATTTGTGGAGAAAGAAGAGTTATTTAAGAATCAGCTGGTCAGTCTACGAACATTTTTACCGACCCTACATGTACATCTAGTCACCTGTGCCGCCTTCTGTGGCTCTACGAGTAAATATGAGTTCCTAGACTTCACTTACGTAAGTAAAATTTCTCATCATTTATGATTTAATAGATATTATTTGAAATTATTTGCCTGCACTATACGCCATGTTGTGAGAAGGTAAAGTTTGCTAACTTTGGGTTCGTGATTTGAATTAGAGACACAGAACATTTAAGTTATGAGGATATGATATTAGTTATATAGATTTTTGACAGGTTTATATGGCCCTATATAAACAGCTTTTATGTATATTACCCAAGCTGTTATATGAAGGTTATATTTCTAAAAATAATTTGTATTCCACCATATAACCTGTGTCAAGAATCTTTATAAAGAATTTGTAATACTACAAACTTCCTTTTTAATTCATAAATCAACTGCATAAATGATCCAGGAACACTTAAAATTGTTAGCTCTATGTCCTGATGTGCCTAAATCTTTTGTCAGGTGATAGAAAGAACTCTACATTTATTGAGACTTTGTTAAAATAATTATACTAATATTAAATGTGTCCCTCAAGAGTTTTTATAGCTTGCCACAATTCTTACTTTACATACTTTCGATGACTCGTTAAATATAAGACTATATGAAATCAGCAACAATAACTTTTGGAAGATATCCAAAACAAAGTACATATACATGTACACATAATTTAATATTTTGTGTTTAACATACTAGGAGATGATGAGAAGACTGACGGCTATCATCCAGGTACCACAACCCCTCCATCCATCACAAACCAGTGAAATACTGACTGATTATAAAACTAAACTAGCCAGGTATGTCCTCAAAATATTATTGTTATACTAAATAGTTCCACCTGGCATCAAAGCGTCAAATTTTTTTTCAAAGGTCAGACTTAGTTTAGTGACTTTATTACATATCATCTTCAAAGAATGAGCCCTGAACAGGCTGAATTTCAGAAAAATGAACTTGTCTAGCTTCTATTTTTGGAACGGTCCATTATGAATTTTGGGGTTATCAAGATGAAAATTTGAAGATAGTCAGCAAACAGTGTAGAGCCTGGTCTGACTGTACAGATTGACAGGCCGTCCTGGCTCCATACTGTTTGAAAAGGCTAGTCATCTTGGGTTCCAGCAGATAGTATTCAATCAAATACAAGCAAAATTTTAATACATGTATTTTATATACTTTATACTTTATAAACAGTACCTCTTTGCATTTTTTTTGCAAAGACTATGTCTGAAATCATTGAAATTTTAGGAGAATAAATGTACGAGATAAAAATATCCGACCTTTAATTAAACATATTTTCTATTGTTTATTATTATTACTTGTGAAAATGTTGAAGTTCTATAGTAAGATATTTAAATTATTTGAATTATTATCATCAGTTACTTCTAGGATGTAGGTCATTAAATTCAGATTTTATTGCATAATTTTAGGCGAGAAAGATCATTAAATTTTGTTTCTAAAAAGCTTGTTTCCTTTATAACAGGTGTTTGGAACCATTATTATTTCCACATAGAAATGGCATAACTGTTCCAGTTTCCATAGCAACCAATGTGTCAACAGGGTCAAGGTCAGCTTTTATATTACATACTGATTGACCCTTAACCTGCTTATTTTGTATAATGGACTTGCCCTGGTGTGAATTTGGGACAGTCTATTTAAAGTTATGGGATATCAATATCAAAAGTACAAATAATTGAGCTATTTGACAGACTGCATGCTGGCTGGCCTGGCTCTATACTGGTGGCAAAGGCTTGTTATTTATGTTCTAGCAGGTTAATGATTAAAATCAAGAATTATATTGTCTGTAATTTTTTGTAGATTTAGGCTTAATACTCTATTATCCATACTTTAATGTGTTAATCATCAGTCTTTTTGAAATGTTGGTTGACCTGCTGGAGTAAACATTGTTTTAAATGGTTTTAAATATGTACAAATATAATATAAATTCATAGATAAATTTTATTGGCAACAATTTTTAATCTTGAAGTTTGCAAAAAATGATATCCAAAAAGTTCTGATCATTATTTAAAAAACTATTGTAAATCACTTGATATTTGTGAGACCTTTTTTTCACAAAAACCTTTTTCTGGATTATACGTGGATTGTTGAATTTGCAACATCATATCCAATTTATGTTTCGTATAGTGCATGTTATGTTGTGTTATAAAATTACTGGGAATCATGAATTCATGACACAACTGATTCTGGAATAATAGTGAAAATTAGAATATAGCAAATTATACCTGATTTACAGTATACAAATGGTTTTATCATTAAAAATTAAACTGATTTTTATTATGCCCCCGCCATGTAATGGCCGGGGCATATAGTGTTACCCTGTTCTGTCATTCCGTCCTTCCGTCATTCCGTCCTTCCGTCATTCTGTCATTCTGTCATCATCAGTTTCCGTTCATTATCTTAGTAACGGTTGCACACATTCAACTCAAATTTGACATATGGATATGTAATGAGAAAATACAGGTCAAGTTCGAATTTGGTCATGGTTCGATGATTTTTGGCAGAGTTATGCCCCTTTTACTTTAAAATAATATGAAATTTTCAGTTACCGTTCATTATCTCCCAAACGCTACAACACATTCAACTCAAACTTCACATATGGATATGTCATGAAAAAATACAGGTCAAGTTCGAATTTGGTCATGGTTCGATGATTTTTGGCAGAGTTATGCCCCTTTTACTTCAAAATAATATGAAATTTTCAGTTTTCGTTCATTATCTCCTAAACGGTACAACACATTCAACTCAAACTTGACATATGGATATGTCATGAGTAAATACAGGTCAAGTTCGAATTTGGTCATGGTTTGATGATTTTTGGCAGAGTTATGCCCCTTTTACTTTAAAAATAATATGAAATTTTCAGTTTCTGTTCATTATCTCCCCAACGGTACAACACATTCAACTCAAACTTGACATATGGATATGTCAAAGGAATGCGCAGGTCAAGTTCAAATTTGGTCATGGTTCAATGATTTTTGGCAGAGTTATGCCCCTTTCACTTTAAAAAATAATATGAAATTTTCACTTTTTGTTCATTATCTCCCCAACAGTGCAACACATTCAACTCAAATTTGACATATGGATATGTTTTTGAAATGCCCAGGCCAAGTTCTAATTAGGTCATGCTTCAATGATTTTTGGCAGATTATTGCCCCTTTCACTTTCTTGAAAATAATATGAAATTTACAGTTTCTGTTCATTATCTACCCAACAGTGTTACATATTCAACTCAAATTTGACATATGGATATGTCAAAGGAATGGGCAGGTCAAGTTGGAATTTGGTCATGGTTCGATGACTTTTTGGCAGAGTTATGTCCCTTTCACCTTGAAAATAATATAGATACATCTTAGGAATAAGCAATTTAAGTTTGAATATGGTCGAGGTTCAATGATTTTGGACAAACTTATCTTTCTTGAATGTTGGAAAAATTTTGAACTATCAGGTTCAGCACTCATACTTATGTGGAAATGTATGTAGCCATTATTTTGGCTACAAATATGCATTGAAAAGTTTTAAGGGCTTTGAACTTACAATGAAAAAAATAATTTGTGCAAACAAATTTGGAACTAAATATTATAACATCTGAAATTTTGGCTGCATGCGGGGGCATCCGTGGCATGATGACACATTTCTAGTCAATTAATAATTTTACCGATCAGTTTCTCATCAATCGTAAAGGCAAATAAATAATTACGAAAATTAAATGTATATGGTTTGATGTAACTATCTAACATATATGTGGTATTATAATTCCAGGTCCCCGGACAAGTTGGAAACTGGCAAGAACGTGAGTGAAGAGTCACCTGACGAGGAGAGAATCAACAAGACTCGACGTATCCAGAACAAGAAAAAGCTCAAGTTAAAACTGATGGAGAACAAAGGCTTCTTTGCTGACCATTGCAAGGAATTTGATGAATCTCACATGGTAACTAAAATAGTTTTTTTTGTTGCTTGTCACCTTGTGAAGCCTATCTCTGATTTTGTATGTTCCTTGGGTGAAGAATATATTGCTGTTCTTTCCTTCCTTCATTCAATCTTTGCTTCATTCAGTCCTTCAGTCAGTCCTTCCTTCATTCAGTCATGTTCAGCCAATCTGCTTGAGCCAGTTCTTCCTTTATTCATTCCTTCAGCCAGTCTGTCCTTAGCCAGTCCTTCATTCAGTCCTAACTTCATACAGTCCTTCAATCTGCCAGTCATTCCTTCAGCCAGTCCTTCATTCAGTCAGTCATTCAGCTGGTCTTTCCATCAGCCAGTCAATCATTTTGTCCTTCATTCACTCTTTGCTTCATTGAGTTTTTCAGTCAGTCCTTCCTTCATACAATCCTTCATTTCATCTTTCATTCTTTCAACCATTCCTTCCTTCATAAAGTCCTTTACTACTTCAGCTAGCCATTCCTTTAGTTCTTCAACCAGGCCTTCCTTCCTTCAGCCACTCAGTCCTTTCCTTCAGCCAGTCCATCCTGTCTTACTTTCTTCAGTTCTTTTGGGGGTCATGAATAGTACATGTTTAATTTATTAACAATCTGTGCTTTATATATATGTGATATATAAATAAAAGAGGTCTTCTCTTCCTTAAATAAGATGATGCTTATCGCAATAACTGGAGGCCATTGCCACCATCTGTACAGTTTTACAAGACTCTATGATTAATGTTTAATATCAAAATACATTATTATGTAGTACAAATTTCAAACCAGAATATGTCTGTTCGAGACATTCAAGACAGTAAGGGCTAAGTTGGTGAGCTGGCATACACTCACAAGTAAAACTATTGGAATGTAATTTCGGTATTTTAAAAGTGTCAAAACCTTTCTTTTTCTTTTTTTCTCTCTGATAATCATGCAAAACAAAAAATATTATACATTAAAATTATGAATAAATACTTGAAGGTATTGTTTTATTATAATTTTATATAATATATAATTAGGGGTTGATGGGGTCAGTGGACAGTTTGAAGCAGGCAGTGCAGGAATTACAACGTGATATTACACTACGCAGAAGTCTCACTAAAGATCTCACAATCAATGATTTAAAAACAAAAATTTCACAGACCGAAGAACTTCTTGATGTTCACTTTTCTACAATAGAAGAAAAACAGCCAGGTCTCGAACAGGTGAGAGTGTAACTTACTTGGTTTTAGAGTGTAACTTATTTGGTTTTAGAGTGTAACTTATTTGGTTTTAGAGTGTAACTTATTTGGTTTAAGAGTGTATCTTACTTGGTTTTAGCTTATTTCATTTTAGAGTATAACTTATTTTGTTGAAGTGTGTAACTTATTTTGTTTTGTTTTTTGTTGGTAAAATCAAAAATTCAGGTTGACTGTAAAATTCGCCTGATTGTTATAATTTATATGACTTGTATGTATTTATGTCTTCCACCAAAGCAGTTTGTACTGTGTTTTACAATTATGAGTATAAGTGACCTTTAGAGACCTGTCCGGCAGTGCATGAATTCTTTCATGTGAGGAAGTTGTCAAGTTGTGGAAAGGTTGGTGGTTCAACTCGGGTGCCTTGTTAGTGCCTGAAATTATGCACTGAGAGGCACATGAGGTCATATAACTTTTGCTTAAGTTTGTACAGAATTTTTGTGTTAGTTTATAGACATACTTCCAATTTCATTCCTGGAACCAACCAGTACAGAGCAATAAGTGTAAAATTTTTTGCTCAAGAAAACAACAACTTGTTCCTAATGGGTTTTGAACCAACACAGTTACTAATCCTTAGGTGACTAGTCTGATGTGTTAAATACTCAGCCATGCTGCCACTTAAATTTTGCTTTGTAGCTATGACTCGAAACTTCACCAAAGGATTGCTGGTATACCAAGTAGCCTATTTGGACTGTGAGAGCTTATCATAAAATACATGTATATGCTATAAAAGTACATTTTCTGTTTAATGCTTTTAATGTGTGATATTTGTATATTCTATATGTAGCACTGGGAAGAATCTTTAGAGATGATCGCAGCTGAACAAGAAGTCTATCAGGGTAAGTGTTTTTATCACTTCTTGCATAGAAACCCTTGAAAATCTCAAAGAAATATGTTAAAGGAGAGAAAATCTTGCTCTTCAAAATCTATATGCCTTTAGGTCCTTGTAATATATAACATTAGGCGCAAGAGTTTTTACTGTAAAATCGTCCTAAGCCGGTCAAATTAATTCAAAACTGAATATCATTATATGAACTTAATAAAAAGAGCAAATGGTTATTTTCTTGAATATAACAAGCCCATCATTGTACTTAACTAGGAGAGTATGTTGTAATTTAGAAAGTTCTTGAATAATTTTAGCCCAGTTACAGGACATAGGTCGGTTGAAGAATGAAGTATGTTCAGTGAAGACTATTTTGCAGAAACTGATGTCGTTCATGTCATCTATAGCCAATGTCACACAAAGATTAGCTCCAAAGTAGGTTTTATATCTTACCACTTATCTATATTTCTTTCAAATTTCATCAGAACTTGTTCAAGAGATACCAATCTAATCATTGATTCCCCTCACACATGTTCAAATTGGTTGACTGTAGGGGCGTCCATGGCTGAGTGGTTAAGATTGCCAACTTCAAATCATGTCCCCTAACTGCTGAAGGTTCAAATCCCACTAGGAACTTTTAGATAATTTTTATGTGATGAAGCTATCCAGTTAGCTAACAGGAGATTGGTGGTTCCACCTGTGGATGAAATAATTCATGAAGGTACTCGTGGTTCATTTCCGCCATGTGACCGGTGCAGTGTCTGTTTCACTTAAAACCTAGCAAAATAACAAAATAATTTTACTTTTTAGAAAAATGCAAGAAATACCTGTATCCAAGTATCCCAGTTTCACTTAAAACCCGACAAAATAACAAAATAATTTTACTTTTGAAAAAAATGCGAGAATTACCTGTATCCAGGTATCCCAGTTTCACTTAAAACCCAACGAAATAACAAAATAATTTTACTTTTTAAAAAAATCCGAGAAATACCTGTATCCAGGTATCCCAGTTTCACTTTAAAACCAGCAAAAAAACAAAATAATTTTACTTTTTAAAAAAATGCGAGAAATACCTATATCCAGGTATTATATTAAATTTCCAACAGATGGACGGACAACCAGCTGCATAATAACAATATATGCCAAAAAATTGCAAGTATGAGTAAAAAGTGTCTGATTTTAAACTTTTATCTTAAATCGTAATTCTTTTTTCATCAGGCTAGGAAAAGCAACATCTGCAGCCGAGAATGACAGTCAACATAATGCCTTGTTTAGACAGATTAGTGAAATGCAGCCTGATTCACAACAAAGGTATTTTAAACATAATTTTGGTAACTTTTTCACCTTTCTCTCCATGGAAAAAATCAAGTACAAAGTGCAGTTGTCGGGTAAGGTGAAATTTCTCTGTGACAATTAATCTTAGATTTTGATCGTAATGATTCTGACATGTGGAGTAAGTAGTTGCTCATTTTAGAAGATATTGGTTATTACTGGTTAATTATACAGGAAAGCTGGTTATGTGGACCGACTCTAGAGAAACGACCAAAATTGTGTTAAAATCGGCTGATAAAAAAGAAAGCGAACAAACAAAGCAGCATCTGCAGAGCTGTCACCAGTAGAGCAGTAACCAACCTGTTTGCAATTACAATATCAGTTCTGCCTAAAGTAAAACTGTACAATTACTTTAACCTCTCTAGGACAATACCTCTCTGGAACAGGCGATATCTCTGTCTTTCAAAGGGGTTTGCTCTGTAGAGGTCGTACTGAATAAAATGATCATTTTGAGTCCCAGTTTTCTGTCATTCATAAAATTATTTATAAAACCACATTGTCAATTTTTTTAATTTTTTTATTTTACAGAGTTGATGCAATTAGAAATGCTGAGGAAGAGAGGGATATCAAAACGGCTAACAGAGTTAACCCCCTTGATGAAGAGTTGATAAAAACTAAAGGACTCCTGAGAGCGCCGTCTGCTCGGAAAGATCCGACAAAGCGTCTGTCGACAGAGATTAAAGAATCAGGGTCAGAAGATGCTAAGAAAATCTCAGCTACATCTAAAGACCAGGAAACAGACAAAACTGATCTGGAAAATGATAAAGATGAATTAAAATGCAGTACAGATAGTATTAAATCTACAGGGGAGAATTTGCAGAATGGCCCAGTCTCCCCGTGTTCTGATCATAGTGGAAATGCCAGCACTGAGAATGATACATTAGTACATGGAGACACTCTAAATTCAGATATAAGTATTGTTAACAGTCCAGAAGATCAGGAAAATGATGATATTATGACTGGTGATGTAACAGGTTCTATGCCAGATATAACAGTGTTAGTGGCAAGGGCAGATAAGGTCAGTGAGTCAAGTTCGACCGGGGAAGATACTGAAGGAAACACGAGCAGTATAGCAGTGGTTACGCCGGAGTCGGACTCCGAATTAGACATAAGTGTGAGCATAGAATCTTTGCAATCGGAGGAAAGTGAAAACGTGAGACCTGGTCATGTGAAAGATCTTATCGCTAAGGTAGATAATATTTCGAATCTAAATACTGGCGATAAGTCACCAGGGGCACGTTCTCCAACCATGTCGTTATCTGATAAACTTTGTATTTCCATGGAAGACCTGCACATAGGAGTTAATGGTAGACCTGTGACACCCGACAGTGTTTCACCTGTATCTCTGGAAGCCAATGGAGTGGATAATGATCGCATGAACCAGTTTGTGTCCTTGGATAGTAATGGTAAAGCATACAAAGTAAAGAGTGGTGACGAAAATGATGTTTCCGAGAACGGTGTCGAGATTAGTGAAGCGTCTGGTGATGGGGATGAAGTCTATGTCGCTAAAAGCTTGCCAGAACTAGCACAAGTTTTTGAACCTGGCGAGCTAAAGCAAAAGAAAAGGAAAGCGAAGAATGGCAAAGGAAAACAGAATGAAGATAAAAATTAAGTCATTTTGATTTAAGGATACAGTGGTGTGAAATGTTTAAGTGTGTTTAAGTGTTGGTGGCTTTTCATAATTTGGGTCGAATTGGGGAAAGTAAAAAAATAGGTACAAATCTTACAGTAAGCAGACAAATTTTTGGCTAATTAATGAAAAAAGTCTTAAATTGTTCTATTCTGTTTGAATGGTTTTTCTTAAAATTTGTAAGTATAAAAATTGTCATCACTGACGATTATCAGAGACATATTCGATTGTTCCATTCTTTTATTGCAAGAATCCAGTTATGAACTTTTCATATATAAAGGCCTGACATTCCAAGTGTTGTTAAACTTGGTTGCCTTGAAGCTGTTGTAGTGAAACATACAAAGAAAGGACATTAAGACTGAAAGATCAGGATAAAAATATAGTCCGACGATCAAAAGATAAACTGCTGCACTCCATATATGCTAAATCAAGTATTTTCTTTTTTTCCCCTATGCATTTCTGTGAAGTAATTGAAGTTTAAGCATTGTGTGCAATGGATATATTTCTTTAACCCTATGTGGTGTAGTCATTTCAATGAAATGAATATATTAACCTTTGTGCTTTCAGCAATATTGTGCCAAATTTTATCCTTTTATATTTTATATATGTTATTTATGTCTAAAAATTTAGTGACAGGCTTTTATCGCTCTATATGCAACTATGTTTTCTTTCTTATCTATTTTGCATTGATGTTTTTTCGTTATTGCTGAAGTTGATTATTTAGAGTGCCTTTCATAATTGTTAAGATGCAACTTGGATAAAAAATTTCCATGCACCTCTTTTGGTTATCAAAGATATTTTTTGTCATTATTGAGTTCTTTATACTTTAAATTGATGATTTTACTGCTAGTCGATTGCTTAATTATTTTATGAAATAATTAGTTTTATACTATATTAAGTAACTGTATATAAAGTTTTATAATCAAATGCAAGTTTGTTTCGTCACTTTTCATTGGATAATCTTGACTTTTATATAATTTTGTATACAAGGCTGTTGTCAATTTATGAAGGAATGTCATTTGTTTTCTCTCTAAAAGGAAGTTTGCTGTATAATAAATTTGTTATAAAGATTCCTTACAAGTTATATGGCCATATATAAATGCTTGTTTACAATATAAGCAGAGCCTAGTAGATTGGGTTATATATGCAAATAACCATTTATATATGGCCATATCTATCCAGCTAGCTTACATAACGTCAGTGGTTATACTCGGGTGCCGGTTTGTGCCTGAAGAAATGCACAGAATGGCACATGAGGTCTTCCTCCACAAGTAAAGCTGGAACATCGCCATATGACCTATAATATGTCGGTGTGATGTAAAACCAAATCAAACAAACATGTGGCCATATAACTTGTCAAAATCTTCATAACTAATACTATATATAGTATTACCATTTCTCATTGCAAAGTTGTTTATATACTGATACTTTAAATATTTGGTGCGTTTTTGATACTTTTCATTGACTGCTAACCTTTAATAGGATTTCTGATCTCTGAAGCTACACATAGATTTTCCTACTATTCATAAGGTGCTGCTATGTTTTTAGCTGTTTCAAAGCCATGTAGCAGTCATGTATTACATTGTGTTGTTTTTGTGACATTTTTCTTTCCAACCTAAACAGTATTTTGATAAAGTCTTGATGTATTATGCTGCACATAAAATTCATTTGGTTACAATTACTTTTGTAACTTTTTTCTTCCAATCCCAAATGTTATTTTGATAGTTTCCATGAATTATGGTGTACAGTTATGGTATCTATATATCTATATGGATGAAACAGATCTTATAATAATGCATCATCTATACTTGCATCTGACAATCAGTCTCGTTTTCAAATCCAAACTATCGGCCGATTTCATTTCAACATTACAGGAATGTTAAGGAATTCCTAGTTGTGCATTTTACCCATGGTTGATTTTCATTTCCACAATATTTTAGAGAGGTTTTGTTTTTATTTTTGAAAAAACTTTTTGAATAGTTTCTTTGTTATAAAGTGGTTTATGTTGTTAACTTTGATTCATTTAACCTATACAGCTGTATGCCTATAGGTCATGTAATCAAAGAATGTTTAATTAATTTATGCGGTAAATTACTATAAAGTTTTTCATGTCTTTGTCTGAACAAATGATTACAATCTGGGTCTTCTGAGTAAAGTAGGAGTGCTGTTGTATGATGTAGTGTAGATTTTTCTTGTTTATCAGACAGGATTATCTACTGTTTACATTGATGCGAGCAAAGCCAGTATCACACCCCAACCCCCATGTAAGACTAGCCCCTTGCTTTCAATGATGTCATTCCTGCGCTCCATTTATGAATAAATTAGGATGATGTCATTTTGCCTTTAGGAATGAAGTTGTAAATTCATACATTACTTTAAGACAAAGGTGCTAAATGAATTATCTATTAGTTATTATACTTTCTTTCTGAATATGATTTATGAGTGATAAGCAAAAAACTAAAATCAAACACAGGCTGTCCTCAGGAATACCTTGCTTTCAAGTAACTTTTTAGGGGGAAATTGGCATAGCCCCATATAACCACGGTACCCTCAAGCTAGATATTCTATTCTATAGTGTGTACTAGCATTCTGCAGATGTAAGATTATTATAATCTAGTGTCAAAAACAGTGAATGTTGCTTGTACGTATGTACAATATACATGTATTTTAGTGATTATTGTGTTACAATTTATATACAAAGCTGCAATAATCAGTATTTTCCCTTGTTATTGTTTATTTTTCATGTATTTTGTATTTTCATTTATTTTTGAGATTATAACATTAAAGCAAATTTCTTTATGGGCATTATTTTAACATGCTTTATACTTTGTCAGAATAAAAAAAGATAATTCTCAAATGCTTTGACTTTCATCAAATTTATGAAACTATTTCCGTGCAAGTAATGAAGTTTGGGAATGGTAAATATTTCTGGCAGTCATTTCAAAATCAAGAGTGACAAAGTTATGGAATGCACAATATTTGATGCCACCCAGAAACATACAAAACAAACAAGGTCTGTCCACAAGACAGCTCACTCGACTATTCTCAGTGCTTGACAGGAAGAAAGGGATATAACTTAAGAAAAGGGATATAATTCTGTAAACAGGTAGTTCAGAATATTTGTACCCATACGTTAGCTTAAGGTCTTCAGGGTACCGGTTTATATACTATGATATGCCGCATCAGATGAAAAACAAAAATGTTAAATAGCGGCTTATAATGTTTTGGAAGCCAGAACTAACCTTATGTTCGATAATCACAGAGAACGTGAGTGAAGTTTCAACCCATTCCCTTCTGTAGTTTTGGAGAGGCCAACGCAAATGCCCAAGTGAGTAGAATAACAGAATAGCTTTACCTATTCTTTGAATGGTCGGCTAAAGATGCCCATCTGTCATTATGGTGGGAACATATTTTATTACCGCAAAATTGATCAGATGGGTTTTCCCAGCTTCAAATTTGCGTCAATTTGAAATTGAAGGATTCAATACATATATATAAAAATTGAACTTCCAACACTACCAACTACTTTGATGTGCTGCTGGCCTGACTATACTGGTTGCAAATAAAAATCACTTTTGGGTTAAAAAACATTGAAACAAGGCAACTGTAATTTCTTACCTTTATTTTGTGACAAAGGTTCAAAACAAAATGTGATTTAAAAGGTACATAAAAAAAACAACATGTTGTAAGTATACTTTTAAACAATAAACAAAAGGTCTGTGATGGTAATGAATTTAAAAGTGTGATAAGCAAATCTATTTTACTTGAAAAGTGATAAGAATTTTATGTGGCAAACCTGGATTTACATTCAATACTATATCCTCGAGTTTATACACACAGGTATGTAATAAACTGTTGAAAATTTATAAGCCATCAAAAACAAGTGGCTGTTAGAGTACATTGACCTCAGGACTTGTATAAGGTCCATGTGGATTTTACTGGCTGAGACTGGAACACGCTTGGTGCATAATTTATTCTGCTATCCTGGCCTAACAGACTGGAGCAGAATTGAAGCAGAATTTATATTCGGCACTTGTGGATTTTTATTAGCCAAGGCACACTTGCAATATCCTGTCCTGGTAACTTCCACTTGAGCATGTTCCAGATCAAAATACACATACTTTCATAAACCTGTGTAATTTCATAAAAATATTATTTTTTGACAAAAGGATTTCAAATGCACTCTGGTTGCATGAATAGAATCAGCTGCTACCAGCAGACATAGACTATATCGTCACCTTAGTGCAATAACTGATTAACTCCTATTAGATTTAGAAGAACTTATATCGTTACTGCACTAGGTTGATGATATATAACAGTAAAGCTCCATCATAATTTTTTTATACAGACCAAAATTAAAAAAAAAAAAAATTGTACATACAAAAAATATAAAACAAACAAGAGGGCCATGATGGCCCTGAGGTCGCTCACCTGTATATAGACCCCCCCCCCCCCAACGTTGCAGGGCCAATTTTAACCCAAGGGCTTTTATTTGCACAAACTTGGTAGACACCCATAAGAAGATGTTTCATGCTAAACATCTAAGCTCTAGCTCATTGGGCTTTTTAAAAGAAGATTTTTTTAAGTTTTTACTATACACATATAGTTAAAAACAATGACAACCCTGGGGCCGGGCCAGTTTTGACCCCAGGGCTTTTATTTGAACAAACTTGGTAGACACTTATTAGAACATGTTTGATGCTCAATATCTTAGCCATAGCTCTTTGAGTTCTTTAAAAGAAGATTTTTTAAGTTTTTACTATATGCATATAGGGAAAATCAATGACCCCCCGGGGCGGGGCCAATTTTGACCCCAGGGCTTTTATTTGAACAAACTTTGTAGACATCCATTAGAACATGTTTCATGCCAAATATCTAAGCTCTAGCTATTATGGTTTTTTTAAAGAAGATATTTAAAGTTTTTCTTTCGGTTGCCATGGCAACCATAATTCTGCATGGAATTAAATTCTTTGAACAATTTCTAAAGGTGACCACCAAAGGAACATTCCTGTGAAGTTTGGATGAAATTGGCTTAGTGGTTTATGAGGAGATGTCATTTAAAGTAAAAGTTTACGGACGGACGCCGGACGGACGGACGCCGGACGAAAAGCGATCACAAAAGCTCACCCTGTCACTTTGTGACAGGTGAGCTAACAAAAAACACATGCATGTGAATTATAAAGGAAATCAAAAACATTAATATTTAATCATATAATATCAAAACAACATCTATTGCACAAGTAACAACTCTGAGTAATAATTTAAATACACAAAATGCAATGAATGTAAAAAAATTTCCCGCAGATATAGATTTTTGGCAGATCTTTGGGTAATTTTAGGTAAAACAGATGTTTCTATTTGATGTACAAAAAAAAATCCATAGTGACATACTGTCGCTCAACTAAGTATAAAAAGAAAACTATGAAACATAGTCGCATTATGAATTGGAAATATCATACATAGTAATTGCTAATTATGTAAACTGGAAATGTCTTGCTTGCATTTGGAACCGTTCTTTGGTAGTAGTAAAAGGGATTTCTGTATATAAATGCTAAAACTGAAAAGTGCTGAACAGTTTGTTTTTAACACTGATTTTAACACATTTTTGGTTTTACCTCATTAGTAGGCTCCAGAATATCTTACCAGCAATGACCGATATCTCTGCAAATGACATTCCAATATTCTTCTTACAAGATTTCTGAATCAGCAGTAGAGAAACAGATGACCATTTGACTTGATATTGGATTCATAATGATAAGTATTTGTATAAACTAATACTCAATGAAGAATATATGCTTAAAATAAAGTGGACCCAGCCCGCCATCGGCATGCTAATAACAACCTGTTTTTCAAACAAACCTATAAAAAGAATGCATAATTTTAAGATCTATAAAATGTCTTTAACCTGCCATCTCAATCTTGACATACACATGCTTACAATATATAAAACACAGAGAACACTATGTGCTCGAATAAACTATAACAATAGAATAAATATTGAGCTGTAACCTAGGCAATCTGCAACACAAAATGGTCCAAACCTTGCACTGATATCTATAATATCATTCTAAATTCAAGCTAAATAAACAATAAATCATGACAGAGATACTTCTAGGTTCAACAAGTTATAACTAACTAACTAATTTCTAAAAATAAGTAACAACAAAATACTTGTGAAGGTCTATTTCAATTGTCTTTAAAGGGAGCTCCACTAAGGTCAAAGTGCTTAAAAACATAAAATTTGAAAGTCAAATGGAAAAATCTGCAAAGGATTATAAAGAAATATACTCAGAATTAAATTGAATATCTAATTTTTATGCAAATCCTAGCCAGATTTGAGTGAAAAGCATTTCATTTTTTCATTTTTTGGTCATTTTGCATAGAAAGTGATTATTCTGGAAAAACAGGTAGAGGGAATGATCTGAAAATTTACACACAAGTTAGTTGTCCAGACTTTCATTAAATTGTACAGAAACTTCGAAAAAAATATTTCCAGTCCCGTTATGTAAAAAAACTAGTAGAGTCCCTTTAAAGCTATGATTTTCCTCTGTTTGCTTTCAGACTTTGTGAACTTCAAGTTGTATTTGTAACACTCTATGTTCACATCTTTACATGCCTTACAATGTATTTGTACCAGCAAAGTGGAGGAATTAATGGCCTAAAGAAATAAAAAACTATTTCAACACTAACCTAGAGCAGTATATTGTGCACCAGTAACCAGTGGCTAAAACACATTTCCATAAATGATCATATATTCATTATTATTAATTTAGTAAATAGTAAGGTGAGATATTCATCTTGATACAAGAATCAAAATTATTTTACTAATAAACTCAGTTGAAATTAATCATCTTATCACCCATTCAACAACATACATATGTAGATTTTGAGAAATGCATATAATGAAAGACTCTGGTATTTACATATCCTGAATAGGGGGTGTGGGAAAGGTGTGAGAGGGGAACCAAATCTCTTTCACATATTAGAACCTGATAAATAAAAATTAATAAAAAAAAAATAACTAATAATAATAAAAAAACAAGAAACATGGCAATGCCATGAAACCAGGTTTTCAATTATCACCATTGTAGATAAATATGTTGTATTTGAAATACAAATACAAGCAACAAACAATGTAACTATGTGCAATGTAAAACATGAATAATGTAGGAGGAATTGCCACTGAAGAAGTGTTCACTATATATTATGTAAAAGGAAAAAAACAAAGGGCCATAATTAGGTAAAAAATTATCCAATCACAAAACCCCGACAATATGTACCAGGGTGCTTGATGACAAAGCTTCTGTGAAAGTTTGAACAAAATCCGTTGAGAAATGTAGGACAAGTTCAGCACAGAAGAATTTGTTCACTATAATTATATTGATAATTCTGTATAATGAAAAAAAACAAAGGGCCATAATTAGGTCAAATATTATCCAATCACAAAACCCTGACAATATGCGCCAGGGCACTTGATGACAAAGCTTCTGTGAAAGTTTGGTCAAAATCCTTTGAGAAATGTAGGAGAAGTTGCGCACGATAGAAATTGTTCACTATATATTCTGTATAAGGAAAAAAAACAAAGGGCCATAATTAGGTCAAATATTATCCAATCACAAAACCCCAACAATATGCGCCAGGGCACTTGATAACAAAGCTTCTGTGAAAGTTTGGTCAAAATCCTTTGAGAAATGTAGGAGAAGTTGCGCACGATAGAAATTGTTCACTATATATTCTGTATAAGGAAAAAAAACAAAGGGCCATAATTAGGTCAAATATTATCCAATCACAAAACCCTGACAATATGCGCCAGGGCACTTGATGACAAAGCTTCTGTGAAAGTTTGAACAAAATCCATTGAGAATTGTAGAGGGAGTTCAGCACAGAAGAAATTGTTCACTATATATTCTATATAAGGAAAAAAAACAAAGGGCAATAATTAGGTCAAATATTATCCAATCGCAAAACCCCGACAATATGCCCCAGGGCACTTGGTGACAAAGGTTCTGTGAAAGTTTGGTCAAAATCCGTGGAGAAATGTAGGAGGAGTTGCGCACAGAAGAAATTGTTCACTATATATTCTTTATAAGGAAAAAAAACAAAGGGCCGTAATTAGGTCAAATATTATCCAATCGCAAAACCCCGACAATATGCCCCAGGGCACTTGATGACAAAGCTTCTGTGAAAGTTTGGTCAAAATCCGTTGAGAAATGTAGGAGGAGTTGGGCACAGAAGAAATTGTTCACTATATATTCTATGTAAGGAAAAAAAACAAAGGGCCATAATTAGGTCAAATATTATCCAATCGCAAAACCCCGACAATATGCGCCAGGGCACTTGATGACAAAGCTTCTGTGAAAGTTTGGTCAAAATCCGTTGAGAAATGTAGAAGGAGTTGCGCACAGAAGAAATTGTTTACGCCCGCCCGCCCTTCCATCCGCCCGCCGACATACCTCAATCTAATAACCAGTTTTTTCCTTCGGAAAACCTGGTTAAAAAACAGAGAAGACAAAAATGAGAGAGACTTTAACCCTATTTAAATGCTACCTGTTGAAAATAACAAAACATTGCTAGCAAAAAAAAATGAACTAATGAATTTAATGACATCAAGCCGATTCGTAAAATGTATCCACAAATTTATCAAAATTTCCAAATTTAAAAACACATCCAAGACCTTTTACCTTATTTTTTTCAGTGACCTACTTGTAAAGAAAAATACTGACATTTCAGATTTGTTTAATGATTTGTTAAAAAAAATCTTGTGACTATACAATATTGTTCATAAAATACAACAGCAATAAAACAAAATTTGTATCAATTATAAAATTCACATGGGTTGGCAAGAGTTGTGTTTTTTCTTGATTTTTTTGCCCTCTCAATAATGGCTAAATACACTTGAAGCAGCATGCCTTCAGATTCATGCTCATTTTCATGAACATTTTGAAATGTATTTAAATATAAAATATTGTAATGTGAATTAAGAAAGAGATTTACATACTGCAAACAGTACTTAAAATTCACATAATTTACACACATAAATAGCCCTTACTGCTGTAGTCACGCAGAAGAAATAAGTTAATAAATACTACAAAATTAGTCATTAGTAAATCATTACTTGAACCTTAAATCTTTTTACTGTTCTTAAAACCTTAGTACATGTACATTTTTCTCAAGTTTGACTTTCTTGAAATATCCTTGCTCATCTGGAGGCATGCAGCTTTAAGACATATTTGAGTGTAAAATAGCCTCCCTGTCCTAGGTTTAGGAATCACTGAAAATTCTGTGCATCCTTAAAAAATATCCCTCAAAACAGTGTAAGTAAAGCAAAAGAGAAATTCGATACTGTAAACCATTATCATAACAATAATTTTTCTGAATACATTCCGGTGTTATATCGGTGCCACTCATTTTCTCAGCCGGTCATTTCTGGCCAGTTCGTTATTCTAATCCTTTTGATTGAGCCATCGAAAATCTTATCTAACCAAATCGTCAGTCCGTCCAAAACCTCATCAAGGAAAAAATAATCCTTGATATCGTCTTCCTCGTCAGATTTCTCGTCAAGATCGTGAAGACCGAGCGCCTCGGACACATTATTCCTGTGACGTATAAACTGCCGTGCTTTTTTTGCGCTGTATATATAATAGTATTTTCTGTAACCATTTAGGGCCAGGACGGTTCCTATACAGTTTTTAATGTTAATCTGGTCAAGTTTTACGTCGTCTATAGATTCCTCAAGAAGTGTGCGATACCAGTTGATATTGTATTCTAGTTGTAAGAATGCAAAAGTTAATGCACTGTACCTGAAAAACATTCAAAACAGACAATATGAACACAAAAATCATGACTTAAAAACAGTTAACTTTTTTTTCCATGTTTTACGTTGAACCAACACAGTATACATGTAGGTCATATAGCGATTTTCCAGCTTTCTGGTGTGCCGCTCTGTACATATTTTTGGCACAAACAGGCACCCGAGTAGAAGCAACTATGTTCCATAAGCTGGATAGCTTTTTATCATGTAGAATCCCACGACACATACATGGTTTGGACCTACAGTGGTTAGAGGCATGTGGTTTGAAGTCAACAACCTTAACCATTTTGCAAGGATGCCCCCTATCCCCTTCCAATCTGACAAACTGGACTGAAAATCTTTGAAACCAATTAAATATCAGACATTTTTTATTCTCATTTTAGAAACCTCACCTTGAGTATGGGTGTACAATTTTAGCAAACTGTTTCACAATCCTATCCTTGGTCTCCTTGTCTACAAGTATAGCTATAGTAAGTCCAGTATCTGCCTCGCTAACTAACTCCGCGTACGTTCTGTAGTCCAGCTCATACATATTGAGGTTCTTCGCATCATATGATCTGTAATATAAAATCATTAAACCTAACTATGTGTTGATTAAATATATTTTTAGTTAAGCTGGATAATGATGAAAGTTTATATTAATTAAAGCACTTCAAACTCAGTACTGGTGAAGTACGTGTATGAACAAACTCAGCCCTTAACAAAATTAGACTTGTAAGTACTACCTCAAAACTACTCACACTACAGAGTAAATAGGACACACTAACAGGACCTCAAACATGGGAAAAATATTCTTCACAATATTAAGTGTCAAAGGAGAGCTTTAAGTGAGATAAAAACTATTTCTTGAAATTAAAATTTCACTATGGATGATAGACTATATATTATTATATAAGTTGTACATTTCATTTCAAATAAATTTTACTAGAGACTCCTAAAACAAGAGCTGTCAGTAGGACTTGTCTTTACTTTGAATAGTCAAGCTGAAAATCTTTTTGTTTCAAAAGAGGGCATCATTATGGGGAACTATCTTAATGGGGTCAGATATTTATAGGAAAACCTTACATGCAACACACTGTCAACATAACTAAATCCTTACTAGATATGCTGAATACCTATCATATCCCCACCAATGTGCTTTAAGTATAAACTAAGTTTGATATATGTATAATTAAAGTTAATTCAAACCAAGAAACATTTCAGAGCAGCTAGTTAACTATGTTTGGTGAGGGTAGGAATACCGTAGGATTTAAGCTTACTCAAACCAAGGGACAAGTCAGGTAAAAGATAAATAGCTAGTTTCTGGATGTAAACAGGCTATAAATGTAAAAGGTCAAGGGTCATTACATTACATCTTAGGTTGTTAGGAGATGTGAAAACCTGTCAGTGGGTATGACTAAGTTTAAGGAAAATGTATCAAAAACTATTGCAAGATACTGAAGACAGTGTTAATATGTAATGCATAAAACATATGACTACATAGCCACCTCTGCAGAATGACCCGCTATACAGCACCAACCTCTTTACAACAATAGTATCAATTCTTCCAAAAGTAAGAATGAATGACTAAATTTAACCTGTCCAAAACAACCAAAATTATCGTCTCTCAAAGGACATTGCTCTGCAGAGGTTGAACTGTAATATTCATTTCTACAACTTTTTCAACAAGCATTCATCAATGACATGCAAACTCAGTCAAAAGAAAACCCAAAACAACTTGAAATTTTACTTGGAACTATTTATATTCTCAGATTTGTTTGATCTGAAAAATAAATACAATATTGTATTTATTATTTAAACTGTATGAAAAATTTCTATGTTTATTTGATATTATGAATGATACTTTTAATTTTAAAGGAAAACTGCATGATCTTAAATAATTTTCCAAAGGGGGTAGCTACCCTTAAATTGCCCCTACTGCATTTGGATTAAAAGCCCTGCAAAAATAAGCACAATTTCTCTTTAAGAAGAAAACATTTTACAATAATAACTACCTTTGGCAAAATTAGTAACACTTAGAAACTTTGTCAAAGAGCCAAGAAAATATATGGACTACAGAATAAACCAAAAGGAAAGAATATTTTACTGACCTAGATGAAGGTCTAGGGCGTGTTTTCTGTGGTGCAGTACTCTGTACCTGTATTTCCTCCAGGGAAGCCAGCTTGTGAACGAAGTATCCCATACCAAATACAAACATGAGAGATAGAATTGATGTCACCCATGTTGTACTGTCCACACTGAAATTACATTATAATCTTAGCATACATGTATATAATAAAACATCCCTGCAGTCCTACCAGACTCTATACTGTTGGTAACTCAGTTTTTGTACTTTGATCCTGAAATCCCTACAACTTTGAATGAACTGTTCCAAATTCAAAGCTGGGCCAATCCATTACCCAATGTCAGCAGGTAACGGGTTAATAACTAGCATATATATGATATAAATTCTTTAATATTTTCAATAGAAAAGTTGTAATGACAAACTTTGTGCATCATTTCAGGCACTAGTGGACACAGAGTTCAAGCAGAGGGTTCTAAAGCAAGCTGGATAGCTTCCCCACATGAAACAAGAGGGCCATGATGGCCCTGAGGTTGCTCACCTGTATATAGCCCCCCCCCCAACCCCCCCAACGTTGCAGAGCCAATTTAACCCAAGGGCTTTTATTTGCACAAACTTGGTAGACACCCATAAGAAGATGTTTCATGCTAAACATTTAAGCTCTAGCTCATTGGGCTTTTTAAAAGAAGATTTTTTTTAAGTTTTTACTATACACAAATAGTTAAAAACAATGACACCCCTGGGGCCGGGCCAGTTTTGACCCCAGGGCTTTTATTTGAACAAACTTTGTAGAAATTTACTAGAAGATGTTTCATGCTTAATATCTAAACTCTAGCTATTTGGGTTTTTTCAAAGAAGATTTAAAGTTTTTGCTAAACACATATAAAGCAAATCAATGACCCCCGGGGCGGGGCCAATTTTGACCTCTGGGCTTGTATTTGAACAAACTTGGTAGACACCTATTAGAACATGTTTGATGCTCAATATCTTAGCCATAGCTCTTTGAGTTCTTTAAAAGAAGATTTTTTAAGTTTTTACTATATGCATATAGGGAAAATCAATGACCCCCCGGGGCGGGGCCAATTTTCACCCCAGGGCTTTTATTTGAACAAACTTGGTAGACACCCATTAGAACATGTTTCATGCTAAATATCTTAGCTCTAGCTCTTTGGGGGTTCTTTAAAAAAGATTTTTTAAGTTTTTACTATATGCATATAGGGAAAAACAATGACCCCCAGGGGCGGGGCCAATTTTGACCCCAGGGCTTTTATTTGAACAAACTTGGTAGACACTCACTAGAAGATGTTTCATGCCAAATATCTAAGCTCTAGCTCTTATGGTTTTTTAAAAGAAGATATTTAAAGTTTTTTCTTTTGGTTGCCATGGCAACCAGAGTTTTGCATGGAATTAAATTCTTTGAACAATTTTTAAAGGTGACCACCAAAGGAACATTCCTGTGAAGTTTGGATGAAATTGGCTTAGTGGTTTATGAGGAGATGTCATTTAAAGTAAAAGTTTACGGACGGACGACAGACGGACGGACGGACGAAAAGCGATCACAAAAGCTCACCCTGTCACTTTGTGACAGGTGAGCTAAAAATCCAAAGTCCTTGTCGGGATTTAAACCTACAGCAGTGAGGGACAAGTGGTTTGAGATTAACAAACTTAATCACTCTGTCATACAGATAGCATGCACTACTATTCTTAGGGTGCCAGGTTGTAAAACAAAGGTTATGCAGGAACTTAAAATCACAAATGGAAATAATTTAGCAAAGATCAACGATAAGAGTTATGGATATATGAATATACAAGATATTAGTAGTATATAAGAAGTATTAGGCTATGGAATACAGAAATAGGTATGCTAGCTTTTAAATAATCAAAAATATTCTACTTACTCCCTTAAACTTGAAAATTTTCTGTAAAGGCTTCTGCCAAATAACTCATATTGAACAGAAATGTCAGGCAAAACAAATTATCTGACCTCTGTTTCCAATAACAAAATACTGCATTTGAAGACTAAGACAAATTTTATCTAATCTTTAAATGAATTAATTTTATTCTGTAAAATAAACAAACTTCAATATACAACTTACTAGGATACATAGCTCCACATTCTTTCACCCCAGTGTAATAACTTGTGACCTATTCGTGTAAACAGACCCTGAAAAATCAAAGAAAGAAATTTGTAACTTTACCTAATGATAAAAAGAACAGTGTACCATTCCATGTGGGTATGCATATTTAAAAAATTATTTTTAACTCTTAATCAATTTCCTCCTATAAAATCTTAGTCAAGATTATTTTTCTCATTTAAAGGCAAGAACCATGCAGATCTTTGAAGAGAAAGTGGTCGAAATATGGACTCAATGTCTTTCTCTCAACCATACTGTAGATCCCAAATCAGAGCTCATCCTCTACAAAAGCCATGGCTTTTTCCTTAATTATTTTGTCCAGTTAATTATACAGCCACACTGAAACTTTTAAGATAATATGCAGCTTTTTATTGTTTCAGTTGAGGATGAACCTCGATATCCTTCCCTCCCTGCATTATCTGTGGCATATGCAGAAAAACAAGTAAACAACTGATATTTTCATTTTAATTCTTATTTGTCTTTTTTATTGGGTTTTATGTGGCACCAACTCAGTAAGTAAAGGTCACATGACAGCTTTAGTGGTGGAGGAAGACCTCAGTTGCCCATACGTGCATTATTTCAGGCAATTGAGTAGAACAACCGATGTTCTATAGGCTAGCTTGATAGCTTCCTCACATGAATGAATCCAAAGTCCATTTCAGGATTCAAACCCATAGCAGTGAGGGGCAAGTGGTTTGAATAACCTTAACCACTCGGCCACAGGTGCTTCATTTTAATACTTTATATGGCTTTTGTACTAAAAGATATTAAGGAATCTATGTCAACATTTTAGAGTTACATTTATCTAACCCAATCGATGTTTATACTACAAATATAACATTGCATGGATTTGTACATCTAAAAATAACACATCTCTATATAATAATAATAAGCTATTATACCAGGCCATGCTCATTGAACAGTTGTGGTGGGGTAACTTTATATGGCATCACAGTATCGGTGGTAAGGAGTAGATTTAAACGTTTCTCTAGTGTAGATCCACAATGCCTCTCATTTTCCGGTTCCCAGCCCGTTTCCAGCCACTCATACTTCATCTGGTACTTCTCTATACGCCATAATATAGCCACCTGTAGAGAAAACACCTGACAAGTTTTAAAACATAGATGTCATTGTCTTAAATAACTAATGTAATTACAATTTAATTTGGTTGATTTTGAAAATCTGACTTTCTCATTATAGGTCATCACAGGGTCAAAGTCATATTTCAATGTTTTGTGCCAAGACTTATATTGTGTTAAAGTAGGAATTGATAATCTTATAAAATGGAAATGTGATGGCTACAGTCATTTTCTATACATATAGCAAGTGCTTTCCTTTTCCGAATACCCCAAAACATCAACTTTGTTTCAAGCTTTTCTTCACTGTATATTTTGTATGTTCTAAATAATACATAGAGGATATTCAAGTTTTTTCTATAAATACAGGATTTATTTTCATCGAGTGGTATGAAATATGGTAATTTTCATGCCACAAGATGAAAATAAATCATGTATTTATAGAAAAAACTTGAATTTTCTGTTTATTATATACATTTTTCTCTTTCTGGACATTAAAATTTGAAAGACTTTCCCTTAAATTTTAAGTACTGGCAGAATTTAAAAGAAAGTAGTCCGGCAAGACACCAGTGAAAATACGGAAAATATGTTTCACTGCAGTGAAAAATAAATTTTTACAGTGAAAATACGGAAAATCAAAATACGTATTTTATTTCATCAATATTTCTCAATATTTCATTTATAAGTATATAATAAACTGATTTATTATTCACTTAAAAATATAAATACATTTATAAACAAATTTAAGCTGTACAAGTATTGTTTTTTTTTTAATTGTTCACAAAATCCAGAACAAGTAGATATTAGCTATCATTTTTTTCTGCAGGATGTGCATTTAAGGTTAATAAGATATGTTTTATTTGATTTTACGGTGCACAAACACAACTTAGATAAATGACGCCAAAACAGGAAAAATGATTTTGGCTTAATCGAGTATTACAAACTTCAAGCAACAATGGGGTCAAAACAACCTAAACTACTGTAGCAAAGTGATGCATAGACTCCAGTTATTGATACCCAATTAGTCACCTGTTATGATCAAGCAGGGATAAAAGGTGACTGCAGTTCTTATGCCTCAACCCTTAAAGGCTACCCCATAGACACAAAAGAGAAACAAGACAAAAAAGTCATGTTCAAAACCTAAAGGTTTATAGTCTTACCTTAAGTTTATTTTCTCCGGATTGTAATTGTTTGCCTTTAGACAACGATCTGATAAAATCTTGCTGTGTATCCTCGTAAACGTATGCAAACTGTACCCGCGTCCTGTCAGAGAGTCCTGATCGTTGCGAGTACTTTCTAAAGCCATCACGATAACTGTCATGACTTTTTTCTTTCTTCGTGATAAGCACCACACACAATCTGTAATGTATTACACACAAAAAATCATATTTCACAGTTTCAAATTTTGGTATTGCCATGTGATATATTTAAGGTTTAAGATTTAAATAATACTGATTTTTTTCCCGCGTAAGTATGGATACTAAAATTATGCTACTACATATTAAAATAAGAATCTGGTCAAATATTTTTGAAAATTTTAATTCAAAATCTTTCTCTAAGAAAATCATATGAAAACATCAACCCTGTGAGATTTAATCCTATGAGTACTACTTAGGACAAATAATGTTCTATAAATTGTTCCAAAAATCATGCATATAGCAATGTTAGCATTCAGAATTTGTATAAGGTATAAACATTGAAAAAATTTGCTTTTTGTATTCAGTATATACAGACTTCAGAAATATTCCTCAAAAATTTCACCTGTGTAGGATTTTGTGCTACCAGTAGAGATCCAGTCTAGTTTACCGTCTTGACACTACTCTACATTACTGGTATTACATGTTCAATTTAAAACATTTGGCTACTGAAATCCCTTACAACTACAATGGACAGTTCCAAATTCATAGAATAGACAATGTATTGTACCACATAATTGGTCAAGCTGCATGCCTCCAGATAATGCAAAATATTTTAAGAATATCAAATTCTGGGGAAAAAAGTACCAAGCTTTTAAGGAATGTAAAAAAGATTAAAGATTTAAGTTATAACTTTCATGTTATTTATCATCATATTTCTACTGCATGACTAACACAGTATGGGCTATTGTTTCACATGTTGAACACTTTTCGGTAATTTAAGTAGATTGTAAGTGCTGTTTGCAATATGTTCATCACTTTCTTTGTTTACAACATTTTACTTTAAAATACATTTTTATAACTTTCATGAAAATTATCATAAATCTGGAGACACGCTGCTAACAGTTTAACTTGCCTTCTATTTTTTGCCTTATATTCTTCCGGGCACAGCTCTTCAAAGAATTTCTGGGAAGACAGTCTTGGTAAAGCTAGATGTTTATTTCCTTCGATCACCTCGTCAAAAGAGGCGCGGGACAACTGCTGCATCTGTAGTGTAAAGAAAACACATACATGTAGTTAAAACACATATAATTCAATACACATCATAGCACAGAGGTTTTTTGACATGACAGGCCTAAAAATATTCTTTCGAGATTTTTGTACCATTTGATATAGGTAGAGACCAGTAACCTGAGTCATTTCCTTACTTTGTTTTTCCAGAATTATTATTTTTAATGTGCAAAATGCATGGTTTTCATTTTTATCCAAGGCAACAGATGTGCCAGCAAAACAACCAATTTGGCCAAAAGTCAAAGGGGGATATTTCAATGTTCAGGCTGAAAATAATTCAATATTTGTTTACAAAAATTACTATAACTTACACTGATTGAAGCTACAGGAGATACAGATTCTTCATTGAACATCAGCAAAGTTTCTCTATTATTGTTGACATTGTATTTACTCATCAAGCCACCAGCCATGCCCAACTTGGTGTTCACGAATCCAAAAGCCACGTTGTCCTTGTAAGACAGAACAGATGCCAGGAACCGGACAGATTTCTCCTCTCGTGGACTGAAGAATATCGCCCGAACTTTATTATCCACTGGCCAGCCATCCAGAAAGTCGTGGACTGTGGAATCAGTTATCTGAGTTCGAAATATTACATTGATCATGAAACGAAGAGATATTTAAGGTCAAAATATTCTGTTTTTGACTTTATTTTTGAAAGATTAACAAACAATTTGAAGAATAGAATCTTTTAAGATACATGAATAACAAAACTTTCTGCAAAACTAAACTTACAAAACATTTACATACATGTATATGTTACATATGATATATAACATATACCTTACATACATACATGTAAAACAAATCCAACAGTTATTTGATTACCAGTAATTCCAACAAAAAATATCTTTAGTTATGGACGTTTATCGGAGTGTCTGAAAACTATGAATTCAGATTCCAGATCATTATTCCTTGCAGATTATAAAACATGCACAAACCTTTGTAACAAAATGTGTAGGGAATATATTTCTAATGAATTCTCTAAGACCCTGTATACTGACTGGTCCCCGGTAGTAACTGACCCTCTCTCCCATCACTCCAATGATGGATGGTACCTGGGTTACACGTAACCGAGCTGCCAGGTTACTGGCTCTACCTGCGTGGAATGTCGCCCCACAAACACCTGTGTAAGTTAAAATATATAAAACTATTAGATGTACTCCTATTTTAACAGTTTCAATACACACAAAGGAGAGGCACAGTTGTTATTTCTAAGCTATCAAACTTGCCATTCTTATTCCCTGTCTTTGACCTAAGCAACTTTTATCTACACATAACCATGTTATAACCAAAATACATTCAAAATTTAATTTTCCTTCTTAAATTTTATCATTACAGCCATACAACTGAGAAAACATTCTTTATTCAAACAAGGGACAATGTTGGAAAAAATATGAGTTTCAGAAAGAAATATTTTCCTGTCTTGAAAACAACATAATGAACATGAATATTAACATTAGATGGATTAAGACAAATAATCCCTGTAATTTTTAATTAAAGTGGGATTGGTCTACAAATGGAAGCATATTCCATAGACGTTCCTGTTAATTATTTCTAGGAGAAAAAAAAGTTTGAAAGAGTTCTAAATGATTGAGAATGATCATTCATAAGATGAAAATAATGTTTTGTATCTAGTTATAGATATGTTATATCGGATCATGTATCTAATACCTACCCTATCATTTATATATAATTGTTTTGCCCTTTGTTGTCATGTACAAATGTATGATACTAAATTATTATCTAACTATCAACATACATGTCATTATACATCATTACATGTATGTTATAACAGACCTGACCTTCTATTATAAAGCTGACATCATTATATTACCATGTACATGATGTATTTGATTAATATATTAGATTATATTGACATAGCAGAATTCAATTATCGTTTATTAGCTTATTTACTGTTATGTTAATATGACATGTAATTGACAATATTGACTATTTTTATATATGTTAGTAGTATTATTAGATGCTGTGGAAAATTTAGTGTAGAAAATATGTAACAGTGATGAAATAAGGCATTTACAGTCATGTACATGTATCTATTACACTTCCTTGTAAATTTATGACATTCTACAGTTTTACTGCTTACTTTGTGTATAATCTATAAATATTTTACGTATATTACAATGTTTAAAGTGAATTGGTCTACATGTATTGATCAATACAAAACCTATGTACTGGTTACTCTGAAGTATAGCTCTAATTCTATTATTATACACTTTAGCACATTTCAGTGCTATGACATGTTATCATGGATTGGGTAGAAGACAAAAATGATGTAAACTCAAAATTTACAAAGTTGCAGGCTAACTTCTTTAACCTATTGCCAATGGATGGAACAGTGTAGAGGACCTATAAGAAGCTATGCCCCTAATATGCCAAAGTAAGAACTAAGAAGAAATGGGGCTTGTCAACTTACCAACAGTTTTCAGTTCAGACAGGAACTTTTCAATAATACCCTCCATTCTCATACAGTTAAAACAGAAGTCTGTGTATGCGTATATCACACAGGGTCTAATATGACTGTTAGGTAGAATTGTTGTTTCATATTGTCTGAAATAAACAGCAAAATAAAACGGAGTGTTTACAACAAAATATATTTTCTAGTCTTTTTTTCACATTCAAATTATTTATTTCTTATGAACAGACTTAATCAAAATGAATCTGAAATTTTCATCTCTCATTTTCCAGAAGTACTGTGTTTCTTCTTCTTTTACACATGTAAAAAAAAGAGCTCTGGCTTGTTAAAGTTCCAAAAGACTTTGTCAAATTCAAATAAATGTTCTTGCTCAATGTTTCATCAAAGCATGAATAATGTGCCTTAATTATAAGTGCTTTCATTTTTACTGACTATTTTAATTTTGATACAATGTCCATTGAAGTACATGTAGCTAAGCAAATCAGTACTGCTTATACATGTATATATAAGAAAATTTCAAACATATTAAAATTAAAATAAACCCTTTGCCTACAAACGGTAGCTGATCCTCCTCTATGACAGATGCAGACCAAGATCAGTTGAAACATCAGTGCCATCTGACCATGGTCTGAACTGTTCTCCTTTCAGTAAGGTAAAAGTAAGAAATTTTCTCTTAAAATGTAGAATTGTTTTGTCTCGATTAAAAGATGGACAAGTCCATTTAAGACATTTAATGTGGAAAGGGTTAAAAATTTATCAAATTAGGTTCTACAATGTATTATATACATGTATATACCTCAGATTGATTGTGTGTTTGTCAATAATAGATTCTGTATTCCCGCCTCCACCACCAAAATTAAAGTTAAAATTAAAGCCATGTGGACCATCAAAAAACGACTCGAATGGATCAAACCCATGATGCTGTCTACTTGGTCTATGTGCATTAGACGAGGTATAACCAAAGTTATCATATTCACTCCTCTTCTCAGAATCACCTAGTGTCTGAAATAAAGAAATTTATTCATTTAAATTATATATACTATAAAGTTAAAACAATGTATTTTATAAACTTTATCAAATGATTGTTTAAGCATATAAGAAGACAGTTGACAAGATAATTTCTTGTGGTGACTTCTATACATCAAACCGGTGTAAATAATTATTTAAAATAAAATGAAAAATTTAATATGTACATTGTAAAGATGTTAAAACAGAACAACATTTTTCATTTTGCAAGTGGAATTAATATAAATACCAATTTAAGCTGAAAATTCTATTTGTGTCGACCCCTGAGAAATATTCAAATCTATAGTCTGCTATATTAGATCTACAAGTCATGTATGTTTATCCAATCTCTTCTAAAATCATTTAGGCCCCAACATGATATGGTAATGTTGTATGTAAATGTGGATTATTGTAACGGTAATGTTGTATGTAAATGTGGATGATTGTAACGGTAATGTTGTATGTAAATGTGGATGATTGTAATGGTAATGTTGTATGTAAATGTGGATGATTGTAACGGTAATGTTGTATGTAAATGTGGATGATTGTAATAGTAATGTTGTATGTAAATGTGGATGATTGTAATGGTAATGTTGTATGTAAATGTGGATGATTGTAACGGTAATGTTGTATGTAAATGTGGATGATTGTAACGGTAATGTTGTATGTAAATGTGGATGATTGTAATAGTAATGTTGTATGTAAATGTGGATGATTGTAACGGTAATGTTGTATGTAAATGTGGATGATTGTAATAGTAATGTTGTATGTAAATGTGGATGATTGTAACGGTAATGTTGTATGTAAATGTGGATGATTGTAATAGTAATGTTGTATGTAAATGTGGATGATTGTAATAGTAATGTTGTATGTAAATGTGGATGATTGTAATAGTAATGTTGTATGTAAATGTGGATGATTGTAATAGTAATGTTGTATGTAAATGTGGATGATTGTAACGGTAATGTTGTATGTAAATGTGGATGATTGTAATAGTAATGTTGTATGTAAATGTGGATGATTGTAACGGTAATGTTGTATGTAAATGTGGATGATTGTAATAGTAATGTTGTATGTAAATGTGGATGATTGTAACGGTAATGTTGTATGTAAATGTGGATGATTGTAATAGTAATGTTGTATGTAAATGTGGATGATTGTAACGGTAATGTTGTATGTAAATGTGGATGATTGTAATAGTAATGTTGTATGTAAATGTGGATGATTGTAACGGTAATGTTGTATGTAAATGTGGATGATTGTAATAGTAATGTTGTATGTAAATGTGGATGATTGTAATAGTAATGTTGTATGTAAATGTGGATGATTGTAATAGTAATGTTGTATGTAAATGTGGATGATTGTAATAGTAATGTTGTATGTAAATGTGGATGATTGTAATAGTAATGTTGTATGTAAATGTGGATGATTGTAATAGTAATGTTGTATGTAAATGTGGATGATTGTAATAGTAATGTTGTATGTAAATGTGGATGATTGTAATAGTAATGTTGTATGTAAATGTGGATGATTGTAACGGTAATGTTGTATGTAAATGTGGATGATTGTAATAGTAATGTTGTATGTAAATGTGGATGATTGTAATAGTAATGTTGTATGTAAATGTGGATGATTGTAATAGTAATGTTGTATGTAAATGTGGATGATTGTAACGGTAATGTTGTATGTAAATGTGGATGATTGTAATAGTAATGTTGTATGTAAATGTGGATGATTGTAATAGTAATGTTGTATGTAAATGTGGATGATTGTAATAGTAATGTTGTATGTAAATGTGGATGATTGTAACGGTAATGTTGTATGTAAATGTGGATGATTGTAACAGTAATGTTGTATGTAAATGTGGATGATTGTAATAGTAATGTTGTATGTAAATGTGGATGATTGTAATAGTAATGTCGTATGTAAATGTGGATGATTGTAATAGTAATGTTGTATGTAAATGTGGCTGATTGTAATAGTAATGTTGTATGTAAATGTGGATGATTGTAATAGTAATGTTGTATGTAAATGTGGATGATTGTAATAGTAATGTTGTATGTAAATGTGGATGATTGTAATAGTAATGTTGTATGTAAATGTGGATGATTGTAATAGTAATGTTGTATGTAAATGTGGATGATTGTAATGGTAATGTTGTATATAAATGTGGATGATTGTAATAGTAATGTTGTATGTAAATGTGGATGATTGTAATGGTAATGTTGTATATAAATGTGGATGATTGTAATAGTAATGTTGTATGTAAATGTGGATGATTGTAATAGTAATGTTGTATGTAAATGTGGATGATTGTAATAGTAATGTTGTATGTAAATGTGGATGATTGTAATGGTAATGTTGTATGTAAATGTGGATGATTGTAATAGTAATGTTGTATGTAAATGTGGATGATTGTAATAGTAATGTTGTATGTAAATGTGGATGATTGTATTACTATGCGTTTGAAATATGAATTAAATGCGCAGAAAAAACTTTATATGGTTAATTATTGTATAAACATCTGATGATTTAAACCATTATATATAGTAAATTCACATAAAGAAACTACAGTCTAAATGTTATCAGCTGCATCAACCGATTGGCAAGAAAAACCACAGGATGTGAATATTAAATCAAAAATGTAAATTGTGTAAGAATGACCATTAATGCAAACAGAACTTAATTTAAAAGCAAAAAGTTATAAACCTCATATGCTTCTGCAATTTTGGTAAATTTGTCTGTCGCCTCTGGATCATCATTCTTATCTGGGTGCCTACAAAAATAAAAAAAAACTCATTTAAAAAGTTCATGTGTTAGGTAATTAATTGGGAAGTCCGTATATTTACGCTTACCAATCGCTTAAGATGATAAATATTGATCATTCATGCATAATTGCATGACGTAATAAGCAAATCCTATTGTAAGTACATAGACTAATGATGTATTACACATCATTAGTAGGTCTCTACCGATTGAGCAATCCTTTTCTCAACCCTAATTTCTAGTAATTAGTAATGTTATTGCTCATAAGTGGACTTCAAAATAGTTCAGTGGTCAAAAAAGTAAATAATTTTTGAAATTCTTATGGTGGCTGATTTGTGCCATTTGTGTTTTTGCGCAGGGACTCCGCTGAGCGAAAAGTCAAGAATTAACAAGTTAAAATGACGGGGCACGGAACAAAAACATGCTAATTTAATACTTGGGGTGATGTGTTATTTATTAAACTTCGCCTCACCTCAGGCTTAAAACAAGTTTCGCTCCCCGTCATCGCTGTTTTATTTCTTAATCTCATTCCGCGCCCCAGTGGGCGAAGTATTATTAAACCTCCACCCAAGCTAATTAGGGTGTTTTCGTCCTTCGCCCAGCCATTTTATAATGTTTATTCTCTACTTTTCGCTTGGCAGGGTCGCAGGGCAAAAAAAAACTAATTACCAGGGGCCTGGGGCCAAGTTTCATTTATTAAACACGTCATTGCTTTTTAGCGTGTTTTTACTCAGAGCCCCCGCTATTTTAACTTGTTATTCTTGACTGTTTTGCTGAATCCGGGTCAGCTCGGCCCTAAAACGTACTCGGCCCCCCGAGTCAGCTCGGCCCTATTCCAACTCGGCACGGGTCAACTCGGCCCACTTTTCAATTATTAATATTAAGGTTTGTGTTAACACTATTCATTGTAATTATTGTAATTATTTTTAATACACGAATTGACAGTTTCGAACTAGCAGCTTATCTTATCAGTAGAATTGCGAGTAAAGTTAACCGATTGCGTATCTCATTGTATTTCTACATATTTTCTTTATTACTTTAACTAGATAATGCACAGACAAGGTCTTTCTATTTGGTAGAAGAAGAAAAACGTATGACAGGTGCAAATGAATTACGGCAGCAATCAATGCGCTTATACGGAAGATTTAATTAGAAGCTTATGATATTAAGTAAACACGTTTTTGTTTCATAATTTTTTTAATATTACTTTACAAACAAAATGCATCTAAGGAAACACATTTCATTAGAATCTATATTTATATTAATTTTATCGAATCTGCAAGACAGATAGGATAAATAACTTTTTTTTTTTAAATATACTTTATATCTGAAGATGTATAATTATATAATAATAAAATATTTCTTATTATTCATTTACCTTAACAACATGCAAAGCAAATTTAATTTGTTATATATGTTTTTGTAATGTGGGCCGAGTTGACCCGTGCCGAGTTGGTATAGGGCCGAGTTGACTCTTTTCCGTTTCGCTTGGTAGGGTTGCGGGGGTTGTAATAGAATGCGAAATGGACTCCATTTCGCGAAATGAACTTACCGCCTACGAAATGGACAATTATTTGTTTAACCGTGATGAGTAACATTATTTTTATTAATTTATGTTTAACATATGACATAAAACTACAGATTGAACCAATTAATATTACTATTTTCTTATTTTATAGTCATATTTCTGAAAATAATCTGGCCTCTACGAAATGGAGTTTTCGCTTACGGAATGGACATTTGCTTTACAAATTATGGTGCAACTGACATGTCAAAAAGGGTATCTTTTCTATTCACGTACGTTTAATCTGGGACGACAAAAATATTTTTGTCCCAGGTTAAACATATATGATATAAAAGAATCTTTCTATTTGAAAGTCCATACATGTATAAAACACTGAACTATGTGGCATTATTATACGATTATTTTGATTCCGGGTCAGCTCGGCCCTAAAACGTACTCGGCCCCCGAGTCAGCTCGGCCCTATACCAACTCGGCACGGGTCAACTCGGCCCACTTTTCAATTATTTATATTTAGGTTTGTGTAATCACTATTTTTTGTAATATTTGTAATTATGTATAATACACGGACTTAATTTTCAGCTTTTGACAATTACAAACAAATTAAATGAAATTGGTTAAAGACATTAAAGGGACTCTTATTGTCACAGGCTATTATTATCAATCAGCGTGTTCGTAAGGATACCGATTAATTAGGTGATAATTATGATTGACGCATGCATTTAAAATTGATTAGTGACCACCTGCAATTAATTAGAAGCTTAATTATGATATTAAGTAAACATGTTTTTGTTTCATTTTTTTTTTAATATTACTACGTTAAATATATTTTTTTAAAGTGGGCCGAGTTGACCCGTGCCGAGTTGACCCGTGCCGAGTTGGTATAGGGGCCGAGTTGACTCTTTTCCATTATTTTCAAATATACAAGCATAAATAATGAAAAATTATTACCAAAATTGTTTAAATAGTAATTTTATGTCATATATCACTTGTTCGTTATTAAAAATGATATTAAATAGTACACTTAAACCAAAATTTAAGAAAAAAATGTCCATTTCGTAGTCGAAAAGTTCATTTCGCGAAATGGAGTCCATTTCGCATTCTATTACTACCGGGGTTGCGGGGCGAAAACACAAATGGCACAAATCAGCCACCAAGAATTCTAGATTCGTTTTCCCAACTCTCATATGTTGCATCAGCAAAAAATCTTTACCATTCCCTCGCTAATTTCTTGTAAGCTCGTTTTATATCTGCTTGTGTAGCTGTCTTTCTCACACCTAAAACATCATACAAATTTTCCTCAGCTGCAGCGCAAATGCTATAAGAAAGGAGTAGAAAACCAGCATAAAAAAGAAAATCAATGTGCATTCTTAAAGCTTTAAGATACTCTCCCTCTCAATGTTTTGTCAACACTAACTTAGTTTTGATTTTGTGAATAATCAATATGACATTTTCACTGTGCAAAGCCAGGCTTAATGAACCGGTAGAATAGTTTCGAATTTGTAAAAGAATAAAGACTTGAAATATTATTGAAAATAGAAGTAAGTTTAGTATCAAATTATGAGTATTATTTGCACAGTTAGTTTATTAATTGGTAATTTTAATGAATTGTAGGTCTTAGCTAATAAATTTAAATTTCGAATATTTCAAATTAATGACAAATAATAGCTTCCGGTAGCGTGCGAAAAAACGAAAATAGAAATTATTAAAAAAGTTACCGGTAAAATATTTCATAATCATATAAAATACATTCATCTAAATTTGATGAAAGATCTTATGTGTTTTTTTTTAATATCTATTGATAAGAACGAACAGTATATGTACTAAACGAATCCGGGTCAGCTCGGCCCTAAAACATACTCGGCCCCCGAGTCAGCTCGGCCCTATTCCAACTCGGCACGGGTCAACCCGGCCCACTTTTAAAAATGGGTAAAGGACATCAAAGGACTCCTATTGTCACATACTATTATTATCAATCAATGTGTATGTTAAAGATGCCGATTAATTAGGTGATAATTATGATTGACTCATTCATTCAAATTTGATTAGTGACCACCTGCAATTAATTAGAAGCTTATGCTATTAAGTAAACATGTTTTTGTTAATATTTTCTTGAAAATTACTTTACAAACAAAATGCATCTAAGGAAACACATTTTTATTATATCTATATTCACAGGCACAAGTATCGGACCTGGGAAGAAAAAATATGAAGTTATTTTATCAATCTGTTCATATTTTTTCTTCCCAGGTTCGATAATCGTGCCTGTGTCTATATTAATTTTATCGAATCTGCAACACAAATAAATAACTTTTTTTCTAAATATACTTAATTTCAGCAGAGGTACAATGTATAATTATATAATAATAATAAGATATTTCTTATTATTCATTTACCTTAACAACATGCAAAGCAAAGTAAATACGTTATAGGCCTATATATTTTTGTAAAGTGGGCCGAGTTGACCCGTGCCGAGTTGACCCGTGCCGAGTTGGTATAGGGCCGAGTTGACTCTTTTCCGTACTAAACAGGAATCTGTGTTCCTCTGTTTTTTCTGAAATTGTCTTTTTTTCTGAAAATTTAAATTATTATTTTCTTTCTCTACAATTTGAGGGTTTATAAATGCGTAGTTATTATCATATTAATTCTTTGTAACTATTATCAGCAATGGTACCTAAAGGAATGAACTGAGAAATTTGTTGGAGTAATTTGAAATTCACTGTTTACAGTTATCAATTTTCTGTTTCACTGTTTACATTGTTATGTTTTACTTTTAACAAAATTTGTTCCAATTCTTTAATAATTTTCCATAAATGCACATGACTTTTCATCAGACAATGTGAACTGTAGATAGAGACATGGCAAATCGTCTTTTAGGACATGGCAGCTTGTGAATTGATAAATCATTAAATGACAGTTTGACATTAATTCACAGTCTGTCTTAATTATGGTCTGCCCTGTCCCAAACTATGGTCTTCCTTGTCCCAATTGACAGTCCATCCTGTCACTTGGTCCAACCATTCCCAGTCTGTGATATATTTGAATAAAGCAAAAACCTAAGGCTAGAAGAATCCGGGTCAGGCCTGTAAAATTTTCCACATAACTAGCCTATGTCAGTATGTGTAGGTCTATTTACCCCAAGACACCCCAAGACTACTCTGGGACAGAAAGGTATACAATTTTAGTCCCAGGACTACCCCAACAGCCCAAGACAGTCCCCAAGAAACTTATACAGGGTGTCCGTTTGACCCTTGAAATGACTCTTTGACCCTTCAAATTTCCAAAAAGCCTGATTTGACCCTCAGGATTTTAACTGGAGGGTCAAATTTTGTTAAAATCATGGGGATTGGGCCTTGAAGTCAGTAAAACTTAGTCAAAATGACCCTCAGGATTTCATGGCTAGTGAACACCCTGTTATATATTGTGTATATTGGGAAAGTGTTATTATATACAACAACTAATTATTTATGTGTCATCTTGTTAATTACTGTCTAATATATCAAACATTGTTAATTATGTATGGACTTCTTTCATCACTAAAATATTTATTGATATGCTCTTTAATATAAAAAAAATATTTTGATTAAAATTAACTTTACCAAAACAACAAGACTATGTTAATCTAGTGAAATGTAGGGCAGATGAAATAAAAAAAATCAATATTGTGAAACAAAATATGATCGATTTAATAATCAGGCTTCAAAAATGTGTCACTCATAAAATGACATTGTCGCAGAATTAAACTTGCTGAGTTGCACTACACCCAAATCCCGCATCATTGGCATTATTTCATTGTTCATGTTGTTGTAAACATATTTTGCACAAAAAAGAAAAAATACAGGGAAATTAATGAAGAGAGATTTAATGTGTAAATGTGAAATTCCTCCCGTAAAAAAGGAAAAATAAAGACATATTTACATGTCAGTAAAAGTGTCTTGGGTGGTGTTTGGGTGTCTTGACGTTGTCTTGGGATAGTCTTGGGGTGTCTTGGGGTAAATGGATGGACAGCTAGCCTACAAGTGAAAGATATGCTGCCAATGTCTGAAAATTAAATGACTGAATTTCAAATACATGTATTTTTACTGTCCACTTTCAAAGCTTAACATTTTTGGGCTTGTAAAAACCAAATACTGTAGGGCTAACTAGTAAATATTGCCAACCACTATTCCAAATGGTTCTCTGCAGTCCTAAAACATCATTTTACTTAATGAATTATTACTTCATATTAAATTAAGGGCATCTCTTGTGGAGTGGCTAAGGTTGCAAATTTCCTATCACTTGCTTCTCTCTACTGTGGGCTTGAATCTGTTGGGGATTTTGGATTATTTTGCTTAATTGTATACTTTGTGATTACTTATATTTTGAATGTACATGTATTTATAATTTAGACAAACAGATTAAGTATGGCTGATGATTGGGGAGCTATTGTTGATGAGCAGGAAAAAAATATAACCCAGAAGGTAATACTTTCATATTGAAAATTTCTTTTTTAATTCCATGGGAGCTTTTGCTTTTCTCAATACACAGATAAACAGTGTCATAACTAGCAGACATACAGGTTATTCTTATCAGTTTATATCAATATATGTTTCAAGTAAAGATAACCGGCTACATATCTCTCTGTATAAATCATAAGTAAAATGGCCCACAGGTGAAAAGTTCAACACTTAATTTAAGTACTTAAGTGTCAAAAAATATGTTGAAGTATTCATATTGATATGAAGCAAGGATCACAAGATTTTCATTGGTGTATTACTATAAAAAGTTTGGTAATAAAAAAATAAATCGCAAGAAACTAGCAGTTTAAAAATGGCCTTATGTGTATTGTTATAGCTCTAGTAATATCGATTTTACTCGCAATTCAGGACAGATAACTCCCCAACTTGGTTTTCGTTCAGTATTCCTTGGATATTTACGTAGTTCATATAGGCACCATTTATGGCATATTGTACATTACATTACTGTCATTCCTCACCTTGTTTTGGATAACTTTTGTGGAATTTATCAATTTTGTTAAAATTTTATGAAATGCTTTGAGAATATTGTATAGCCGTGTGTTTAACTTTTAAATCGTATCTATAGTGCCCTCATTACTATGAGAACTGGAAAAAATTTGTACATTTAATCAATATACATTATTATGTAACAAAATGTATCTATACAAAGAAAAAGGTATTGACTGACTGGTAAGTTTTCATTCATTTGTTGTAGGTTGGAGGTTTAAACATCGCAGCTGGCACCTCAGCTAGTAGTGGAGACAAGGCTGAGGGGAGCACTACTGTGACACAACCATCTGACTCCCAGGTTGCATCAGCTAGTGGCGGGGCTACAGGAGGGCCCACAGCAGGGGCTACAGCAGGAGCAGGAGATTCTGCCTCACCTAAAAAGGAGTCAGGAGCTGCAGGAGAAGAGGAGGAATCTAGTATGTTATTAAAGCAAATAAAACCAATTGTGATATCTGATTGATTGATTAATTGATTGGTGATGGATGATTGATAGATTGATTGATTGATTGACAGGTTGATTGATGGACTGACATTGGTTGGTTTGTTGGTTGATTGGCTGGTTGATTGACTGACCAACCGACCGACTGACTGATATTGAAGCATATAACTTGTCAGACATCTTTATATAATATACCCACCAAAGGTAGAAGTGGCACAAAGATTCATGGGATTGATTCCATACAAGTATTTCAATTTACATGTACTTTAGATCGTTTGTATAATCAGCATATAGACTGTATTGATATTTAATGCTAATCAATACCTACATGAACTTTATCTGTGATTTACCATTATCATGCTGATTTGGTATATGTCCTGTTTAAATTAGGAAGCATCAATTTTGAGTTTGAGAGATTTCAGTATCAAAAATATTATAACTTAATCTTGAGCAGTCTTGTTATAAATCCTGATCAGTTTTCACAGACACCAGGCGGGGATACATCTTAAGTCTCAGATAGTGGCATAGGGAACTGAGTATAGCCAATAGCACTGAGGGCAAAATATTTTGAAATGTTTCAGGTGCCTCAAAAGAAGAAGAATCATTGCTAAGGAAACTGCTTCATTCAAAGCTTGTATCAACAAAAGCTGATCTAGAAGTTTTACAGAAAGACCCAAACTCACCCTTGTATTCAGTAAAATCATTTGAAGCCTTAAATCTGTAAGTAATTCCTTGATATCTGCTTTGTTAAACTTTTAGCCCCCTTATTTAGCTTACTAGGAATGAAGGTTCAGAATAAGGTATCTAGCCTCAACTTATATCTTTCCCAAAAGTACTGATTATATTTACGTCAAATTTACTGCGAAGAATCCTAGTTTGCCCCTCTTTGCAATTGTCTCATGTGTGGTACCAATTGTACGTTTTTAGTGGCCACAAAGGCTGTTCGTACAAAAAGCATGAATTGCCTTTACATGAACCACGGATCCTCATGATATTTGGCCTATGATGACCTATAAATTAGTCTTTTTAGAAGTTTTCTGAAAGAATATGGTTGAATGCTGGTATGGGCTACCAGAGCTGTAAAAACTAGAAACTGAAAGCAACTTGTTTGCATGACATGAACTAATGGATAGATCAGTACCACTTTTCTTCTCTCTTACATTCTTTTAAACCAATTACGAAATGTTTCATTTTTGATAATTTCACAGAAAACCTGAACTGTTAAAAGGGGTGTATGAGATGGGATTCAATGCACCATCAAAAATACAAGAGACAGCTTTACCAACATTACTTGCAGACCCGTAAGTATATATTGATCAGTATATCTGATGAATATTGTGCATGACTATTTTACGTGCCACTAAATAATTTATATTGAAAAAAAAAGTAATTTCAATTCATGGCATAAAGAAATGACTCTTTATAGAGTCTAGGATTTAAACTTGAATTACTGTTGATTGCATAGGGTTCGCGTTAGTGTCAAACTTCTGACATCATGTTCTTAAGGTGTGCCTTTTTCCTGCGCTTTGATAGGAACACTCTGAAGTTGCTCAATTTTACTAATGTGTTGCCAGTTACAATTGGCATTATTATAAAAACGTTATACAAGTTACTGAGAATATAGCCTTGCTGACATTAATATAACTCTGGCTAGCGAGTCAAGTCATATTTATTTCATTCAGTCAACATTCTCCCGTATATCGCTAGTGATTTTTCACCTTATATAATAAAAGCCTATAAAAGGCCTCTTCCCAATGGAAATTTAATTGAAAAGTTATCCAGTTTTTTCGAAAATTTGTACTTACTGTAATACACAAGCTTTTTGTCTTCCCAAATTTGTAATTTTAACCATAATTCTTCCCAAAATCAAGAGGCTAAAGCCTCTGTCCAATAAGTGAGTGAAAAACTGATTCCGTAAGCAACTTGTATAACTAATAGTACATGTATGTAATTATTAGTAGATTGATACCAGTAAATAATATATATAATTCATCATTACCCAAACTTCATGAATTTTTTTTTCAGACCAACCAACATGATAGCTCAAAGTCAGAGTGGTACGGGAAAAACAGCTGCGTTTGTGTTGACCATGTTGAGTAGAGTAGATCCCAATTTCCCACATACACAGGTAATCACACTTTACCCATTGAGTTTCTTATGCATACCACTTTTACTATGAAAATCTGTGAAATCCTATGTCTGTCAGATTTCGTTATTTTCTAATATATGTTGAAATTATATGGCAAAGAGCTTTAAATTAATATTTACAGATTAAACTAAAATAAAGATTTAATATAGATTGTAAATTTTAGAGATATTCCTTTTCGGGAATTATTTCTTTTCAATACAATTGGGAATATATTTTTTTTTGTTCACAAAATAAAGCAATTGCAGGGAAAAAAATGAGTGGCTACAGTATGCAAATTTTTGCTTATTATTGGTACCATTTTAACAAAAAATAGGAATTTCTATCAATGGAAATAGGTGTGTTTAATATTTAAACAAAAGGTGTATGTTTCATTGTCAAGGAGTTAATACAGAGTGATATAATATTATTTCAGTGTTTATGTTTGGCCCCGACATATGAGCTAGCTCTTCAAATAGGAGATGTCACAGAAAGAATGGCTAAACATATGAAAAATGTCAAGATTGGCTATGCTGTGAAGGGTGAAAGAAGTAAGTTTTAAGTTGTGTTCATAGTAATATTTGTAGCAAATAGTATCTTAAAAACAGACTGATCACAAATGTTAAATTAACCTTAAATGTTCCAGCATTGATGGATAGATCGAATGGGTAGTATCATTTGTCTGATCACAAACAGCTCTAATCTTTGACATGTACCATTGAACATAATGGATGACCAGAGATATGATATTTATAAGCAAAACAGTTATACACTTGCACTTACTTAAAATGAAGAAAACTGGCATTTGATTCTAAGTTTTATTAGGGTAATAATTTACCATGACTGTGATGAAAGTTGAAGGTTTATCAGTGACTATTCTAGGAGGGGTGATGGGGGGATTCACCCATATTTATGAGAATTCCCCCCTATTTTTTCAGAGGCAGGGGGAAAATTTTACATAGAGAAAGAAGGAAAAAAATCAACAAATGTAATAAATTCTCACTTTTCGATAAAAATCCCCCCTGTTTTTTGAATCCTAGGATAAACACTGGGTTTATATGAAAATATGCTCAAGTCACATTCACATGAGTAACTGGTGCTGGTGTTTAAAGAGAGAACATGGTTATGAGTCATGTAGGACTGAAACCAACAATCCCTGGATTGAGTGGAAGACCTTTTCAATTATAGGGCTTCATGCCCCTTGATTAACAGCAACAGGGCTTCTCACCCCTTAACAGCAATAGGGCTTCACACCCCTTAACAGTAGTAGGGCTTCGCACCCCTTAACACTAAACAGTAATAGGGCTTTACACCCCTTAATTAACAGTAATATGGCTAAACACCCCTTACCTAATTAACAGTAATAGGACTTCCCACCCCTTTATTAACCAGATTCTTAACATAATGCTTTGTATGACATTTTATCCTATTGCTTGAATTTACAGTTGCAAGAGGACAGAAAAGTTTAGATCACATATTGATAGGAACACCGGGAACAGTGTCAGATTGGTGTACAAAATTCAAAAGTATCGACCCTCGAAAGTTGACAGTGTTTGTCCTAGATGAGGCGGATGTTATGATCGCAACACAAGGCCACCAAGATCAAAGTATTCGCATACAAAGGTATGACTTCCACAAAGTGTTATATATAAATTGTTATTATTAACTTTCACCAAGCTAAATATCTTAAATGAACTTGTCCATCTTTCAATATGGGCAAAACCGTTCATTATTCTTGGGGGGGGGGGATCTAAAATTTTTAACAACTGAATAGCGCAAACCGCAGACCATGATCAGACAGCATGCATGTGCCAGCAGATCTTGCCCTGCACTTCTCACTTTGTAAATAAAGTTGCTAAGTGTTGAACCATGTAAAGTTTTAAAATGACATGCCCATCCAAGGTATATAGTGCATGAACAGATGAAAGTTAAAATAAGGCTATATTTTGACAGAAGTCCTTTCAATTTCATAATTTACTTTGTAGAAAAAAACTGCTGTAATATCCAACAATATTTATCTGTAATGTTCATTTAATAAGAAGATTGGGGCAGTCTTCGTATTTTAGGCATATTTATATCTTATTCTAAACATTTTCAAGTATCAATTGTTGTTCAATCACCATTAGAACAGTCAATCTTTTGAAATATGTAGTCAGTTCAGCTCAACTTGATAGCATAATGTCACTTTAATTGAAAAATGTACAGTTAACTGTACTAAATAAGTTTCAAAATATTTATATTTAAGTTGATATGATAACCCTTATACTCGTAGTACCTTCTGAAAAAAAGCTTATAGTTATTAAGCGTGTCTCTATGCTTGTATGTACCCAAAGTTAATAGCATTAATTGTTCCTGAACAAAATATTTGATTTTCTGTAATGAAAGGGGGTGGGGGGTGACTTCATACATGCCATGCCAGTATTTTACTTCAGTTTACAGATATCATTCTTTAAAGTTAGAACTTTGAATTATGTTTTTTATCACAAATTATTGGAGATATGATGTAATTACTTAAACCATGAGATCGCTCTCTTACATGAACTATATTTAGAGATTATGATAATAGTAACTGTATGAATGACATTCCTGATGATATCATATCTATTTTTAGAATTTAGGTAATTTTATTGCATAAGGTCTTATTCTAGAATCTCATTCAAGTATGAGTATTTGATTTCGGAAAAACCTTTTATTCATCTACTGTGAATTCACTTAATTTTGTTGGTATGAAATTTTGTGGTTTTGTCACAAAGAACATTTTTGTGGGTTCTTAAATATGTGGACTATTTTTCCAAAATGTAAATAATGTAATGCAGAATTATCTTAAAGCAGACAAAATGAAATTTTGTGGGATCTTAAATTCTTGGATTGATCTACATGTACCAACAAAAATAAGTGCCCCACAAATAATAATGATGCTCTATTTATAACAGTTTGAAATTGATATTGATTGCTTAACATTTCCATGACTTAACCTACACAAGTGAGCCCATAACTCTTGAATGAAAGCAGAAGTGACTTTTGATCTGAAACGCTTTCCATATTTTCATTATATTTTTTGGCCAGAAAAGCAAAATCTGTTGAGTGGGAGTTGCAAGGGGGTATAGAAAAACGATTAGAACTATATATTTATTATATTTTTTATTAGCTCCTTTATTTTAAGCCAATGAGTTAAGAATATGAACCTTTGCTATAATACAATAAGAACAACAAAGAAAAGATGTGAAACATATTTACAAGGGTCCTAGGTTGGATTCCATTTATGCTGCTCATTATACCCCCAAAAACGAAGTTTGGGGGGGTATATAGGAGTCACCCGGTGGTCGGTCAGTCGGTCTGTCCAGCGGTCCGTTGCATTTTCCTTGTCCGGAGCATAACTTGAAAACTAATGGTTGTAGTCAATATAACTTCATACAATGGTCAAGCACATTGAGAGGAAGTGCAGTGCACAAGAACCATTACTCCATCTTGACTAATTACAGAGTTATTGCCCTTTGTTACTTTTCCTTGTCCGGAGCATAACTTGAACACTACAGGTTGGAATTCAAAACAACTTCATACAATTGTCAAGCACAATAAGGGGAAGTGCAGTGCACAATGCCCATAACTCTATCTAAAGTAATAACAGAGTTATTGCCCTTTGTTACTTTTCCATTGCATTCTTTTGTTTGGACCATAACTTGAAGACTAATGGTTGGAATTCAATATAACATCATACAATGGTCAAACACAGTTAGAGGAAGTGCAGTGCACAAGAACCATAACTCCATCTTGACTAATTACAGAGTTACTGCCCTTTGTTACTTTTCCTTGTCCAGAGCATTATTTGAAAACTACTGGTTGGAATTCAAAACAATTTCATACAATTGTCAAGCACAATAAGGGGAGGTGCAGTGCACAAGAACCATAACTTCATCTCGACTAATTACAGAGTTATTGCCCTTTGTAATTCCATTGCTTTTTTGTCTGATGCATAACTTGAAGACTAATAGTTGGAATACAATATAATTTCATACAATGGTCAAGCACAGATAGAGGAAGTGCAGTGCACAAGAACCATAACTCCATCTTGACTAATTACAGAGTTAACGCCCTTTGTTAATTTTCCTTGTCCGGACCATTACTTGAAAACTACTGGTTGGAATTCAATACAACTTCATACATTTGTCAAGCACATTAAGAGGAAGTGCAGTGCACAAGAACCATAACACCATTTTGACAAATTACAGAGTTATTGCCCTTTGATACTTTTCCTTGTCCAGAGCATAATTTAAAACGTACTGGTTGGAATTTAAAATAACTTCATACAATGATCAAGCACAATAAGAGGAAGTGCAGTGCACAGAAACTATAACTCTGTCCAGAGTTATTAAAGAGTTATTGCCCTTTGTTACTTTTCCATTGCTTTTTTCTTGTCCAGAGCATAACTTGAAAACTACTAGTTGGATTTCAATACTATTTCTTACAATGGTCAAGTATATTGAGAGGAAGCACAGTGTACAGAAATCATAACTCTTTCTGGACTCATTTAAAAGTTTTTTCCCTTTGTTACTTTTTATTGTCCAGTGCATAACTTGAAAATTAATGGTTGGAATTTATTGAAACTTTATACAATGGTCAAGGGCAGTGAGATGAAGTGCAGTGCACAAGAACCATAACTCTAATTGGACTAATTACAGCTATTGCCCTTTGTTACTTTTTTGTCCTGTGCATAACTTGAAAACTTGTAGTTGGAATTCAATACAACTTCATACAATGGTCAAGTGCAAAGAGAGGAATTGCAGTGTACAATAACCATAACTCCATCTTCAGTATTTATAGAGTAATTGCCCTTTGTTCCTTTTCCTTGTCTTTCTGGACTTATTGCAGAGTAATTCAATAAAACTTCATCAATGGCCAACCACATTGAAAGGAAATACAACATACAAGAACCACAACTATCTTTAATTGCCCACAACCATAACTGTATTTCAATTGTTTTACAAGGTATTCTGTTACTAGTAATATCCTCATTTCCGAAGCAGTCTTGCGGGGGTATTAATCACATTTAGTGATAGTTCTAGTTTTACTCACCCTGTCACATGATATGCTTATTTGTTTACAGACAGTTATCAAAAACGTGCCAGATGTTGTTATTTTCGGCCACATATGACGATGAAGTCATGAAGTTCGCACAAGCAGTGATACCAAATAATCCAGTTGTGATAAAGTTACGACGAGACGAGGAGAGTTTAGATAATATCAGACAATTTTATGTACAGTGTCGCGATCAGGAAGATAAATTCCAGGCATTATCAAACATTTACGGAGCAATATCTATAGGTCAATCAATGATCTTTTGCGCTGTAAGTTCTGTTTTTTGTGTCGTCTGGTACAGAGTAGCAGCAGCATACAGGGATCACCTCTCGAATGTTAGTCCGTCCGCCTGTCTTTCTGAAACAAAACTTGTCCGTAATACTCCACAAAAACCAGTGTTGCAATTTCATAATGATCAGCATCAAGTCTAGTTGTGCATATCGTTTTCCTGTTGAATGATTTATGGCTGAGTTATGGCCCTTGAATAAAGAAAGTGTTTTGGCCTAGTAATGATTTTCATGTCTCCAAAGTAGCTACAACCTGCTACAAAGTACCTGTAGATGTTTTCCGTTAAAAATAGTCAAGAATGCGCAGATTTCAACACTTTTCTTTATTCTCATTCATGGAATAATATATCAATGTGATACAACAATGCGATTCTCTGAAAATAATAAATAAACAAACTAAATACTGATTACAACGCATTTAAAATAAAATACAATAAATTGTCTAAAATAATAATGCTAATACAAATCATAAATATACGATATCACCTTTACGATTATAGACTTAATCTATTAAAATAATATTGTTATTTTATATTTCCGCGAATAATTCCGTTTATAATTTAATTCACGGCAAATATTGTAAAGTTCATCATCATTTAAACAATATTGAATTTACTATTAAAATTCATACATTATTAATAACTTGCTTACCGATTATGATCTACTTTCCATTGGAAAACATCAATAAACAAAACACATCAACAATTTAAGCACTTCCGCCCAAGGCAAAACAACATATCAAAGTAACGGTTAATGACGTCACCGTAAAACAATTTAATGACGTCTTTTTACGGGAAACAAATAAGACGTAACGTTTGGCGGAAATAGTGAAGCTATGTTAAATTGAATGAGTCAAACAATGTTTTAAATAGTAAATACTATCGAAACAATCAAACTATGAAAATTATGTGATTATAATAAATAAATTTACAATTAAGAACTATAATTCTTACACTCCCCACCATGAAACGTTACGATTTCATCTTATACAAACAATAGCTTATTGTAATGTATACCTTTACGATTTAAATAGAACATTCTAGTAGGCAAAGTTTTTAGTTATTGGTCTTATGAATTGTGACATACTAGTTTTGACCACACAGCTTCGGGTATGCCCGTCCCGACCACATTTATAGTTACAACCCTGCCAACGGCCACTGTCCCCTTGGTATGTTTTCCTGAGCCACGAGTACAATATCGCCCTCACGGATATCTCTTTGTGGTCTCAGCCATTTTTGTCGAGATTGTAGGGTAGGTATATATTCCCGAATCCATCGTTTCCAGAATATATCAGCAAGATACTGAGCCTGTCTCCACCTTCTCTTTGCATATGTATCTTCTTTTCTAAAAATGCCACCTGGAATACATGTATTGGACTTTAGTAATAAAATCATGCTTGGAGTTAGAGCTGGGAGGTCTTTTGGGTCATCGCTTACTCGGGTAATGGGTCTATCATTAAGTATTTTTTCAACCTCTGTTACAACAGTAAGAAGTTGTTCATCTGTCAGAAGCTGCTCTTTGACTAACGATCTCAAAATTGCACGTGTCGACCGTATCATCCGTTCCCATATACCGCCCATGTGACTAGCTGACGGAGGGTTAAAGTTCCATTCCATTTCCCGCTGCAACATGTATTGACCAATTTCGGATTGATTCCACTCTCGTATGGACTTGCGTAATTCACAATCTCCACTTACTAGATTGGTTCCGTTGTCACTATATACCTTTTCCGGTAGACCTCTCCGGCTAATAAATCGTTGCAATGCGGCGATAAACGAATCTGTACTCAAACTATGAGTAACTTCTAAATGGACGGCCCTTGATGTTAAACAAGAAAAAATACACCCATATCTCTTTACTTGTGACTTTCCTGATTTTACCATCAAAGGACCAAAAAAGTCTATGCCGATAAATGAGAACGGCGGTTTATCTGGTGTGATTTGCTCATCAAGTAACGGTCCCATTTGTTGCTTACAAAGCGGATTGTTCTTGCGTTTACATGGTACACAATTCCTTACTACCTGCTTGACAGCGCTATGTCCATTTATTATCCAGTATCTTGTTCGTGTAGCTGCTAAAACTTGTTGTACTCCGACGTGACCTTGACTTTCGTGGGAAAAACGTATCATTAAAGTAGTTAAATGATGCCGTTTCGGTAGAATGATTGGACATTTCGTTTCATCGTGGTAAATAATGCGTCCTTTTGTACGTATTAAACCATCTTTAAGTATAGGATTTAATGAAGCTATCGGACTTTCACCTTTAACATTAGTTCCTTTTTGCAAGTTTATTAACTCATCGGCAAAGCATTCCATCTGAACGTATTTTACAACTGCGCTAGAAGATGTCTTTAGTTCAGACAAGGTGAGATTACCTTTTTCAACCACTACATCATGGTGCAGATATCGCTGTTTGCAATAATCCTTGTATCTCAAAAACCATGCCACTGCACTTCTAAGTTTGAACCAATCAGAGTAGTGTTCAATTATCTTCCCAATAGTGTCACAAGTGGTAACGTTAACAGCAATTTCTCTTTTCACCTCAACATCATCTTTTATCACCTCCGGGATAATATTACCTGAATACTTAGGCCAGTGTTCCCTACCTATACCATGAAATGTTGGTCCATGTTGCCAAACATCTAATTTGTCTGTTTCAGAAACGTTGTATACATTTGTTTCTGGATGATGCGGCGTATACCAAACACGCATTTTCTCTGGTACCATGTGATCTACATCCGATGAATATCCATTTGCAATGTAACCATTTACAGTAGTTCTGTACATATCATGCAAATAATGGTCACTTGACAACTTGCACTTCAACTGCTGTAATCTGTCTTGAGCAAGCGGTATATTATTTACGAATGATGAATTTCTATCACGCCAAGGAAGACCAAGCTTGTAATGACCATCCTCGCGAGTTAAAGTTGACTCCATGAATTTCATTGCACTTTTATCTTCTACAGACATGCAGCTCTTAACTTGTGATTTATCATTAAAGTCAGTTGTCCACAAACGCTCAATTTGTTGCTGTAACAACATGTCACGTGACTCAAAGAAATTTATGTTAATATCGTTGGATTCTTGCGTAGTTGGAACTGGACCGCGTATAGCCCATCCAAGACGAGTGCGTATCGCGTACGGTTCATCGCTATTTCCGAATTTCACTTCTAGCGGTATATGTGCAACAGGTGAATCCGTCCCTATTAACATCATAACGTCATTAGTGTCTATATCTGGAATATTTATACCGGATAAGTACGGTAAGTTTCGGATATCTGCATATTTAGCTGCAGATCGAGTTGATATCGGTAATGACTTTACTGACCAGACTTTTCTTAGGGTAATACTTTCATTTCCATCGATAGGTTGAATATCTAAGTCGGCCTCCTGACCATGTATAATACCTTCACGTGAGTTTGCCGTAGACATCCGGAATGTGACGGGCTTACCGGTTATATTCAGGCTCCGTAACAATCTTTCATCACATAAAGTTTTATCGGCCCCATCATCTAGCAGGGCATATGTCTGACAAGAACTACCGTCCCCACCCCTAACTATTACAGGAATAATACCCAGACAATTTTTTACAGTAGAACCTTCTGTTGCTGCACAGTTACACGACGACTGCACTGCTGTGTGGCCATTATCGGGTTTTACCCAACTATGTAACAAAATGTGGTGTTTTACATTACAATTAGTAACATTACATATTTTTGGTTTTCTACACTTGTTTGTAAAATGTTTACCTTTTAAACAATTGTAACACAATTTAAGTGATCTTACCAGTTTATAACGATCATTGAGACTCATTGACTTGAACTTGTTACACAGTGATAACTCTGCACAGTTACCTGAACAACAAATGCATTTACTACTTTCATGACCGTTTTCTTCAGTATGTGTATTTAGAGTAGTAACCTTTGGTCTATCATTACTGTAATATTTGCCAGAACTGTTTCTGGTTTCTTTCTTGATAAAATCATTGTTTTTACAAAGATCATAGCTATACATGGAGTTAGCGATACGTGATTTTTCGTCTACAAATTTAGACAAATCTGAAAAGCGCGGCACTCTACCTGACTCATTTATATAATGTGCTACTTCTACCCATTTTACCCTTATATGTGTTGGGAGCCGCCTAACAATGCATCTTAAATTTTCTGTATTATCAATATCAGAGGAAAATCCTAACTGAGAAAGTGTAATTTCACATTTCTGCATCTCTAAAGATAATTTAGATAGCCCTTCAACATCGGACGCTTTAATCTGAGCACCATTTACCAAGTTATCAATGTAAGACCTTGCAATTAAATGTGGTCTGCCAAATCTAGACAATAATATTGACCTAGCACGTTTATAACCTTCTTCCGGTTCTAACAAAACACAATCTTCTATACTAGATTTTGCCTTACCTGTACAATACTGAATGAGATAACTTAGCTTTAAATTATTGTCACTTATTCTGCTTTCAATGTTTGTTTCAAAGTTTTTGATAAATTTGCAGTATCCTTCAGGCTTCCCATCAAATGTCAATAGTTCTGGCTTCGGTAAGTTGAATCCTTCATGAAGTGCTGACGCCAATCTTTGAAATGATCTGTCAATGTTCGATGTCTCACTGTCAACTTCCGGTATACACGATCTGTTTATTTCCGGTCTGGGCTGTGTCAAAGTTATATTTCTCACAGAATCTGTACGGTTGTTCACCTGAATATGATTAGTCATATTATTTTGTACGTCAGGCTGAGCATTTTGATTGTTAGATATGACCCCGGTTTCTTCCTGTGTTGTTTCTAACCACACCATTTCTTCTATCTCTGCTTCTTCTAATTCCGACTGCTGATCTAACAACTGTTGTTTCATTTCAAGATCCCGGCGAGTTCGTTCAAGTTCTTGTTTCTTTTTAAGTTGTTTTAATTTGTGTTCTGCTATTAAACGCTTTGCTTTAGCACTTTGTAATTTCCGGCGCGACGAGACTGAAGTACGTGAACTTCCATGGCTGACATTTGACTCTGCGTCATTTTCTAAAGGAATATTTTCTCCATCTTGCGGTCCAATAGCTCCCGCGATCCACTGAGAAAATCTTTCCCTGAATTCTTCAAAGTTCTTTAAACAGCTCTCAAAGTTCGCTTCCAAGTCTGCAACAACTTCCGGTTGCGCGCACAAATCTAAACATTGTAAATGCACTGATTTGAAATGTTCAAAGCGTTCACATAATTTATTCTTCAGTAGTTTAACCTCTTCAATATTATTGTAGGACATCATGCTCTTTTCAAGTTCATTATATAGTTTCGTCAGTTGAGCGCCATTTGCACTTTTTGATCTCTTCACACTGACAAACTCCTGATTCAAAGTTTCAGCACTATTTGTTGACGGCATTTTCGTCACAGCAGAATCGAGAATTGTAAAATCGAGAATTGTAGATGTCTTCCGTTTAAATAGTCAAGAATGCGCAGATTTCAACACTTTTCTTTATTCTCATTCATGGAATAATATATCAATGTGATACAACAATGCGATTCTCTGAAATTAATAAATAAACAAACTAAATACTGATTACAACGCATTTAAATAAAATACAATAAATTGTCTAAAATAATAATGCTAATACAAATCATAAATATACGATATCACCTTTACAATTATAGACTTAATCTATTAAAATAATATTGTTACTTTATATTTCCGCGAATAATTCCGTTTATAATTTAATTCACGGCAAATATTGTAAAGTTCATCATCATTTAAACAATATTGAATTTACTATTAAAATTCATACATTATTAATAACTTGCTTACCGATTATGATCTACATGTACTTTCCATTGGAAAACATCAATAAACAAAACACATCAACAATTTAAGCACTTCCGCCCAAGGCAAAACAACATATCAAAGTAACGGTTAATGACGTCACCGTAAAATATGAAAAACAAGATCAACAAGGAAAGGCGGCGTTCAATGAACGCAACCCCCATATGACCCAGCAACAAGAACCAATGGCAAGGAGCCCAGGCGGACCCCAAACATAAAAAGGACAGGGCAATAACACGTTAATCAATAAATGATAAATAATTTGTAACTGATTAGGAATTCAAAGAAAATAATAATAGGCCCACAGAGGGGAAGGGGACAGGAGACCGGGGGAAGGGGGGGGGGGTTAATCAAAGAAATAAAAACTAGAGGCAATGGGGAAGATACTTACCGTAGACGAGAAAACAACAAGGGACACAAGCAAAAGTGTCACCAAAACAGTATGAAACAACATAGACATACATCTGAGGAACACAGTGGGGCGCCGCCTTGGAACGGTCAGCAGCATAATAATGACTGCTGGGGAGTTTAAACCGGTTAATGGTGCACCAAACCTCGCTCTTAGCCCCACCATGTTCCTATAAACGAGACAGTGTAAATAAAATGAATCCCCGCCAAGTGAAATTCTAACAGTTGTCATGGTTACAAAAGGTTAAATAAGTAAAACACTAAAATGATCATGTAGAAACATATAAAAGTAAACCCAATGACCATAACAAAAGTACTCAATGTCCTAAAGGAATTAATGACGTCTTTTTACGGGAAACAAATAAGACGTAACGTTTGGCGGAAATAGTGAAGCTATGTTAAATTGAATGAGTCAAACAATGTTTTAAATAGTAAATACTATCGAAACAATCAAACTATGAAAATTATGTGATTATAATAAATAAATTTACAATTAAGAACTATAATTCTTACATTAACATTGACATATAAGGAACAAACTGGTCAATCATCCCTCAATACAACTGCTTAATTGGCTATCACTAGGCGACACATGTGATCACCGATCGCTCTTGTTTGCGTTAGGGATCTCTATATATGAGAAAGTTTCACAATTAGATCTGAAATGGATAGTTACTTTGGTATGTTATGTTTCAAGCCCTGCTAATCTCTTTTGATATCATCTTTTTTCTGATATTTTCATTCAAAATACATGATAATAAATTATCAAGATACAAGATATCATTTATTTACGATTTCAGACGAGAAGGACGGCTCATTGGTTATCGGAAAAGATGACAAAAGACGGCCATGCTGTAGCGTTATTATCTGGCGACCTTGAGATTGCTCAGAGGGCGGCCATTATAAATCGGTTCAGGGACGGCAAGGAGAAAGTTCTTATAACAACAAACGTGTCTGCCCGAGGTAGAGATAAATCTTTAGCTCAATTATTTGTAACTTTTACTTTGGTTTATACAGAATTTATTTTAGTCTCATTGTATAGGAAGCTTTTAGACTTAAATACTGAACAATGAGTATAAAGTTTCTTGCTCAAGGAGACAATGACTTGCCTCTGATGGGTTTTAAACCCATGCAACTAGGGGTCATTACTTTTTTTGATAAAACCAATAATCGGCTGCCTAAAATCAGTACTGCCTAAAATGCAAAACCTTAGAAAAATTGAAATGACTAGCCAGGGTCTTTTATGGATTCATTATTAAAACTAAGATGAAATTTACCCCCTTGTTGCTGAGGGGTTACCTGCAAGGGTTGAGATATCAAAATTGCAGCCACCGTTTATCCCTGCGTGATCATAAGAGGCAACTAAATTGCTGGAGTCTATGCATTTCTAAGGTCCAGCTGGTGAAGTGGTTTTGACCACAGGTGTTGCTTAAAGTTTGTTACACCCTAGAGTAGCAAAAATCATATTTACTTTTTCGGTGCCATATGATAACCTTAATTGTGTTGGTGCATCGTAAAAAAGAAATGAAAAAGATGAAAATTTAGATTTGTATCAAATCATTATCATAACTAGATTAAATTTTGAATATCAATCAGACTTTACATGTTTGCAAGCTGGCATATATACAAACAACAAGCTGACCTGGCTCAAGCAGGAATGGACTGATCACTATTGCCACAGTTAAATTACACAATGTACATTGGGCATTGTATTCTTACTCATATATGTACATAGAATTATTCATAAGAATTACATTTGGTTCAGTTTGGAAAGTTGTATACTTTTACTAGGACTGAATTTAATTATGAACAAGAAATTTTGTTGAAATCTTGTCATTATTTCAACGATCATATGGATACATATTACAATGTTGCATGTAACAAATTGCATGTTGGTCATAATGAAAAATCTCTTTAAAATTCAGTTTATTTCTTTTTTTGAAAGTAAAGACTACAAAATGGGATGCAGAGATTGGTAAAATATGCGATTTTGATATATTAAGTATTATTTAGAAAGTTCCTGGACTGACTATTTCTCCATCATTTCCACACAAATTTTGATGAAAATATACAATATGAAAGATAAAATGTTACACTTTTAAATTGTATTATTGAAACAAAATTATATATTACAGAGGTTTATATTTTTGCTCTAAATTATTTTTAAATTATTATATAACTAAATGCAAGAAATAATCTTGACTTTAATAATGTTACATTTGACGTCACGTATAGATTCATACCGCATTAATGCATTGTAAATTTATAAGGAAAAGGCCTTTATAAGCTCAGCTTTCGGACCCAATCTTCTTCAACAATGCATGCCTGTATTGTATATGCTGGTGCTAGGAGGCGTGAGGGATGTTGCACGTATTCATTATCCCTCATGTACAGACTCAATCAAACCAAGTCTGCAATTCTCTTGTAATTTTGTTGTGATTAATGCTTCCGAGGGATCACTTTGTTTCCAGATTTTTTTACTGGTAATATTTGTATACATACTGTGACGTTGTTTGAAGTAAGCGAGGTTTAAACTAAACAGGGTTTATTATTATGTATGCATTTTAGGGTCATTTGATATTGTCGTTAAGAATGACGTTATGCTTACTTCAAGCCTGAGATGCTCTCTAGTACTGTCTTGATTAAATTGAGCTGTGTCACGACAAAACCAACATAATGCGTTTGCGACCAGCATGGATCCAGACCAGCCTGTGCATCCGCGCAGTCTGATCAGGATCCATGCTGTTCACTTACAAACTCTATTACGTATAGAGAAACTGATAGTGAACAGCATGGATCCTGATCAGACTGCGCGGACGCAAATGCATAATGTTGGTTTTGTCATGACGCGGCTCATTTTGCTTTCCAAGTTGGTGAGACTAATACGGCTTAAACAACTTGTGTTTCCAAATCAAACCATAAATACACTTTATTATAAAAGTCATAAAATGTTTGTGAGACCATAGGGTTAAGCAGCTTGTATTTCCAATCCAAACCAAAAATAATCTTATTAAATTTTATAGAGTTGATCATAGTTAAGTATATTGTGATATGCTTGTTGATAATCGCTCGCTGTAAGAGTGGGTCAGTCTTTTTAAAGATTAGGTAGTTTTTATATATCGTAAACAATTTATATCATCATTTGTTGGTCAATCACAATAATAATTCCTTAAAACTTTAGTAAAAACAAATACATCAAATTAATGCATCAAGCAATGCAGATTGATAGAAATTGGCACTATGTTAAGTTTTATAGTAAAAGAATGTCAAGGTTTTGAAATACAAAATATACCCAGTCCGGGAACTTTTTGACTATACATCGTATAAATTATAACCATTCTGACATCAGTTTCTATTGCTTCTTAAAATATCTTTCAGGACAGCATCTTACTTTTGTCACTTTTACAGTTTCTATAAGTGCATTCATTTTAAGACCAATACATAAACTTTTTGGTACTGGTATGTAGGAACCTTGCATGAAAGGTTAAATGCTCAATGGATAAGAGGGATAGGCTAAAACTAGACTTGCATGGTGGGGCATCTGTGGCTTAGGGGTAAATGTTGTTTACTTCAAATCACTTTGTCCTTACACAGCTGTGGGTTCGAATCCCGACAGGGACTTTGGATTCTGTTATTTAAGGAAGTTAGCTAGCTTACCTAACCTAGGTGGTTCTACTGAGGTGCCTATTAGTGCCTGAAATAATGGACAGAGGGGCACCTGAAGTCTTCCTTTACCAGTAAAGCTGGACAGTCACCATATGACCTTTACTGTGTTGATGTGACATAATAACCCAATCAATGATGTGACATAATAACCCAATCAATGATGTGACATAATAACCCAATCAATGATGTGACATAATAACCCAATCAATAAAAAAGAAAGTTGCATAGATATACATATATGATTATGAAGGCTGGCCTGGCTCTATACTTGTAGCAAAGGCTGATCAGGTTTTGTTCCAGCAAGGTAAAACCCAAATGTTAGGTATGGAGTCCTAATCCCAAGCCCACATTCCTTTATGTTTTCATGAAGAACAAAAAAGGTTAAAACCCAAGATTAGGGAAATTTGTTACATAAATTTCAGGAGAACATTGTGATTTCTTATTCTGATTGAATTTTGTATACCCTCCTATTCCCAACAATATAAAGGCTTGTACATGTAGAATATAGTGGTAAAATGGGAACATGTACATTAAAGTGACATTGTGCACATTTTTTCAATGTCGAGCTGAGATAAATTAGTTGGATATTTAAATTGATTTACTATTTTATTGGCAATTGAACAATAATTGATAATCACAAATGTTAATGATTAAAATTTAAAACTGCCTAAAAAGATTTCCCCACTCTTTTTATGAATTGGGCATCACCAATATTTTCTGAAGGATATTTTTCATAGATATTTATGTGAGTCACAGGGGTTATTGGTTACTCAGGTGGTGGTAATTATAAAAATTGAAAACAAATTTGACAAAATGTAAAGTTATTTTAATTTTACCTGACCACTCACAATTTTTACACTTAGATGGGCATTATGTCACTTTTAAAAAAAATCCTGAGGGTGTCAAATCGAGGATGTCTCTAGGTTTAATACTCATTTAGTATTTAGTCATTTTTTTCAGTCTAAAGAATGAATTAGTTAAGTTTATAGTTAAGTTTCTCTTGATTTGCAGTCTGTTCTTTTTTTAGGCATAGGAAGTTTCCATCTTTGTTTACTTTTTCTCTTTTAATTGTAATAATTTTGTAGTTATTCTTGAAAAATTATGGCATTTAAAGAGTAATTTATTGGTACTTTATAAATTACTTGTTGAAGGTTAGACAAGCTTTATATCATAACCTTAGTGCAGTAGTGGGTTAACTTTGTTTGAATTGTAGAAGGAGATAACCAATGACTGTACTAAGATGATGTGGATTACACCTTACATATGGCATTCTGACCTACCAGACTATAAGGATGATCATGTACTTAAATTCAGGAATTCCATCTTAATTCCAATTTGTCTTTTGTTAAACTTTGCAAAAAATTTTATGTCGGCTAGTGGGGATTGAAAATAGCCATGTAATCACTGTGCAGAATCTAGCCATGAAACCACTGTGCAGACCAAGATCATTCAGCACATTCAGGCTGTCTGATATGGTCTGCACTGTTTGCAATTGTGTCAGTTTTTATTTCGAAATACAGAAAAATTGATTTAATTTAAATGATTTCATCTAAATTGAAAGATTGAAAAGTCTGTTTATCATTAATTATTAAAGATACTTATTATTTAGTGTGGTAAGCAAGTTATTGACTCTATACATTGTTTGTAAGTGCTCTCTGGAAAGGAAGCTTTGAGCAATGTCAAAGTATATATATATTTAAGAACTAACATGATATTAATCATAGTTTTTAAGCCATACTATTTGAAGAATATTGAGAGCTATTATGCTCATTCAATAAGGCCTCTTTGTTACGCATTGGTTAAGTTTTTGCATGCAAGTTGGTATCTCTAAGACTGCTGATGGGAATGGGTTGAAGTACTATTTAAGTATTCAAAAGCATAATAGGTCAGTTTCTGAAGCCCATTACTCTTAACATGGAATAGGAGATCCCTGTCCAAGGCCTTGTAACTCTTACATGGATTATGACAGAATTATGGCCCTTTTTGAAATAAGACAATTCTATATCATCCATTCTCTTGTTATACCATCAAGCACTGAGAATAGTCGAGCACGCTGTCCTATTGACAGTTCTTGTTCACCATTGTTTGGAAAATCCCAATGTCCTAAGCAGTTTATGAAGACTCATAAATGTTGTACCACATTGTATTGTTTGAATATATTTATTCTAGGTTTATTGTGATGTCAGTGTGTTTAAGAAGGGTAAGAGTAAAATGTATCAATTCTCTGCAAAAGTTTTCAGTTTGAGCTATAATCATATAATTTTTACATGATAAAGGAATCGATGTGGAGATGGTAACAGTCGTGGTGAACTTTGACCTCCCAATCCTCCAGGAGAGTAAAATGGCTGACTGCGAGACCTACCTACATAGGATAGGACGAACAGGAAGATTTGGCAAAGCTGGTCTTGCAATCAACATGATCGACTCCAACAAATCCCTCCAAGTAATGAAAGCAATAGAAAAACATTTCAGTATGTATTTTGTTTATTTTTATGCAATAAAGACATTTTGCTGTCTTAAATTTGCTGTCTTAAAATTATGTTAACATTTCTGAGATAATTCATCTTTTTTATATGTCCGAAAAAATGTTTTTATGTATGTGGTAGTCTGTCCTTCAGAAAATTAGTGTTTGCTCTGTATCTTTTGAACCGATTGAATGAAATGGAAACTATTTGGTAGAAATGATAACTATAATGAGATGATGTTCATGCATGTAGGTCAAGGTCACACTTAGTGATTATACCCACAATAATGACTATGCCACCAGGTTGAGCCTAGCCGATCTATAGGCATACATTCAAACCAAGCTCCCATTTTGTAGGCAACGCAAAATTATTACTTTGATTTTAGCTCAGTTTTACTACTTTGATTTTGACCTATATTATTACTTTTATAGTTTTACTACTTTGATTTTGACCTATATTATTACTTTTATTTCAACAAAATGTGTTTACTTTGATTTTAACCCAACTTTATTTCTTTGATTTTAACCCAACTTTATTTCTTTTATTTTAACCCAACTTTATTTCTTTGTTTTTCAACCTGATTTTATAACTTTGATTTCAACCGGATTTTAAAACTTTGGGAATCTGATCTTACTCACCATTGACAGTTCCAAATTTAAAGTAAGGTAAGTCCATCGCACAGATTTGGTATGTTAAGTGTTGAACGCAGATACTATATGAATCTTCATGTCGTTAATTTTCTTTAAATTACAGATCGTACAATTCATAAGTTAAATGCAGACGACATCGAAGAAATCGAGAAGATCAGTACCTGAGAACGAGAGTGAGAGCAAAAACTGCGGTCAAAATAGTGTTATAAAATGTACATAATACATCTCGAATCAGCATCGTGTTCACACATTTTGCCTTATCATTTAAACCCATTGCGGAACTCTTGACTTAATAATAATTATAGGATATTGAAATTGGTAGAATGTCGGAATAATTTGAACTTGCTTAGAGTAAGCAGCAAGAGTCTTTTTGCCAAAGTACATTTTTAATGTTGTTACAGAAGCTACAACTTTTAATGACAGTGAACATTAGTGAACTTTTAAGAATTATGTTTAAGGAATTGAAGGAACGTTACTTACACAGTGCTATCTTTTATTTATTATGTCTTGATTTATACTAATTTTTGTATAGAGAAATCTCAGATGATGTCCAGTCTTTTTGTATGTCAGATAAAAAAATTCATACTTAGGGTTTTAATTTGAAAATTTTGTTCTTAAAGAATAAATCAAAGGATAATGGCAGAAATTTTGTATTTGTATCAAAAACAAATAAAGTACAAAAGTTATGATGATGAATGTTCTTTAATAAAGCTTGCCTTTAAATTCAGTAAATACATGTAGTTTGATATTTTATTACGCAATGACCTGAACACATAAGATAGGGATTAGAAATGAAAGTACATGTACATATCACTGTAGAAATTTACAGGAAGTTAAATTTTATTTTTAATGAAGGGATTAATTCTATGATTTATATCCTTATCTGATAACAGCTCATTCGGTATTTTGACAATTTTTTGGAAATGGTGTGAATAAAGAAATTAAAACAACCTTTTGACCTTTAATCATTAGTTTCCTGATATAGGCAAATTCTATCCATGTGACAAGTGCAGATCAAGATCTTTCAGTTCACCAATGCCCCCAGATCATGGTCTGCACTGTTCACTATTCAGTCAGTGCAGTACCTATTTTGATATTTTCCATAATGAAAAAATATTTTCCATAATGAAAAACTATAAATGGCCTCCCTGGCCAAATTGTTAAGGTCTTTTATTTCAAAATACAAAGGGACACCTGATAGCAACGTTTCCCCCGTCCACCAGTGAAACTTGAAAGTTGCCATACGACCAATACAGTTTTGATATGACTTAAAATCCAGCAACAACAACAACAAAAAATTCCATGTGGGCTAACCAGGCTCTAAACTGTTAGGTTCTAGATTAAAGTATTTTGTTATGTGAAATATCTCACATTGCTTATGACGATTGATGAATATTTTGTAGTTACAAATTTATATCTAAGTTTATGATGAAAATTTACAAATTTATATCTAAGTTCATGATGTAAATTTACATTGTAAGGATAACCTTTTACTGCAAATACTGATACTAAGTCATTAGTCTTGTACTAAGTTACAGAAGGTTGTTGTGTGGTTTAAGCCAAGCACTATTTTAATCTTTATTTTAACTTTTGCAAATGGTATTTTGTTTTTCAAATTTTGTAAAAATTGTGTAGATGATACAAAATTTTGAAAGAATCTGTTCATGATTGTATAAATGTATTATAAAATATGAGTTGTACATGTAAACTGTGAACATTTGTAAAAAATTGTCTTGAAATAGATATTTTATTGGTTTACAAATTGTTGGTTTGTTATTCGATGACCTGAAACCAATTACTGTAGAAAGTGATCAGCCTTTATTTACAAATTTAGGGGATATTAAGATGAAAATTTAAAGTCTGCCAATTGTTTAGAGTCTAAGCAGCTGCACAGATGTACAGGCTGGCCAGGTTCTGTACTCTTAAGGCAAATTTAAGGCTGATCACTTTCAATTCTAGAATGTTTAAGGTTAAAACCTTATAACCTTTATGTTATCTTTCACTGCAATAAACATAATGATATGGCTTTCTTACGATTAAAGTTTAAACAGGAAGTTTTTTATATACATTTTGTATTCAAATAAATAAATTTTCTTTTCTGTTCTTGGCTATAAATGAAGGTATTACTGAGCTTGGCTTTAAAAGAAGGTTTTTCAGTGATTAATGTACTATGAGTAATATGAATTATATCTCATTGTTGGTAATTAATATTATTAGATAGATCATTAAATTGTTACTTAAATTTTTAATAATTTACTTAAATTTTTAATAATTTCTTTCTTTCTCTCTCTTTTTTTATAATTTTTTATTTTGCCTTTATGCCTTTAATAAATATTTTGCACTACCTGTACTTTCCATGACATTAATTAAGATATGTCAATGTAATTAAAGGGGCTTTTTGTCTTTCCCTATTTTTTAAGAAAAACTAAAAATAAGTACATGTATTAGATTAGTCAGATGGATTTTGTAAAGTAGGATTCCTATTGTAAAGTTGCCAAATTTTTTGAGTCAGAGTCTTTTCAGGGTTTTTTTTTACTGCAATACTTTCTAAGTCTTTATGATTGAAATTAGGTCTTTTAAGAGGGAATTTTCGAAGTTATTATTAATTATGTAAAAAAATCTAGAAAACACAATTTACTAATTACGACTTTATTAAATATGTCTCCATCAGAAATGAAAAACAATAACATACAAAAAATGATCAATCAAGTGTATGTAAAAATAGATCAAAATTGATACTTTGAGTTGTATAATGAAATTTAATTTTTCAATACAGAATTATGAATAGTTGTAATAAAACCAAATACATTTACATGTATGATAATAAGGTAAAGGGGAGGTAATAAAACTAAGAAATATTATGAAATCTTTTTAAAAAAATCAAAATACTCCGCACAAAATATTTAATAAAATTTGAAAAAATTAACATAAAATAGGCTTTTTATTGAAAAATTTAGAAAACGGGAATTAAGAAATAAAAAAAGCTATTGTTAGAACATACAGAAGTGAAAATATCTTGTCTTTACCCCTCCCCTTGCCCCCAACAGGTCTGACCCGGGGCCTAGCCTAGACAACCATGTAGGCTACTTAGACAAAGAACTGTTGGGTACACATTTATAAACTCTCAGCCCAAAATTTCTTACACTTACATTAGTTTCAAATTCAAAGCATGACAACCCCCTTGTGATCATAAGGTCGTGACTATAAGGGGTTCCCTTTACCGGTTGAGGCATCAGAAATACAGCCATCGTTTATCCATGCATAATCGTAAGAGGCCACTAAATGGGTTTGAATAACTGGAATGTCACAAGTACAATTGATTATTACGGATTATTTACACAGGATCCTGAAATTTCTATATTTGGTCTCTGAAAAAGAATACAGGTTACATAAATATAAACAATGTAAAATATTTGGTCCATTGTTTTAAAAAGTAACTGTAATGAATTTTTAACATTCAAGAATTTGTGTGAAATTCCCATATTATATTCAAATATATTTTATCAACTATAAAATAACATGTAATTCATGTATTGTATTACACCATTTATGCATTTAACATTTAAGGTTTTCTTTTCTTTTTTCCACGATTTTTTTTTGGATTTTTTTTTTTTTGGTTTTGTTATTTTTGTGTGTGAATTGAAAAACAACCAACTGATTGATTATATACATGTAAATGTTTAGGTGGCCTTATGACTTGGAATCACATGTTTGTGGTCAATTCATATATTTAAGAATTTAATCATTAAATCTAAAAATAGCACTACAAACCAATTGTGACTAAAATAGTCTATTTTGCAGAGGGTAAATCACACTCAAAGCCTATTCAAATTTAATGTGTACCATGCTTTGCTTTAAAGCTGCATACTTCCAGTTAACCCAAAATATTTTAAGAAAATCAAACTTAAGAAAAATGTGCTTACATTTTAGGAAAAGAAAAAAATCAGATTTCAAGTAAGAATTTCAATGTGATAAATGACTGATTTTGCAGTATTTATTACCATAATTCTGTTGCTTGACTAACGCAGTAAGAGCTACTGTTGCTTAGGTTGACATCTTTTTTGTAATTTACGTTGATTGTAAGTGATGGTTGCAATGTGTAAATTTGATGGTTGCAATGTGTAAATTAGTTTCTTTCTTCACTTCACAATATTTTACTTTCAAATTCTAACAATCACTTGCTACGATGTACATTGTACTTCCGGTCACTGTACATGGCCCTACCTTTCTTATGAAAACAGGAAGTAATTTTGTTTATCCACTTTATATTTGTATTAAACAAGTAACCCATAGTGTTTAATCATTTTTAGAAATGAAGATTCATATAGAGTAGAGAAAAACGGAACTCCTATTAAAAATGTTGCAGACCCGGAAAAGTGAGCTTAAAATAGAGCATGCTCGTCGATTGGCTCAATTTTTTCCGGGGTTTATTATTGTGACGACAGGGAAGGCATAACGATAGAAAAGTCGTATTCATATACTCGTACAATAGTTATTTTCTCTAGGGCTTCGTATTGGGGCGACAGGGATTTTTTCCTATGATACAACAAAACACTCGGTAATCTGATTTATACTCGGGGGCTACACAAGTCCAAAGGCTGAAATAATGCTTTAACAATGTAAGAATGATTATAAGTCATTTAAATACGTTAAAATAGTCAGATATTTATTGTCGAAGTTATTCATATATAGGCATACTGTGAAAATAATTAGTGTGACCACCACAGAAAAGAAAACAAGTGATATATATTTAGCCTAACAATAGTTGAGTTAAGTGCCTCTTGTAGATATCATAATTTTTATTAAAGTAACTCATTCAATGGGTGTTCCAATTGAATGAATGGAATTCTTAACTTAAGAACACGAGAATCGTCAAGCAATCCGAAACTTGCTATTATTCAAAGGCCCGAAAGACTTCAACGAAAAGGCGCGAGAATTCGATGGGCACGAATAGGTAAAGGATACGATTCAGTTAATCACTCTATATCTATTTCTGGAACTATCACTTGTTCTTGACACAAAGTAGGGAACATTAGTTGCACGACAGGCTCCTAAACCAAGAGGTCTATTGACCGCATTATATATCGTACTCAGTTAAAAACACTACTAGTCTTTTCCCACAATTTCAGTAAACAGTAAAGATAAGTTGGTCAGGAAATAGATAATTAACAAAAGAATAAGTGTTCAATTAAAGATTTTTTTTTTAAAAAGTAACCCGCAGTATAAAACACAACAATGGATTTCATAGAGTATTGTAATGAACGATCAATCAATAACAGTGCAGTGAAAATAATACTGGATGCGAAGTTTCAAATCTGACTATACACAAAATGAAAACAGTTTTAAATAACATCGATATATAAATATATAAAAAAATGTATACTATACATGTATTTTGAAAGACAATGAACATCGATGAAAAACATACATTGCATAAAATCTAGTAATTAAAACAATATGTTTTGATTAAAACGATCAACACGGAGGTATATATGGCATATTCGATACATTCTACTGTCAACAGAGTCTTAATGAATATATATATATATATGTGTGAACTTTCCATAGAAAAGTGCGCACATGTGTCTCAGATCACTGTTTTATTTTACTCATCTGTTTTTTTTTCTTCAGAATGACAAATAATCATTTATCACTTAGAATCCCACATAAATTTATCCGTCACTGACACACGCACGTGCTCCGGATAGCATTGTTTATTAATTCACTGTATTAAATGTGCGCGCAGTCAACATTTCACCGAAAGTTGTCTATAAGTTCCATATAAGTCTCCACTCCCTACACTAATCAGTACAGTTTCGATTTAAATAGGTGACTTCTGAAGAAAGCTCCTGTTATATAAAGCTATGTAAATGATAAATTACAAAACTTTTTTTTGGTTTAGTTTTCATCTGTTTTTTTGGTTGGATGATTCGCGCACTTACTATTTATTCACCCTGTGCTGTTTTGCTGACTGTAAAATTGCGTAGTAGTATATCGCAATGGACATATTGCGTAATGGTCCTGCAACTTTTGTTTCAGCTCGTCGCGTTCTTTCTTTACCTGGGAAAGTTCGAATCTTAGTTGAGTCTGTACCGACTGTAGCTTCAGACATTCCTGAAAGAGAACAGCACTTTGTTAAATCAGTTATCCGATCAAACTGGAAAATACATGTGTATGAAATCACTTCTAGGCGTTATTAAAGTTCGTTTTCTCTTATAACAAAAACCACCAAACGGGAACCATGCAGTTCATCAATTCATACATTTAAAAATTCAACTGAACCCTCCGTACTTTACTGGTACTAGGTCCAGATTCAGCCACCTTACCTTGTGTAGCTGGTCCCCTCTTGTTTTCTGTTTATTACGGAACCTTTGCGCTGCTAACCGATTCTGGATTTTTCTTTTTTCTACCTTCATCTGCTCTGTTTCCGTTAACTGAAATAAAAATAAGAATTTTAACTTCCAACTCCATTGAGTGTAACTAATTTATTGTTTATAAACTATGTAACCACAGACACTTGGGTTGTGAAGCCCTATGCAGGTATACTCCTTAAAATCCAAATAAATTGTAATGATTGTAGTCGGTTTTTTCATAGAATAAAACTTGATAACAAAATTGATATCTACTTTATTAACATTAAATTATCTGAAAAAGAACACGTTTATTTAAAAGTATATGATAAGTTCTAGAACACTGTTTTTCCGAAATTCTGATGAAATACATCCCCTTTGTTGTCATTTTATTCAGAAAAAAACACATTTAATACATTACATTTAAAAATAAAATGATATGTATAATCATTGTAATACATGTATAGAGGTCTACCAACAACTCAAGATGTGGCATTGCTAAAGAGACTTCAGCGAACAGGTTTTATAGTACTGTCGGACAACGTCAAAATACAAGCGACATATTATAAGAATCTTACACCGGCGGCCGGTACAGACTGGAATATCTTAGCTCTCGGGTAACTGTTTACAGCGGTAACGAGGCTCTGCCAAGTTTCCGCTAAACAGTAACCCGAGAGCTAGATATTCCCGTCTGTACCAACAGCCGGTGTTTGATTCTTTTTCTTGCATGTTACATATCAATTTCTTTCGGAACAGAAATTACGAAAACTGATATTCTCATTACGCACTTTTTTCTTATAGAAGGTATGAACATACAACTTCATTCATAACGGAATAATGACGTCATCCTAAGAACGTGATTCATAAAAGTCGCGCGTCAATGACGTCATTTAAAGCACGCGACTTGTCTTACATGGGGGGTGTAAGACAGAGTTTTCCAGCACCGGTGTAAACGGTAGATAATCCTGTCTGAGATGCAAGAAAAAATTATGGAAACCAGAACTAGATATGAAAAAAAAAGGAAAAAAATGCTAACCTGACACGGTTCTGGATCTGTGAATTCTACTTTCAGTTCTGGTTTTCCAGCTTTAAATCTCTTTGACTGAATGGAGCACTTAAGTTCTTCCTTAATTAAAGGCATCATATTGCCGTCTACCATAGCCTTTGCCGCAGCATCCGCTAGGTCTTTGTCCTTTATGTTGTACATTTCCATAATCGAAGACGGGTCAGCAACTGTTTGTACTTGCTCGTACCCTGTAATGTCCATTGCATCAGCGCTTAAAAAGTTTGTAGCACCGCTGTTATATGCGTTGCTGATTTCAGTATCATCTACAGTGTCACATGATGTAACGCACGTGGGTATTCCGTGAATATATCCATCGGTATCTATTGTAAGTGTGCCGGATTGATTCGTCGGCACAACTTGCACTGTATTTTCATCCATTGTAAATAACAAATTTATCTTCGAGTTTGAATCCTGTAGCTCAAACATGTTTTCTGTAAAACAATTTCAAAAAAAGTGTTAATAACACTCGCACATATATTTTTCTCTGTTTCAATGTTTCAAGTATACGTTTCAAGCAAAAAAATGATATTAACAAATCATGTGAACACTGTACTGTCTTATGTTATAATAAGCGTATACTAAAAAGACTTCGACTTATTTATACCAACATTTCTGTTTCCAATTTCTGTTTTCATAGAAGTACAACGTAGAAAATATGTTTAAATCGTCATCATCCCTAAAAATGAGCGTATGACATATGCCAGATCATTCGTGGTTGTCTGGAAGTTTAATTTTCGTTATAGTAAAATGAATTTCAAACCTAATATTAATTAACAAATATGATACAATTTTATATAGAAATCTAATTATATTAAATATATTTTACTTTAAAATTATTAACAGCGTTCAACGTTTTCATCTACTTCTTACTCGAATGATAAAGCAAAATTGAACAACGTTGTGAAATCATCTATATTTAAATGATCGGACAGGCAAGTTCGTACTTGTAGTTGGTCTTTTTACACGTAATATCTATATATATCTTCACGGAGGCTTTCGGAATATTTCGGCTATTTCCGCCATCAGTTCAGTTCAGTAGGCACAATATTGATTGTCAATCGCTACTTTCGACCTTTTCCGTCAAACTACTGATAAGGATGATCGAGAGCATTCGGATATTTCCGTATACATAGTCAGTCAATTTACTTTATTGCCGATATAAAGAAGCATAATGGGAAAATTCGAAAAAGCAACAACAGCGACAACAACAACAATTATACTTATAATTTAATAAAGCGTATGTTCAGCCTATTTTGTACATATCATAACCACAAAAAGGGACAAAGAAGTTTACTCCTCATTTAATTAAGACAATTTTAAAATAGTTGAGAAATATAGAGTTTTAATGATTACGCATATAAATAGATCTTTTCCTTTAAACGTAACTACTTCAGCCCAAAATTTCTTTCACTTACATTAGTTTCAAATTCAAAGCATGACAACCCCCTTATGGCTAAGGGGTTTCCTTTTCGGGTTTAGGCATCAGAAACACAGCCATCGTTTATCCCAGCACAACAAAATGGGTTTGAATAACTCGAGTCTATGTATCTCTCAGTAATAGAGGTTGTTTTGACCCCTATTGTTGCTTTAAAGTTTGAAACACCCATGCTGGTAAGCCAAAATCATTTTTCCTGTTTCAACACCATATGACCTAAGATGTATTGGTGTGCTATAAAAACCAAAAAGCAAATAATAAAATCAAACAAACAATGCATGACAAATGTATGTCACAAGTTTGATTGATTTATAATGAAGGATCATTTACACAGGATCCTGAAATTTCTATATTTGGTCTTAAGTATTAAACAATGTAAAATATTTGGTTCATTTATTTGACAAGTAACTGTAATGAATTTTTAACATTCAAGAATTTGTGTGAAATTCCCTATATTATATTCAAATGCATTTTGTCAACTATAAAATTACATGTAATTCATGTATTGTATTACAATATTTCTGCATTTAACATTCTTTAAGGTTTTCTTTATTTTTTTTTATTTTTTTTTATTATTTTTGTTTGTTTTGTTTTGGGTTTTTTGTGTGTGAATTGAAAAACAACCAACTGATTGATTATCTACATGTAAATGTTTAGGTGGCCTTAGTTATGACTTGGAATCACATGTTTGTGGCCAATTCATATATTTAAGAATTTAATCATTAAATCTAAAAATAGCACTACAAACCAATTGTGACTAAAATAGTCTATTTTGCAGAGGGTAAATCACACTCGAAGCCTATTCAAATTTAATGTGTACCATGCTTTGCTTTAACTTTCTGCATACTTCAGGTTAACCCAAAATATTTCAAGAAAAGCAAACTTTAGAAAAATGTGCTTACATTTTAGGAAAAGAAAAAAATCAGATTTCAAGTAAGAATTTCAATGTGATAAATGACTGATTTTGCAGTATTTATTACCATAATTCTGTTGCTTGACTAACGCAGTAAGAGCTACTTTTGCTTAGGTTGACATCTTTTGTTTGTAATTTACGTTGATTGTAAGTGATGGTTGCAATGTGTAAATTTGTTTCTTTCTTCACTTCACAATATTTTACTTTCAAATTCAAATTAGTTTGAATCCGAGGGCATGCTGCTTTAACAATCATTTGCTACGATGTACATTGTACGTCCGGTCACTACATGGCCCTACCTTTCTTATGAAACAGGATCCACTTTTTACTTGTATGAAACAAATAAAATAAATAATGGTGTTTAATCAGTTTTAGAAAGGAAGATTCATAAAGAGTGGAGAAAAACGGAACTCCTAAAGAACACCAAAATTAAAAATGTTGCATGCCCGGAAAAGTGAGATTAAAATAGAGTATGCTCGTCGATTGGCTCAATTTTTTCCGGGGTTTTATTATTGTGACGACAGGGAAAGGCATAACGATAGAAAAGTCGTATTCATATACTCGTACAATGGTAATTTTCTCTAGGGTTTCGTATTGGGTCGACAGGGATTTTTTCCTATGATACAACAAAACATTCGGTAATCTGATTTATACTTGGGGGCTACACAAATCCAAAGGCTAAAATAATGCTTTAACAATGTAAGAATGATTATTAGTCATTTAAATAGTTAAATTCTTCAGATGTTTAATGTCAAAGTTATTCATAGGCACACTGTGTAAATAATTAGTGTGACCACCACAGGAAAGAAAACAAGTATTATATATTTAGCCTAACAATAGTTGAATTAAGTGCCTCTTGTAGATATTATCAGTTAATCATTCAATGTGTGTTCCAATTGAATGAATGGAAGACTTCACTACATTTTCAATGAACAACATGAAGATCCGTCAAGAGCAATCGGAACTTGGCTATTATTCATAATAACTCGAAGACTGACGGAAAGGGCCGAAAAATGCGATTGGCATCAATAGGTGAAACATTCTTCCGTGTTTTTATTCTCGATTTTAAAGTCAATCACTACCAAATCTGATTTCTGGAACTATCAACGTGCTCTTGACACAAAGTAGGGCTCCAATCCACGAAACATTAGCTGCACGGCAGGCTCCTAAACCAAGAGGTCTATTGACCACATTATATACCGTATAATTACTCAGTTAGAAACACTACTAGTCTTTTCCCAAAATTTCGGTAAACAGTAAAGATAAGTTGGTCAGGAAATAGATAATTAACAAAAGAATAAGTGTTCAAAGATTTATCTTTAAAAAAAAGTAACCCGCAGTATAAAACACAACAATGGATTTCATATATAACTGGTCATAGAGTATAATTGTAATGAACGATCAATCAATAACGTTAACAGTGCAATGAAAATAATACTGGATCATGCGAAGTTTAAAATATGACTATACATGAAAACAGTTTTAAATAACATCGATATATAAAAAATGTATACTATACATGTATTTTGAAAGACAATGAACGCACATGTGCACATGTGTCTCAGATCACTGTTTTATTTTACTCCTCTGTTTTGTTATTTTTTTTCTGAATGACCAATAATCATTTATCACTTAGAATCCCAAATATATTCATCCGTCACTGACACACGCACGTGCTCCGGATAGCATTGTTTATTAATTCACTGATTTAATTTGCGCGCAGTCAACATTTATAACCGGAAGTTGTCTAAGACTCCACTCCCACCACATATTAGTACAGTATCGATAAATAAAAAAGCTCCTGTTATATAAAGCTATGTAAATGATAAATTACAAAACTTTTTTTGGTTTAGTTTTCATCGGTTTTGGTTGGATGATTCGCGAACTCTCTATTTATTCACCCTGTGCTGTTTTGCTGACTGTAATATTGCGTAGTATATCGCAATGGACATATTGCGTAATGGTCCTGCAACTTTTGTTTCAGCTCGTCGCGTTCTTTCTTTACCTGAGAAAGTTCGAATCTTAGTTGAGTCTGTACCGACTGTAGCTTCAGACATTCCTGAAAAAGAACAGCACTTTGTTAAATAAGTTATCCGATAAAACTGGAAAAAAATACATGAACTTACTTAGACGTTATTAAAGTTGAAAAAATACATGAACTCACTTAGACGTTATTGAAGTTGAAAAAATACATGAACTCACTTAGACGTTATTGAAGTTGAAAAAATACATGAACTCACTTAAACGTTATTGAAGTTCATTTTCTCTTAATATAACAAAAACCACCAATATGGCGGGAACGCTGCTGTTCATCAATTCTTTTAAAATTCAACTGAACCCATCTTTACTGGTACTCGGTCCAGATTCAGCCACCTTACCTTGTGTAGCTGGTCCCCTCTTGTTTTCTGTTTATTACGGAACCTTTGCGCTGCTAACCGATTCTGGATTTTTCTTTTTTCTACCTTCATCTGCTCTGTTTCCGTTAACTGAAATAAAAATAAGAATTTTAACTTCCAACTCCATTGAGTGTAACTAGTTTATTGTTTATAAACTATTTAACCACAAACACTTGGATTGTGAAGCCCATCACTCCTTAAAATAAAATTTCAACATCTATATTATTGTAGATGTTGAAATATGATTTTTTTTTCAAAACGGCTTATATTAAGTTTTTTTGATATATATGATCAGTACATGTGCTGGGATTGACAAATATGCATTTTATTTGGATTTTAAAGGCGTTTTGAGCTCCAAACCCCAAGTGTCTGTGGTTTTATAGTACTGTCGGACAGCGATAATAAAATTATGGAAACAAGAACTAGATATGAAAAACATATTTGAAAAAAAAAAGAAAAAAAAATGCTAACCTGACACGATTCTGGATCTGTGAATTCTACTTTCAGTTCTGGTTTTCCAGCTTTTAATCTCTTTAACTGAATGGAGCACTTGAGTTCCTCCTTAATTAATGGCGTCATATTGCCGTCTACCATAGCCTTTGCCGCAGCATCCGCTAGGTCTTTGTCCTTTATGTTGTACATTTCCATAATCGAAGACGGGTCAGCAACTGTTTGTACTTGCTCGTACCCTGAAATGTCCATTGCATCAGCGCTTAAAAAGTTTGTAGCACCGCTGTTATATGCGTTGCTGATTTCAGTATCATCTACAGTGTCACATGATGTAACGCACGTGGGTATTCCGTGAATATATCCATCGATATCCAGGCGCGTAGCTGCCTATACGCGAGTACGCAGCTGAATCCACATTATTTTGACCAAAAAAAAAAATATCATTAACGAGTTTGCGGCCAGCAAAGGCCGCAAGTTAGACTTGCTGTGAAATGTAGACTAGTTGAAATAAACGAAAGTAAAGCTATTCATCTCCATTTTTATGCTAAAATAAATGGATTTTCGTTGGTCAAGAAAGCTCTCCGGAGGCCCCAAAACGCACCAAATTGCACCATTTATTTCAAAAATTTCAGGGGGGCATGCCCCCTGACCCCCTAGATTATTTTGAATCCACATTATTTATAGGCTAGCTACGCGCCTGATATCTATTGTAATGGTGCCGAATTGATACGAGGGATGATCAAAAATTAACCGGACTTTGTAAATGATTCTTAACCTGTTAAATGAATTTACATAACAATACACGGAAAATAAATTGGAATCTATCCCCTAAATGATACAAAAAATACCAACAAGAAATATTAACAAAGAAAAAAGTTATGCTGTTATTGGCATGGGATTTAACTCAATACAGGATTGGAGCAGTACCTTTAGACGCTTGTAAAAATCATGATCACAAAATAGACAAATATCGTTTTTTTCGCCGGTTTTTACATTTTTCATGCATTATCATACATAAATCGGTGTGAAAAGATGAATTAGACCTTTTAAAGTTCATTCCGTTGGGTGAAAAGGCAAGATTTTAGCATTTTATCATTCAAGCGTCTTGTCCGGTATATACCGGAATATGGTATTTAGTGTGGTGCTCCAATCCTTTTTTTAGTCACACTCATTGGCATGCACATGTAAAGCAGTGCGGCGCACGGTATAACTTTAAAATTGACGTTAACGACGTCACAAGCGTATTGTCCTTAATGGAGCAGATTTTTACTCATTCACGGAGTAGGCCAATATGTGGTACAGTCATGCTATTGATGCGGCGGTTCCCCTGCCTATATATATTTCTGTACAAGTGGGTATCATATTGTAGTGTAATAGAATGAATGGTGATAAAGAGCTCCTGTAATGACGCAAACTTCCGTTATTTCCTTATGTAACTTGATTGTTGAAAAAATCGCACATGCAATTAACTATATTATGTATTACAAATAATGTAAAATAATGTTGCTGAATGATAATGTATCATACATACGGAAAAAAACAGAATAATACAACTATGATCAAAATTGTCATTATTTTAAAATGAATAAAATGCATAGCCAATTTGAACAGTGGCTGTTAAATTGTTGACACAATTTCTCCATAAGACTACTGCGTAAAATAAGAAAATAATTGATACAATTGTAAACCAAGAATACAATACATGTAATTAATGCGTTAACTATTATCATTTTAATATCCTCAGAGTTGACTGCACCGTCCCGTAGTTACTGTCGAACATCGTTGACAATGTCCGCAGTCAATCGACTGTCATTTTTCAACGTCTTGGCGATTGACGTCACCAACGTCCTTGAAAATGTCTTTTTTCTGTCTCTCCCTTACTTGTTTCTATTTCTCTATTATCCTTTCTTAATCTTTTAAGCTAATCAAAAAATATGCTGTGGCTTTCTGGAACTTTTCCCTTGATAGCCATAATCTTTTTCTACGTTTTAAACAGTTTCTCGTCTTACATTTGACAAATCTTTCCTATTGATCGATTTTCGAGACATTCCGACGACATAGTTTTAACGCGAGTATTTCATTAACATGTGACGTTTGAATTGTGATTGTAAATATAAATATGGTTTAAATGAAGTCATTTTTACTGACAACGTCAAAGATATGGTACATGACGTTTTGACGTATTTTGAAATCTAAATGTGCCATATTGTAAAATACACGCAGCATAAAGCGCCTCATGTCAAGGCGAATTTACGCACTGCGCCGGGTGTGCGTTACCATGGTTTTTATTTGTTTGGGTCGTCAGACCAAACAAATAATGGTAGCGAAATTTCAGAGTCTAATGCTGTTAATTGCAAATGCCGAAAGTAGTCCACTTTTTGAAGCGGTTACTTCCCTTTATATGTACACTAACGCCGAAAAATTCAGGGGAGATCACTGCGTAAAGATGGTCAAAGACAGGCACATTAATTTTCAAGCAAAATAATTCCCGAATGGTCGAAGATTTCATATATTGTTTTATTGTATTTTCTGATCGAAAATAAGTAAATACAAAGCGGACATTCAATCTCTGACACAGAAGTTTACGACAAACCTAACAACAAGTAGTTCTCAAAACAGCTTAAAACTGGCGATTTAAAAGAAAGAAATATTTTTATTTTGTTACAAGTATCCAACAAATTACAACGCATTCAAAGTTAAAAAATAGCGTTGGCTTATAGAATTGTCAATAAATGCACAATCACAAATTACGCGGATGAATATGATTTTATCAATGAAAATACTATTTTTAGCGATGCCGAATACTACACAAACCGAGTAGTGGAATATATAGATTCTACATGTCGGACTGTTTGGGCGAGAAGATTTTCGCTAAATTATTCACTTCAATTTTAAACAACAGGTTTATCCTGAACAAAATACCTCGAAATTAATAAGGATTACAAACCCGAAATGCAATGGTAGTTCTAAATTAAGAATGACCTGATGTTATTCAGACTACTTATAACTACTTCGTGGTGCAGGGGTAACGCGCTCGCTTAGTAAGTGAGAGGTCTGGAGTTCAAATCCCAGTCGGGGAAACTTTTTTTTTTAATTCTTTTTTTCTTTGTTAAGGAAGTAGCCATGATATGCAAGGATAAAGTGTAGCTGTCGTAAAAAATGAACATAACTGATATTTTGATGCAATTCCAGTTATGCAGAATTCCGTATGTATCAAACTCTGGTGCCTTGCAAAATGAATTATTATACATAAAAATAAACTTATACAGGAAAATACATACAGATATACAGTACGATTTAGATTGCAAAGATCAGAAAATACCACAGAACTTGCAGCCCTTTGATTCTTTATAAATATACTTGCTTATAGTATGCTCCAGGATTATTTACATCTGTGTTAAACAACAGTTAAAGTTGTTACAAGCCCTGATTTAGAATAATATGGTTTTCTTCAGGCCGTTCACATATAAATTCACCGTGGCTGAAGGGTTTTCGCGCTCGCTTAGGAAGCGAGAGGTCTGGAGTTCAAATCCCAGTAAAGGCAACTAATTTTTTTCCAAATTGTTTAAGTCAAATAAACATTGGATTGAAAATCAGTGTTGCAATTAGTTTTATAGCCAATTTACTACAATTAAAACGCTGGAAAGCATTGGTGGCACTATACATATAATCTCACAACCTGTACCTTTCTTACATTCTGAGACCCAAACAAATTCAGCGCCTTCTGTGCTTTGATTGAATTCGCTGTTACGGACAAGCTATTTATGTTATCAGGTTAGATATAGTATCAGTTTACAGGTATTGTTTTCCGATTAAGTGTGATATATAACAATAAGTGATAGGATGAAAATTCTTCAATTGCCAGTCACAGTCCGGTTTATTTTTGATCATCCCTCGTACGTCGGCACAACTTGCACTATATTTTCATCCATTGTAAATAACAAATTTATCTTTGAGTTAGAATCCTGGAGCTCAAACATGTTTTCTGTAAAACAATAAAAAAGTGTTAATAACACTCGCACATATGTTTTTCTCTGTTTCAATATTTCAAGTATAGATCTACTTTTCAAGCAAAAAAAATGATAATAACAAATCATGTGAACACTGTACTGTCTTATGTTATAATAAGCGTATACTAAATTTAAAAGACTTCGACTTATTTATATCAACATTTTTCTCCGATTTCTGTTTTCATGGAAGTACAACGTAGGAAATATGTTTAAATAAGTACAACGTAGAAAATATGTTTAAACCTAAAAATGAGCGTATAACATATGCCAGATCATTCGTGGTTGTCTGGAAGTTTAATTTTCGTTATAGTTAAATAAATCATTAACAAAATGCTATAAATATGATACAATTTTATATAGAAATCTAATTATATTAAATATATTTTGCTTTAATATTATTAACAGCGTTCAACGTTTTCTCGATCTTTCCAAACGTAATATCTATATATATCTTCTCGGAGGCTTTCGCGATGTTTCGGCTATTTCCGCCATCAGTTTAGTTCAGTAGGCCAATCCAATCTGTCAATCGCTACTTTCGACCTTTTCCGTCAAACTACTGGTACTGTAAGGATGATCGAGAGCATTCGGATATTTCCGTATACATTGATAATTGTACAGTAATTCAATTTACTTTATTGCCGATATAAATACGCATAATGGGAAAATTCGAAAAAGCAACAACAACAACATTTAATAATACTTATAATTTAATAAAGCGTATGTTCAGTCTATCATGTACATATCATAACTACAAAAAGGGACAACTAAGTTTACTCCTCATTTATTTAAGACAATTTTAAAATAGTTGAGAAATATAGAGTTTTAATGATTACGCATATAAATAGATCTTTTCCTTTAAACGTAACTACTTCAGCCCAAAATTTCTTTCACTTACATTAGTTTCAATTCAAGGCATGACAACCCCCTTATGGCTAAGGGATTCCCTTTTCGGGTTAAGGCATCAGAAACACAGCCATCGTTTATCCCAGCACAACTAAATGGGTTTGAATAACTCGTGTCTATGCATCTCTTAGTAATAGAGGTTGTTTTGACCCCTCTTGTTGCTTTAAAGTTTGAAACACCCATGCTGTTAGCCAAAATCATTTTTCCTGTTTCAACACCATATGACCTAAAATGTATTGGTGTGCTGTAAAAACCAAAAAGCAAATAATTAAATCAAACAAACAATGCATGACAGATGTATGTCACAAGTTCAATTGATTTATAATGAAGGATCATTTACACAGGATCCTGAAATTTCTATATTTGGTCCGTGAAAAAGAATACAGGTTACTTAAGTATAACACAATGTAAAATATTTGGTCCATTGTTTGACAAGTAACTGTAATGAATCTTTAACATTTAGGAATTTGTGTGAAATTCCCATGCATGTATTATATTCAAATATATTTTCTCAACTATAAAATTACATGTAATTCATGTATTGTATTACACTAGCTCTGAATTTAACATTCTTTTTCTTTAAGGTTTTCTTTTTTCTTGTTTATATCAAATATACCATGTTTAAGAATTTAATCATTAAATCTAAAAGTAGCACTACAAATCAATTGTGACTAAAATAGTCTATTTCGCAGAGGGTAAATCACACTCAAAGCCTATTCAAATTAAATTTGTACCATGCTTTGCTTTAAAGCCGCATACTTCCAGTTAACCCAAAATATTTTAAGAAAATCAAACTTAAGAAAAATG